GGGCCTAATATACGATATAGGTCTACACAGACTATAACAACCTCCGTAGCATTACTAAGGTTACTAGAGTTATAGGTCGACAGGCTAGATAGGCCGTCTACCTCGCTAGGTTTGATTTTAATGTATTATATCGGCTAGGCGTAAGTAACCCTACTAATAGCCTATCGAGGCGACCTAATTACGACAGCGGGACTTAGCAATCTATTAATTCATTGTTTCTAACCCTGTAGCATAAGATTGCTATAGCCCGTATTGTTAATAAGCAAGCGCAGGATAAGCGGCTTACCGGACTCCGCGACGGCTTAAAGTATATTAATGCTCTTGCTATATTAATAGTACGTGTTAAGGCAAGAGCTAAGGACATAGATAGGAGAAGTTATAATAACTCCCTAGTCGATATCGCTATATATAGTAACAGCGATTAAAGCACTAATGCAGTTGATCCGGCTGCTAGTGCTATTAGATATATATAATGCGTACCTCGTTTAATAGCGAGGGTGCTATTAAATAACCTTACAAATAGGGATAGTCAATCGTTTATAGATAAGCTGTTACGGGCTTAGCAGAGGGACGCCTTTGCTGCTAAACGTATAGACAAGCTTGTAAGTAGGCGAAAGACTCGATCTAGCAAGAGTAACAATTGGTCGATCGATAATAAAGGTCATTTAAAGTTCAAGGGCAGATACTATGTCCCCGCTAAACATTCGATCCGACAAGAACTTCTTAAGCGACACTATAATAGTAAGCTTGCCGGTTACTATAGTACAGAGAGGTCGCACGAGCTACTATCGCGCATATACTACTAGCTAAATAGTAAGCGGGATATAAAGGACTACGTAAACACGTGTGCCGTATATTAACGAGTTAAAGCACTAAAGCACTTACTATTTAGCGAGTTGTCTTCACTCCCTGTTCTAAAGAAGCTATTTGCTAAGCTTACAATGGATTTTATTACAGGTCTCCCGCCTGCTAAGCGTAGGGGCAGCAAGGATATGTATAATGCTATCCTAGTTGTCGTAGATCGGTTTACTAAGGGCGCTCGTTACATTCCTGCCCGAAAGGATTGGACGGCTATTAACCTAGCTAAGTCGCTATAGAGCAACATCTTCTATAGCTATTAGGGAACCCCTAAGGGGATAGTCTCCGATCGAGGCCCGACATTTATATCTTACTATTAGAGTGAGATTTGCCTATAGCTAAGACTTAAGCATCGCCTGTCTATAGCATTCCATCTATAAACAGATAGTTAGACCGAAAGGCAGAATGCTACGCTGTAGCAGTACCTGCGCAGCTATATTAATAAGAACCCTAATAACTAGGTCAACCTCCTACAACTAGCCGAATTCGTATACAATAATAGTGTCTACTTATCTACTAAGGTATTACCTTACTTCGCTATAATAGGAAGCAACCCTGCGCTGCTACAAGACCCCCTATCGCTCGAGGCCGAGCGCAAGGAAAGGGAAGCGTGTCAAGTACTAACACCTAAGACACTAGCGGCTATTAAGAGGGTTTAAAAGATGCGAGAGATTTACGCTAAGATAGCTAACAAACTAGCGAAGGCCTAGGCCTATTAGAAGGCCTATTACGACAAACACTATACACCGATAACCTTTAAGCAAGGCGATATAGTTATGCTAAGCACTAAGAACCTCCGTATCCGCAAGCACCTATCCCCTAATAGCAAAATAAGGCCTAAGCTCGCACTAAGATACATTAGTCTATTCCGCATTCGAGAAGTTAAGAGCTCCTCCGCATAGGCCTACTAGTTATAGCTCCTACTACACTACACTATCTATAACACCTTCTATATCTCCCTCCTTAAACTATACTACTACCGCGGAGACTCTAATAAAGAAGCCCCTACTAAATATAAAGACATACTAGCGGATAGTGAGGAACTGTAGTCTATAGAACGTATTCTAAAGCACCGGACTAGGCAAGGCAAGAAGGAGTACCTATTAAGATAGTAAGGCTATTTACCTAAATAGGACTTATAGGAGGCTGAAGACTCGTTTGAGGATATAACTAAGTTGTTAGATAAGTATTAGACTAGCGTAAAGAATACGAAGAAGGCTAAGAGCTTATAGTGCCTATAATGTTACTACTAAGCCTAGGACAATGCCACCCCCGGGGTGCTATTAGCTAACTAATTAGAGGCAAGCAATTATTAGCAACAAAGGACAATAAGACTATACTAGGCGCACTACGACGCGTTAACTAATTGCCTGCTCTTTTAAGGATTCTACCTCTTCCCTAATGCGCCCTATAGGTCCCCCTCTTATTCTTTATTCTATCGAGGCCTCGAGACCTAAGCGTTCGATAAGGGCGACGCGCGCGCGCGTACGAATAACGGTAATAAAGGTAATAGTATCGCGCTACGAGCTGGCAGTGCGCCGGCGGCTAACGCGGCTATGTTAGTAACGGTGTTGCCGAGTGTATTATTAGTCGAAGAAGGAAATTGAAAGCAAGGTAAAGTTAGCGCTAAGACGACTAGCGCCGCCATTGTTAACATTACTTGCTATTATCGCTGCGCCGTAGGCACAACCTTACCTGTACTACGAGCCTAAGGCACTGTACTAGCTAAGTTAAAAGATTGAGCCTATTAAAGGTTTAATTAAAACTTTGAAGCCAAGTTAAAACTTTAACTAAGTTAAAAGATTAAGCGACTAATAGACTAACTAAGGGCAAAACTATAGAGCTAAGCTAGCTAGGGTCGATCTTGCGGACAATAGGTTACTCCTCGATCTATCTAACCCTTTAAGCGAGGCGAACCTCTACTACTACACTTATAATAGCCTTTACCTATAGAAACTAGACGAGCTGTGTTTTTTCGGAAAGGATAAGATAAGATTGACAATTAAAGGCTACTAAACCTAGCTAATTGGGGCTAGCGAAACTACGAACAATAATAGCCCTCGTAACAATAAGAACAACCCTCGGAAGCGGACATAGCTAGGTCTTTTAAGAGTAGACGCAAAGAACTCGGTACGATATTACGTAGAGCGGAGGCAGGGCTGCAATACCTCGTACGTCTACCTATTATAGTAGGGAAGACGCGCTCGTATTATAATTAGTCGAAGGCCCTTAATTCTTGTAGATATATATCACTTTATAGTTTATTGTATATAGGGATAGCGCAGTTAGAGTTAGACATTGTATTAGAAGGTGAGGTTTAATATAGTTACGTAATTAGGTAGTTGAGTGTTCAATTTAGCGCGGACTAAGCGGCTTATTAGACCTGCTAAGTTAGCAGCAATAGGGGTTGAGACTAGAACAAAGACCGGCTACGAGGGCGCGGCCTTTAGAAGGGAAGCGTGTGTTAGGGCCAAAGAGGCTACACGTAATTAGCATATAACTAGGCCGAGTAAAGCTAGGGTCTTAATGCCTTAGGCAGGGCTTAGTGCTTAGCGTTAGGCTAACTCTCCTACCTTCCTCCCTCTCCTCCTAGATCTCTATCGAATACTAAACTAATTCACTACTACCCTATCTACCTACTAACATAACCCTTCTTATAGCTAGTGCCTATTACTCTAACGCGCGCTCGCTATTTAACGCTTCCGCTACTGCTACTACCTCTAGTAGCGACTAAATATAGGCCTCGAGCGTTCAATCTTCTACCGCTTAATAAGACAGTCTTATTACTAATCCGACTGTTATACGTAATCGACCTTCTTACGCCGAGTCCGCTACCCTTTAGACCCTTACCTTCTAAGCCGCCGCGGTAGCCGCGCGAGGCGCTTTTATCTATATAATCGGCTTAGCCGCTCGACTTAGATACTATCGAAGAAATAGCTAAGTTTATAGACCTTACTTCGCTAGCGCTAGCAAGAGAGGCTTCGCTATTAAAACAAGACCTAGAAGTAGTAGAAGACTTCCCTTAGTTAGATAATAATAACGCTATATAAGAGGTAGTAGGCAAGAGGCGGACTTCTAATAAATATAGTAGCAATAGTAAGCGTAAGCGACTAAAGGCGGCGATAATGCTACGAGCTATTAAGAGGCCGAAGAAGAAGCTATAGATAGCAACTAATAACACCTTAGAAGTCGCTATACTAGTCTAATTGCGACAACAATATAGCCTAATTAGGCAAACCGAGCTAACATACTAAAACCGAGCATTTCCGTATATTTGGTGGGTCCTATTATACGCCTAATAATCGGGACATTCCTTAGCCGGAATACAGCGTCTGAACACGTCGGAGGGCTAAAGGCCTTAAGCTTGACCAGGCAACTGTCGACTTCAATTGGCAGAAACCCCTGCTAGTCAGAATTTGGGGAGAAATTGATAGCCTTCCGAGGTGTTCAGACGCTGTAGTGAGACAGTCCCGCGGAAACCCAAAGAAGTGGTACGCTAAAAACCTTTGACATACAACAGTATCTGTTCCCCATCCAATTGTCGACGACATCCGGAAGTTGCTCTCGTCCGTCTTTTCCGGGCTCATAAGTTACCACCGCACGAGAAAGGACGAACCATATGCTCTCGATGTGTTGCAAACGTCAGCAAGATCCGACACCAGCTGCTTGACAAAATGGCCGCCGCGGACGAAATGGCCGATGCGGCTCAAGTCCCGATCAAGGGCCTTGCTTGCTCGTAGAGGGAAGCGTTTCGTTCGTAACAAGAACAGGTGTTGAACTCCCGGTTTGCTGTGCAAGGTCGTCAGGTCATCCGCAGCAGAATGAAGGTGAAGTGTCGGTGTTCGCGTTGCATATCTACGCTATACACGGAGGTCACGGCCCCTCGCGAGACTGCTGACTCTGAGAGCTCGCAGAAACTTGCCTTGCCTTGAACACCACGCAACTGACAAGGGAGCCCAGTCCCAAGATCAAGGTTTGCTCAGCATTGCTAAATTCGATTTCCGAGTCCCATAAACCACCTCGTGTAGAGACCAGGATGGAGTCAACGCGTCAACTTGGCATTTTTGATATATGCCGCTCCCTACAGAGCACAAACGCTCGCTCTCTAGCCATCCTCCCACTCGCTTGTCACGATGCACATTCTGAACACCCTCCTCATCGCCAGCACGGTAGCTGCTCAAGCCTTGAAAGGCTTTAATTCCGGCGGATATGGACCGAACGGCCTCAAAAGAGCAGCAGATTTCAAGGCGGAGTTTGAGAGAATGCACAGTCTGCCTGTCGCAGCACCCTTCACCTCCGCTCGCCTGTTTACGATGATCCAGGGCGAGACGGATAGCGAGCCGGTCGAAGCATTTCAGCCCGCGATTGAGACGAAGACGAAGCTATTACTGGGAATGTGGGCCAGTGCAGGGCAGGATGCATTCAACAAAGAGCTAGCAGCGTTGAAGAAAGCCATCACAGCTCACGGGACAGAGTGGAAAGACATTGTGTATGCGATCTGTGTGGGATCCGAGGACCTGTATCGCATCACGCCCACTGGGATTGCGAACAAGGCTGGCGCTGGTGAACAGCCGCAGAAGCTTGTCGAGTACATCAAGCAGACACGAGATGCCATCAAAGGTACGGCTGCGGAAGGCACGCAGATATGTCATGTGGACACATGGACGGCTTGGGTCAACGGTACCAACTTTCCCGTCATCGACGCCGTGGATTGGATCGGATTTGATGGCTATCCGTATTATGAGAAAGACACTGGCATCAACAGCATCGACAATGCCAAGCAGCTTTTCCAAGAATCCTACGACAAGACTGTGGCCGTATCAAAGGGCAAGGAGGTGAAGATCACCGAGGTGAGCATGAGCCGGTCATCGGCATTGCATGGACCATACTGACTAACAATTTGCAGACCGGCTGGCCCATTCAAGGGCCCAACGATTTTGGCAAATCTGTCGCTTCCATTGAGAACGCCCAGCGATATTGGCACGAAGTTGGGTGCTCGATCTTCGGCAAGCACGATACGTGGTGGTTCACGTTGGATGACAGCAAGAAGAATCCGAATGAGATTTCCTTCAGCACGGTCAACCCCAATCTCGGTGATCCGCTATGGGATCTCAGATGTTGAGGCGGTGGTTATGAGTTTTTCAGGAAGGCCGAGTGTTGAAAAGTCGATACACTCGCTGAAGGATGTGATGGAGTAGAGATATTGGATGTCACAAAGCTTGGATGAATGGCATTGCAGCGCGGTGCAAAGCTTTCCTGCGGCCGCGTTGGACTGTGTACCGCCTTCTCGAAAGATACCCGGGTTGACGGTCCACTGTGATGAGGAGCACTGCGCCGCTTATCTCTAGTCCGCGGTCGACGTTGAACCAGCATAAGCTAGCTTTCAAGTTAGCCTTGCTGGTCTTCGTTCAGTGTCGTGCATTTCCCGATGACTATAGCTGAATGAATTCCGACTCCGTTGTCGTCGGGACAGTAATGGAAAACGAAGAATGGATTCACCTATGAGGAAGGTCATTTCAACGGTATTAGGAAGAAAGAAAGCCATAGAAAAGCATTTGGTTCATTCAACCTGCCGAGGAAAATTCTGTAGTAATCAGTCGCATGAGATTGTGTCGACACTTCGGCTAACTGTACCTTGGCATGAGAACCCTAAAACACCCTCCCCTTAACCTGCTTCCTCTGCCGAACATCAACATTCCTCCACACAGCCACAGCCGGGAACCCCAGAGCCGCAATCGCAGTCGCAGCAATCAACATATATCTCTGAGAATTCCCATAAGCCTGCTGAATCGCGATTCTACTTGGGTCACCGACAGGATAGCTGAGCTGCGTGGCGATATCTCCCGCAATAATCGTAGAATTCGCGACAGTCTCCGGAGGAAGAAGGCGAGCGAGGTCAGCAGGGAAAGTCCCCGTCCAGACGGCACCGGCGATAGTACTACCGATCGCACCACCGATGGAAGAACCTACTGCCAAAATCGCGAGGACGACGGCGACGTATTGATGGGTTGTCACGGCCATGACTGCGACCTGTTGTCCGACGACTAGCGCGGCGCCTCCGAAGGCGATGAAAATTTGGCACATGACGATGTAGCCGACATTGACGTCCGGTTGTCGAAAGACGATCATGAGAGCGACGCCGAGGATTGTGATGGGCATGCCGAAAAGTAGGGTTTGGAATTTATAGTCTCCGGTATATCGAGTGATGGCTCCGACGCCGAAACTCCAGAAGCAGGATCCCATGCTGTAGATGCCGCTGATGTAGCCGACGCGCACGAGGTCGAGGTTGGGGACGACTTGCAGGAAGGAGGTGAAGTAGGAATTCCAGATGTAGAATTCTATGAAGAGGATTGCGGCGAGGAAGAATGCGCCTAGGACGGTTCGGTCTTTGAGGAGGTGGTATGGGACGAATGTGACGGGGGCGAATTTTGCTTCCCAGATCACGAAGGCGACGATTAGGATGAATCCGATGATGATCATGGAGATTACGAGAGCTGAGGACCATTGCTCTGCTAGCGTTGCGCCTTGATAGGAGTATAAGCTGAAGGGCAGCAGGAAGATGGCAAGACCGGAGACGATCAGGAAGAGTCCGAAGATGTCGAATTCAACCAGGTAGTACTTGATCGACTGCGGGATGGAGCGTCCGGTCTCGCGAATCGGTACGAGACCCATCTTTATGGCTTTGTTCTGGTAGAAGATGAGCAGCAAGAAGAGTGGGAGGTTGAGGAGTGGGTGGAGGATGGCGAAGATTCCGAACGCCCATCGCCAGCCCGGTCCGTTGAGCATTGCGTCGGCGAAGTAGCCCGAGGTGAAGGTCGTGATAATGTATGGTGATGCAATGTAGGCGAGGATGAGACCACGATTCTTGAGCTGGGATGTGTCGGCGAGGAGAACGCTCAGGATGTAGTTGCGACCATTGCCACTGCGCATGGATTAGCGTGTATCGGCCTTCTTTTGCATTTTCTTTCACTCACCCAGTCACACTGAAGACCTCTGCAGCGCAGTACATCTGCACACTATCCGTGGCGGCCATCATGATCGAACCGATGGTCATGAATAGAACCATCAACCCCAGTCCTTCTGGACGTCCCCAAATGTCGATGATTTTCGCAAGCGGAAGGCGAAAGAGACCACCGACCAGAGATGCCACGACGGTGGTGATAGCGGTCAGGCCATGAAGCTGAAAGTCGCTGGTCACGTAAGGCGCCAATGTCCAGCCTACAGGCCCTTCAAGCGCATCGATGAAGTAGATGATCCAGACCCCGTGGAAAACGTCAGCATTGTCTATCTTCACCAAATTCTTCCAACACAGGCAAGCAAAACACATACCAAGCATATGTCGCATACAGTGCCCATTTGGGCCACACCTGAGCCAGAGCTTCCATCTTCTGCACTCCACGCTGCATATCTTTATGAACCAACTCATCCTCGTTGTCGCTATCCTGAGACGGCGTAACAGCGATCTCCTGCGAATGCTCTTGATCGACAAAAGTCGCAGCTACAGCACCTGTCTTCTCGTCGCCAGATTGTCGTCTGATCTCAGGCTGACCCGAAGTAGGGTCCTGTCTGACCTTGCTGAGACGGAAAAGACCCATAGCTTGGCAGGACAGGACAGGACAGGGTAGATGTAGATGTAGATGGGAAGGGATCAGATAAGATGAGATGGGGAGTGAAGTGAAGGGGAGTCCTTTTGAACACACAACGCCGCCACAGCCCAAGAAAACGTTCCTCTGCTTTTGTTACCTTCTCGTGATTGCCGGCTAGTAAGCATGCTGTGTTGAACGCCACAATACGACTCCATGCGCACCCACGCGAGCATCAAGCGTGGCCATAATCCCCACATGCATCTTGGCGACCATCAGATCTAATCAGATTCTTCCGGTCCACGGCAGCTTTTTTTCTCGATTCGACAGCACTACCGCGCGAGCACCTACGCGTTCCAATGAAGAGGGGTGTTGGCGTTCTCGGCGTGCAGCTGGCCAAGTCGACCAGCTGCAACCGGACCATGCGATGTTCACTTGGCAATTGTCGTGGTGGGATTTGTGGTCAGCCGAGGTGTGTTCACCACGTGGGATTGATGTGTGGGAGATCGTAGGAGTTGGAGATGAGATCGGGACATGCGATTTTTGAGGTGATGTTGATGTGGATGGAGGAGGAAGAGTGGAAAGTTCTGTTTGCTTGGCAGGACTGTGGCTTTCGGCTCCCGGATGCTCGGCGGAGAGGAGACCACGGTGGAAGCGCCCTACGAAGATTGTGGACCATACTGAGAATTTCTGACCTAGATCTAGGCGTCTCTACTGTTCACCAGGTTGAAACGAACACCGAAGGCTTCGAGGCCGCGAAAACCCCCAGAGACACTCAAAGGCCATCAGAAGAAATTCACCTAACCTCCACTACCCAGGCGGAAGCAAGCCCACTTCAAAAAGATGACATATGGGAAGTCTGGAAAACCCGCGTTACATTCGAGACGACGCCACGCCCTGCGGAGCCAATTCCTCGATTCGCAGGAGTCAATCAGATGCTTGCAATTGTTGCAGCATTCATTTGATGGCTCAAAGGCGAGGGCATTGGAGTCATCGTATTCTGGTCAAATTCGAGTCCTACACCCCGAGGAAGATCACAGCTGTCTCTGTCCCGGTTTGCACAAGTGTACTGTACCTTCTATTCAATAGGATGGAGGCAGGAATGGCTCTCAGGATCTTAGTGAATCAGCATTTATCTTGTACATGGCTTGATAAGAAGTACAGCTGGTGTGACATGACGATTAAATCTGATAAGCAGGCAGATCGCCTATTCCACCTCGATTCGTATGCCATGGAAGATTAGGATGGCTCAAGAGGAGAAGACTCATTCATATCGACCAGCAAGAGTTAGCATGCTATTGAAGCAGGTCTGTAAGCCACGCATGATGTAATAGCGTACACTTCTTAGGCATCGGGGGAAAAAATAGCAGATGCCTACCTCCGTCAAATCGATCACTGTGAGGTACCTATTGTTCTTCCAATCCAGGACGAGGCAAGCATTGGGAGATCGTAACAGCCGATGATCAGGACGATGTCCAGCTGTTCTACTGGAATGCGACGATACACAAGTAATTCGATTCGATGAAAAAAAAAATCAAAATCAAAGATTCCAAAAAAATACATAGTCGTAAGTATGCAGATTAGCATTAGTCGTGAAGATTCATAAAGCTCACACGTAGCAGGTAAGCCATCTAGATCTATCTATCTCTGCAACCCGTTCATCAATCCATCTCTATCTCTATCTCCATTCCCCAACCTACCACCTATCCCCCTCACGCAACACAACTCTGCCCCCCAGAAACAGCATCCGTCTTACACTGCACCAACCCGCCCGTAAACACCTCCCCAGTATAGGGATCCACGCGTCTCGCCCCCCAAAAGTCCGCGGGATTCCTCCAAGCATCCGCAACAGAATTGTAATACTCGGGATCCTGCCAACACGTCGGACGACGAGCGAAACGGTCGAAATTCGTGGGTTGGTCGCCGCAGTAAGCGACGTATTGGAGGGAGCAGAGGTAGTTGCCATAAGCGCGGACGTAGGCGGCGTAGTCGGGCCAGCTGAGAGTGTTGGTGGGGGTGTAGTAGGGTTTGCCGGAGATGTCGAGGCGGAAGGTGGCGTCGGTGTAGTAGGTGTAGGCGAAGGCGCGGGCTTGGACGAGCTGGGCTTCCGGGATGATTATTGTGTCGCGTTGGGATTTGGTTGGGAGGGAGGATGTGAGGGAGGCGAGGAGGGCGAGGATGGTTGGTGTAGTGGGCTTCATTTTGGAGGGTAAAGGACTATTGGTTGGTTTGAGGTGAGGTCTTGTGTTGTAGTGGTGTTTGAATGCGAAGGTTTCTTCAAAAGCTGCCGAGTTCTGGTTGTTGTTGCTGCTGTTGCTGTTGCTTGCTGAGTGATGAGGTACCGTCAGTCTGTAGGATCTGAAGGATTCTTATATGGCTTCACGAGAAGCGCATCCGTATCAATCGCATTCATTCCACCGAAAATGCCTTCTCCGTGATCCGTATGCATCGACACAAGCAGAATACGGAATCTAAACTTAGCTTTTACGAAAAGTTAAAGGCCTATTTTACAGGCTGTAAACACAGTCAAGCTTCCTAAACAGGCACGACAGCCTCGCGGACAACAGGGCTTCCCCGCAGTATCTCGGCCGCAGCAAATTCTAGTCTCAATTTGGCGCAGAACCCTGCTAGATGTTGGTATAGAGTTCATCGAGAGACCGGGCTTATTACGAACAAATAGGCATTTATAGAAACTTCGACGAAACTTCTTCTAGGGTGCTCGCAGAATCCGATGACATCTCCTGCTGCGGTCGTGGCTATAACAGCCAACAGCTAGCGTATCATCCTACTCCGTCGTATTCTTCGATATACTACTGTAAGATGCACCGCTTCTGGGATTCTCGGATGTGCTCCTCGTTTAGAAGTTCTTGTTCGAGCGGAGCGATAGACTAGTAGGTACCTAGAGCAACTCGAGGAGCTTGCGACGAGAGTTGTATAAGAAGTCTATCAGTCTAGAGTGGCGCTCAAGAACATATTAGATCAGTGCTAATAACGTATACGTATAGTATAGGGAGGCTGAATCTCAAAGATACGCCCGCAAAACTAACCGAGCCCTCTAATTAGTCTAAAATCGAATCCGAGTTACGTGCTATTTAACCTTAGGCTATACTCTTACACAATAGTAAATGCAACAAAGCCAATACCACTATGCGATACGACCAGCACGATACGACACGACCAGCACTATACGACACGACCAGCACCGCACGATACGACACCCCTTACCCTATGCCTACCTCTTCCGCAAGCATCCTATAGCGGCCTTCTATAGCAAAACAAACCATAATCTACAGCGACCTTAAACAGTAAAAGGGCAAAGAAAGAGCGAGCAAGGACAGCAAGGATTAAGGACATAGAGACAAAAGACTTAGCCAAAAAAAAGAACGGAGAATACCAAAAGGCAAAAAAACTGTAGACGGGCAACACCCGGAGTTACTCTTGCGGATACGATATAGCCCTCGAGCATATAACCCTTCAAGACAAAGTTCTCAAGCGCCACTCCGTCGCTCCGCTCGACTAGGACAAGCACTGCAGGGCTTGAACGATACTTGATCATCAGTAAGGCTGCTCGCCGTGGACTCCGCGGCTCCAAGCAGTAATAAGCTCTTGCAGCAAGCGAGAAAATTTCGAGGTTTGTCGCGATTTTTCTCACATCCGTTCTCTTGGCCATTGTAGACAGAACCAACCCCGAGCCATTCATCACACCCGAAGCTTCGAAACCTCCCTCGAAGAACATTCGTCCATCATCATTCCGATAAATAGCAGTCCTCCTCGGCAACGCAAAAGCTGCATCAAAGTCGCGTCAGATGAGCCAACCAACTCTCCTCGATATTTTTGCCCATTCCGAACACCTCGAGAATTTTCTCTCCGTGCAGCCAAGAAATCCATTCCTCTCAAATCATGAAAATCCAAATTAGCACGAGCGAGTGCTCGATTCTTCCATTCCACCTCTCCCCCGGGAACCCACCCATCCGACCCCAACAAAGAGAAACCCCCCCCCCCCCCCCCCCCCCCCCCAAAACCAACCACCTTCATAGTACGTTCATTTCCTTTAACAGCGGGACAAAATCCATCGAATCAACTCACAGCCGAGGTTCCCTCCATTATTCCCCTCACAGCCATTGATGCAGGACTCTAAACTTCAAAGCTTTGTTGACCTTCTTTCTTCAAGACCAAAACAATGAATGCACTATCATAACTTCACCATCATTCCCATTCAATCATGATGTCAGTGATATACATAATGTGGCGAAAAAGGGGGAAAACACTGACTTCAGAGGCTGGCTCTCGGTGGATGGGAGGAGTGATAGGTAGCTAGCAATTGTTCTCGGTGATGAAAGACTTTTTCGTGTGTGTGTGTGTAGGCTGAGGGGAGAGGATAGCAATGAATAAAAGCTCTCATGAAGGAAAAAAAACATTTAGAATTCTCTAAAATCCCAAATCAGTCTATCACTCACTCACTAAAAATGCTCTCATCCCTAGACCTCCCCCGCTCCCCCAACTTCTTCCTCCAAGCCTCCGCCAGCATATGCATTTCCTACATCCTCCTATCACTCCTCCTCAACTACTTCTCCGTCCAAGCCCGATGGTTTCGAAAGCAAGAATGGATCGGGTACCGGAAAGAATGGTTCTCAGGCGTACGCGCTCACTTGCGATCGATTCTCGGCACGCGCGAAACGGTCATGGCCAACTACGAGAGACTCAATAATCAAAGCTTCCTCGCGATTCCGCAATTCATGAGTAAACCTTTGCTGCTGCTGCCGCCGAAAAAGTTGCGGGAACTTTGCCAGAAATCGGAGGATGAGGCGAATCTCTATATTGTGCTGACGGAGTTTTTGGCGATAGAGTGAGTTTGCGGAGATGGATCTGACGTGTAGTGTCTCGCACTGGCTGACGTTCTCTCTCCTCCCAGGTATACGATGCAAGACGACGTTACTCGAGACCCATTTCATCTGAGTATTGTGAAGCATCAACTCACCCGCAAGCTGCCGATTATGACAGCGGACATCCAAACTGAGCTGGCACTGGGATTCGATCAGCACTGGCAAGTCGATGTTGGCAATGAATGGAGGACGATTTCGGCATTCGGGACATGTACCAGTATTATCAGTCGAGCGGCGAATCGTGTCTTCTGCGGACCAGATCTATGTGAGTGATTCGAGGCCGGCCATGAATGTGCAGTGTCGTGCAAATGCTGATCAATGATCCCAGGTCGCAATGAAGAGTTTCTGAAGCACGTCAACCATTATTCGGAATATTCATTCCGGACGAGCGGCATCCTCAACATGCTTCCCAAATGGATGCGCCCACTGGCTGGTCCGATGATTGCTCGACGCATGTTGCGGGCACCTCTCCATGCTTGCAGACAGCACGCCGTGCCAGTCATCCAGGAGAGAGTGGAAAGGATACGATATGGTATGCAGGACGAAGTACATGTAAGTTGACGCGTGGTGGACGTTGTGCGGGTGCCAGGCTGACCGTCGATCTCAGAATGACGCTCTACAATGGGTGATTGAGCAGTGCATTGCGCGCGACGATGCTCTCGAGCTGGACGCAGACCGGATTCTACGTCGCTTGATCGGACTCAATGTTGTCGCGCTCCACACCACTAGCATTGCCATGGTGAATGCTCTCCTGGACCTGTACTCTTCGCCGCGTGCCGCCGAGTATGTGGAAGGTCTCCGCGAGGAGTGCTCTCGTGTGCTGAAGTCGTACGGGGGAGAATGGCAGAAGGGAGTGGTGAATGAGCTGTTCCGGATCGACAGCACCATCAAAGAAAGCATGCGCCTGCATGCCATCTTTACGGTTGGGACACTTCGAGAAGTCACGAAGAAGGATGGCGTTGATCTTGGAGACGGCTGGCGAGTTCCACATGGAGTTCGTCTCGCCACGCCGATTGTCGCCATTCACCGAGACGAGCACTTTTACCCAAATGCATACGAGTTTGATGCCTTCCGCTTCTCCAGAGATCAGGAGCAGGTCGATGGTGACAAGGCGACTCTCGAGAAGCGCAGTCAAGCGATGGTCACGACGAGCGAGAGCTACCTGTCGTTCGGGCACGGTCGTCAAGCGTGTCCCGGCAGGTTCTTCGCATCGCAGGAGATGAAGCTCATGCTCGCGCACATCGTGATGAACTACGATGTGAAGCTGCCAGGACCCAGGCCCAAGACGTACGACTTCAAGCACGCGTCTGTGCCTGATCCCAGGTCGCAGCTCATGATTCGGCGGCGAGAGGCACCGGCGGAGGTGTGATGTGGACGTAGAACTGTCACTGTCACTCTTCTAGGCCAGAAGGCCAGCTGACTTGCCTGGCGCCATGCTCTTTCGTCATGCTCGATTGGGAAGGGGATGGAGGCGTGGGTGTTGGAAGGTGGTATGATGCTTCGGCGATGTAGCGCTTCGGAGGAGGTCTTCGAAGCTGTAACGTATGTGCGTGCATCGAGCGCGAGCGGATGTATTAGGAAGACGTAGTTCGAGGAAATGAATGTCTCTCAAGCAAGGAGTGCTTGGCAACAACCATTTGCCGCGAAGATGTAGTATCGAGAAGGCCACGGGGATTCCATTTCCTTCTCCCCTCTCTCCGATCGCCTGATCACGCAAAATTGACCTCTCGTTGCCCGGTCGGCGTGGGTTGTCTTCGGACCGAGAAGAGGTGTTTGTTGCAATCCTGGTCTCCCCGTGGCATCTCCACCATCTCCGCTTTCGGGCTTCGACTTCCTTGCTGAACACTTCTTGGTGGCAGTGGAGGAGATGGAGAAGTCGGAAGGCCGATCGAATGGAAATCCGAAATCCTCCCTTCTGCACGCACGATTGGGAGCGCCGAGATGGCGCCGCAAGGATGGCGGAAAACTCATCGGGACTCATCGTTCTCCGCCCCGACCCCTTGCCGTCCTGCGACCTGTTTTTCCGCCGCAACAATGGCACGCTGGAACGGTGGCTTCGACCTTCATTGAAGCCTACAAACATCACCATGACACGGGGAGCGAGATGGCGCGATTCTGCGGTGACCGGATGCTGAACATGGGCGGAAAAGCGCCGGCAAGAGTCCGGCCAAGATGGCACAACAAGGCTAGCTGCAGCTTACGGCCAATAAAGTGAGCTCTCGATGAGCATCACTGCCTGTTCCTGAGAGGCCAAGACTGCTACCAGACGTCCCATGTACCATGACAACGAACGAACGACCACTGCATCCTCCACATCCCGCCTTCTCCGCATACCATCTCGCTGCGGAGTCAATTGCCGACAGTGGGCCTGTGTATACCGACGAGAGGGTACATATGTATATCTGCTGAAAGACGGCTCACCACCACGCAGCGGGCTTGGGTAAGGCTGTAGTCGGGATATAGCAGCATGAAGTCGTTTGGTGGAGCTTCGTTGGTGGCCTCTTTGGCTGCTCTGGTTGCCGGCCAGGATGGTGAGACAGACATTGGGATGGAAGCGATGCTGGAGAAATGCATGCTGACCGCTGCAAAGCAATCACGGCCAGCGGATCGAACTTCACCCTGACTGCAAAGGGCGCCTCATACCTCTTTCATGCCGACTCGAAGACTGGAGACCTGGTTTCTGACCACTTCGGAGGGCCCGCCGATGATTTCACACTGCCAACCTGGGTCAGCACTCAAGGATGGGCGGATGGCTTGAGTATCACTCGACGAGAGTTCCCAGACTCGGGCCGCAGCGACTTCAGACTTCCTGCCATCCACATCAAGCACGCCGACGGAGACACCCTCTCGGCCTTCTTCTACCAGTCTCACGAGATTGTGCCAGGCAAGCCATCGCTCCCAGGACTGCCCGCCACATATGGCAACGAAAGCAGCGTCTCCACCCTTCTGGTCACGCTCTACGACAACTACTCCGACGTGACTGCTGTGCTCTCGTACTCCGTCTTCCCAGAGTACAACGCAATCGCACGCAGCTTCCAGATCCACAACAATGGAACGGCCAACATCACCATCGAGCACGCAGCATCCTTCAGTCTGGATCTGCCCAACTTGGACCTGGACATGATTGAGTTGCAGGGCGATTGGTCTCATGAAGCCAACCGTGTCCTTCGCAAGCTCGACTTTGGCGAGACCAGCTTCCGCAGCACTGCCGGCTACTCTTCCGCCCTCCACAACCCATTCTTTGCATTGGTCGAACCTTCTACCACCGAGAGCACAGGACAGGCTTGGGGCTTCAACCTGATCTACACCGGCTCTTTCTCCGCCACGGCTGAGCGGTTCTCGACCGGATTCATTCGCGTCCTGCTCGGCTTGAACCCGCTCCACAGCAGTATTGGCGTTGCACCAGGTGGCACCTTTACATCTCCAGAGGCCGTTGCAATCTACTCTTCAGAGGGCGTTGGTGGCATGTCTCGATCATTCCACGATCTCTACAAAAATCACCTGTCCCGCTCCAACTACACTCACGAAACACGACCAGTGCTTCTCAACTCGTGGGAAGGTCTCGGAGCCAGCATCAACGAGACCAATCTCGTGCAACTCGCAGGCGAAGCTGACGAGCTCGGCATCAAACTTCTCGTTGCCGACGATGGTTGGTTTGGCGTAAAGTACCCCCGCGACAACGACTCTCAAGGTCTCGGTGACTGGACTGTAAACCCCGTCAAATTCCCACACGGACTTGCCAACACCGTAGCACAGGTCAACAACTACACCACCACCGGTACCGGCCCATACGCCGACCAACCACTCAGATTCGGTATCTGGGTCGAGCCAGAAATGATCAACCCCAACTCGACCCTCTATCACGAACACCCAGAATGGGTCATGGGCGGCACGACGAAACTCAAAGACCGCCTCTCCCTCACCCGTCACCAACTCGTCCTCAACGTTGGCCTCCCCGAAGTCCAAGACTTTATCATCGACTTCGTCTCCAACCTCATCGACACCGTCCATATCCAATACATCAAATGGGACAACAACCGCGGAATCCACGAAATGCCCTACCCAGCCGCCGACCACCAATACATCCTCGGCCTGTACCGCGTCATCGACACCTTGACAACCAAATACCCTGACGTCCTCTGGGAAGGCTGCGCATCGGGAGGTGCACGTTTCGACGCAGGACTTCTGCACTACTGGCCCCAATCCTGGACTTCAGACAACACCGACGGTTCCGACCGCCTCACCATCCAGATGGGTACTTCTCTCGTCTACCCTCCCTCAGCAATGGGCTGCCACGTCTCCGCCGTCCCCAACGGCCTCTCCCATCGCAACATCTCCATCGAATACCGTGCCCACGTCGCATTGATGTGCGGATCTTTCGGTTTCGAACTGAACCCCTCCGAACTCTCCGCCGAAGAAAGCGCCGCCATCCCCTCCATCATGACTCTCGCAGACCGCATCAACCCGCTCGTCATTTCCGGAGATTTCTACCGCCTCGCTCTGCCCGACCACAACTACAATTGGCCCGCAGTACAATTCGTCGCCAAGAATGGCAGCGAGAGTGTAGTGCTCGCCTTCCAACAACAGGCCATGATCAAACCCGTGAATCCTCCTTTGAAACTCCAGGGCTTGGAGCCTGAGGCTAGGTATTGGAATGATTTGGACAATGCGACGTATAGTGGGAATACGTATATGCATTCGGGGTTGAATGTTCATTTCGCCACGACGGATTATCAGTCGAAGGTGGTTTGGTTGCGGAAGGAGTAGATGGGAGGATTGAGATGAAGAATTTGAAAAGAAGAAAAGAAAAAGTTATTCGCAGCTAAGAAACGAATGTTGATTATAATATTGCAATTTAGGCGTGTGCTCCAATCGTCCTGAAATTTCACATCAGGTGCCAAGAATCAAGAAGGATCACGTACCTTGCTATGTAGACGAATTTCATCTCCGTATGAGCGGCGCCACTCCCAATCAATCAACTAGTTCTACAAAGAATTCCTACCCAGACTTACAACTACAAAAGCAGTACAGGACCGAAAATTTAGGCGCAGTTCACAGAAGTGGACATCGAAAGAACCAGGATACGAGCCATCAATTCTACTTAATAGCCGAGAGTCCGGACTCAAATCAAACCTAGTCGGGGAGCGGAAAATCCCTCTTCGGTGTCCTCCATCGAGAGTCCTCGAAGCAAACCAGGATGCGGAAATTCCTCTCCGTTCCGTGGTCGTTTGGCTGGCGGGAAACGAAGGACGCTGCCTACGATTGAATCAACCCGGAATGGCGCAATGGTAGAGGCGTTGACTTAGATGGCACAGTTGGTTGTATTATGCTGAGGGGGAATGGGGTTCTGGTGTATGATAGACGCTGTCTACGAGCAACACTCCAAAAAGGACAACTGCATAGACGACGCTTAGAATGACTTGGATAGTAGGGTTGGTAGTATTATGTAGAGGGACAATAGGGTTCCGGTGTACGAAGGACAATTTCCACCTCCGGAGCACTCCAAAGAGAATCATTTGTATAGACAGTGCTCAGAATGACTTGGATGATACTGTCAGTGTATTCGAGGAGGAAGGGCCATATCCCTGTCGTGCTTGTCTTGGCTTCTGGTGTACGAAGGACAATTTCCACCTCCGGAGCACCTCCAAAAAGAACAACAGCATAGACGATGCTGAGAAGAACCTAGATGCCACTGTCAGATAATCGAGGATGAAGGGCCACTTACCTGTCGTGCTTGTCTTGGCTTCTGTTGAACAGAAGAGCCCTCACACCGTCGCCCGAAGGCCTCAAGGTACAAGCACATCGTGAGGGTTGACTTTGATAACGCAGGTTGCTACTGCGGACCGATGTGGGTAACGACTCAGGGCGGTCATTCCACTGAGCTCCCAAAGTTGTGAGCCGCCAAGCAACAAACGCTCTCCGAAAACGAATGCTGGTCAGCTGGTGCCGGTGTCGACGTGGTGTGTGTGGTGTGGTGAATCGGAAGGAGGCCTCAAGCCACGTTGGAGTCGCGAACCACGGTGGTGGTGGTGGTGCGCCCGAAATGATAACTGGTGCGGCGGGAAGTCACCGCCATCTCGTCGGCGAGGTCGTTTCCTCGGATGCCGGAGTGTGCCTTGACGGCCTTGATGACGACCAGCATCGGCGAAGCAGCGTTGTTGTTGGCCAGATCTGCAATCAGGTTGCAGATGTCGATGGTGACCGCCAGGTGAGGCCAGCCACGCTGCACGCCGCCGAAAAAGCAGTGCTCGATGTCGCCGATCGCTTTGACGGCGTCGGTGAGGATCTCCAGGTCCGTCACCTTGCCGATCCAGTGCTCCTCGGCGTAGAGGAGGGCGGCCTTGATGCCCTCGAGCTCGGCGACCTTGGCGTTGGCTTGGAAGCCACAGGACTCTCCGAAACAGTGCCACATTTCCGTGGCTCTGTCTTTGAAGACGAAGGCGCAGCCAGCTACGTTCGTCTGAGGGTCGAAGCTGCCGTCGGTGTAGACGGCTTGGTAGCCGAAGGTTGGGGCGGTGAGGGGGTTGGTGGCGGTGGTGGTGCCGTGCGAAGCCATTTCGAAAGTTGTTGGGGTTGTTGTTGTTGCTGCTGTCTGTCTGTCGAATGGCTTTGCTGTCTGGAGAGAGAGGAAGGAAAGGAGGGAAGGGCAGAAAAGGAAGATATAACACTGACCAACTTCACCTACGTGAGAATTGAAACTACGATGACTATTCTCACAGCATTGTGAACCGCTGAAACACTTTCACACGGAGGTGAAGTGCAATGATCCAATAGCAGGCTACTATACCTCACAGTATCGTTTCAAGCTGGTCGAACTTCACGCGCTCAGGCCAGAAGGGCAATGGAGGTGGAGGTGAAATTCGGGGCATTGTGGCGAAGAGAATGCGCTGATTGTGTAGGGCCCTTGCAGCATCGATGATAGTTCTCCATGCGCAAGCAGAAAACGATCGAGATGTAGGCGAGATGTAGAGAAGGGGCGCCGTGGATGAGCGGAGAATGAGGTGCTCTGTAAGTGTAGTAATGGTTGGAGTGGTATACAGCAAAGAACTTCAAGCTTGTTAGTATGGTGAAGCAGTTCAAACGTCCTTGCCTATATATCGTTGGACCCTGAATTTGGCATTCGGCTTTGGACTGCGCATCGAATGCATGAATGAGGACCCTGAAGAGCATCAAAGAGGGACGACGATGAGATCAAGAATGTAGTGCAGACTCGCGTTGAGGCCTCCTGATTGAGATGCCGTAGAATTCTCAACAAGCGCGGAAAACACTTGACAAGGGGGCAGAAGACAAACGCTTTGAACAACGGCCTCGCATCCCTGCAACTTTCCCGCTTCCGCATCGTCGACAAGTGCTGCCCAATACCACGCTTGAATTGCTTGCTTCGTACACAACTTGATGGCGAGAATCAAGAGGCGAGAGATCGATTGAACGACGTTCGAATGGATTCAGGGCTATCCCGACACGCCACACTACCTACCAGAACCCGATCACCGTCGGCATCGATAGCCAGGACAATTGATGTGAAGTCTTCATGCTGCCCCTGATGCCGACATGCGGACGAAGTGGAACACCCTTACCAAAGACCCATGGTGCTCAACACCTCACCCCCAAGACTCCTTTCTCGAGGACATCCACACGCGGCCGATGCGAGCAGTGAAAAGCACGATTGCAAAGCATCCAGAAGTGAGTGACTGCTGATTGAAAGCTGCCACAAGCTGCAACCTCGCCTCTCGAGTTCGCTGGCTCGCAGAATGTGGCGTTCAGGACGGTGAGTCCTCGATCAAGACGAGAAAGAAGAAGGAGCACATACAGTCTGAACGCATTTGACGTTGAGCGTCTTCCTTGCCCTTCACCGCAGATGGATACAAATGAGACCTCGAGTGCTCGGCGGCACTACGGTGATCGAAAGAGGTGGAAAAGACGCTCATATCTCCCGACTGCGTGAAGATCTGTGTGGTGTAGTCGTCATCTGCAGGTGATCAACCCTACACTGTCACTTCAAGCCATTGGATGCCAGAGTTCCTACTGGATCAGCACAAGAAGCGTGTCAGATGGAGTACGAGGAGCTGGGTCGAGGCAGGACATCAGAAGCGGCTTAACCAGAGAGCATGCCTTTGCCGAAGCATCGGTTGCAAAAAGCAGTATGCTCTTCTTCAGCGAGGAATGGTTTTGCCGCCTCCGCCTGCACATCTGGAACTCGAGCGTAAAGACACGCGAGTGCGAATGTCATTCTGGGTCCAGCGTATCCGTCTCCGGCCAAGGCAGCAAAAGCTGGCTCTCCATGTCTCGATTGAGATTTTGCTCAGTGACCACCGCCCGGCCTAGCTGTCGCCCAGCTTCGGGCTTGATGAAAAGTACTCATGCGCAGAACGGCCCGTGAGGACTCGTGCGTGTCCTAACACCAGGCATCGGAATAGAGCCTTCTCTATAAGCACATCCAGGAACAGGGGTTAGATAAATCGCGGGTTGCTGAATCGAGAGCAGAAATTGGAGTCAGATACCGTCGGTCCTGGAGCAGGTGATTACTGGACACCTCCCGTCGCTCGGAAGACTCTGATCGTAAGCAAGTCTATTGTGGCACGCTTCCGAAAATCAACGCTCAGACCTCTCCCTGCCATGGAAAGGGGAAAGCGAAGAGACTAGGGATAGAGTCCCAATCCGAGCTTGAAACATCATCGCTATTCCTCGGCAAGACCGCAGCAGATAGCGGACAGGGCGTGGACTGCGTTGTCGAGAGCATGAAGCGGAAGCATAGGAGGTTAAAGGTGTGCTGTGTGATGGCTGCACGGTATCTCTCTCTCCTATAGTACTCCAATTCTCAACGGGTTTGAGCTAGCGAGGCTTCGAGATTGAACGCTTAGAAAGACTTTGGCAACTGAGGTAGCGTGTACAGAAATGCTGGTGAGTAAGTGTCTCGAGACTTCTCTCAAGCGGCTCAGCAACACCATCCTTCCCAGTGGAAGTCATAGCATTTGCTATACATGATCTGGATGGCTTCGTCCCGAGCATACAATGGAAGCAGATGGAATCGATCGAATATTACGAAGAGGCTTGACATCTCTTGACTTAAATCGCGCTCTGATCAAAACCTGATTCATAATAACTCGCATGGGAGATCCAGCGCCCAGAAAAGACGACATCGTCGAGCGTTGACATGCAAAGACGGCTTTTGGAGTAGAATGAGACTCATTACACATCTCACACCAACATCATGCCTCATACGGCTGACGATCACTATCTTTACTAGATGTCATTTAGCTTGCATAGCATATAACATTGAATAAGAGCAGACAAGCTGGATCTTGCGTGAAGTGGAACCCGATTTCTGTTTTTTTTTAATACACGCATTCTGACTTCAAACCATGCACTGTGCCACTCGACGGCTGGCGCGACTGCTATCCCAAGCAAAAGAGGACAAATACACCATTTAGTAGGAGAAAAGATCCATCTCACCTATTGTCTACATAGATCGACTCAAAAGGTAGTCGTATTGCTGTACGCTCTGTCGTTCCATCTCATTTCTCAGACGATCTCATTTGTCCCAAGGCAGCCTATGCCAACAACAGCGCCGACCTGCTTCAAATCCCCTCGTCCTCAATTCCCCCACTTCGTCTTGAACTTCGCACCGCCCTTGACCCAATTCATTGCCCCACTTCCCAGCTCTCCAGCCTTGCCACGAAGATGCTCCTGCGCGACCGTAAAACCATCCTTTGTTTCCTCTCTCAACACTCCTGGATCCCGCAGACAAGTCCAAAGCAGATTGAGAACATCGCACAGCCCGCCCAAAGGAATCTTGCCAGAAACCGTCACCCCAGCCCGGACATCGAGGCATGAACGGTTCTCGCGGATATCCAGGTCGAGTGTGATTTCAATGTCCTTTTGGCTTGGCTGGTATGCGAGTAGCATGTGTCGGGCAGAGCCTGGGGTCTCTGCGATCGCTTTTGTGACCGCAGCGTCTTCGATGTATCGATTGATATCCAGGCAGCTGTGTTGCTCGCCTTCGTCAATCTGGAGATAGTCATAGTCCATGATGTCGCTATAAGGTGGCAGGAACAGGACTTTGGTGTCTATGATAGCCGCAGCTATACACCGGTTGCGTGAGTCTCGAAAAGCGTCCTCGAAGACCAGCGGATTGATGGCGATACCGGAGAAGCTGGGAAGTGGGTTCCTGTCGAAGTCGTTCTGGTTGCGCGCTACGAGCTCTTCGAAGGTCGCATGCTGGGGCTCAGGGGCCAGATATGTGAGAGTGCGGAGCTTCGAGCTTGTTGCGAGGGTGTCGCGGAGCTGCTTGCAGACTCGAGTCGTCTTGATGATAGGGCGAATGTCGAGGAAGGAAAGAATGTGCTCGGCTAGCTCGACAACTTGGAGCGCCTCGGTCGCTTTGGTGCCGTTGTAGTTGTCCACGAAGTTCTGTTCTGGATTCATGGTTTCGGTTAGCGGGAGGAAACGATTGTGCGCTTGCGCTGCTATGAGTCCGTTCGTGGCGATGGCAAGTTGGCCGAATGCTTTGCAGTGATGTATGCCGGCGAAGGACGAAGAGTGGTTGCGACTGTGGGTTGGAGAGAGGAATGTAGTTCCTTGAGTTGTTTTGAATGGCGGCTTGTTGATGATCCCTGCACGTGAAGCGCGCTTCACCGGTTTCTTGGCGTGCATGTGAAGTTTCCAACGCGAAGCTCGTGACACGTGCAGAGTACTGATGCTGTGACCTGCAGAGTGCAATCATAAGGAGTGCCCCTGCTATGCGCGACGTCGCTAATATTACAAGCTACATTTGATGCTTGCCCACAGCCAGGACACGCTGATTTGTATACGCCTACCGCACCGCTTTAGGGAACTCGCAAAAGGAAGAAGAATGATTCGCATCAAACTAATATTGCTGGCTGAGTGCTGGAACTGCGCTGAAACATCCTCTGAAACGGACCAATTTTGAGCGAAGGCTCTATATGCCATCGGCGTCATCTGGAATACATCATCGCCGTGATCCTCCTGGTCCTCAGCGGCGCTGCGTTCGGCCTGCGTCAGGCCAGCTCTCGCTCACGAGGTGTCGCGCTTAATGCGGTGCCTCGAAATGCTGTGGCCTGAGGTCCCGAGTTGTCACCAACTTAGAACTGGGAAACAGAATTGAAGACAAAGCCAAGGTTCAAGGCGTTGAGAATGCTGCTTCTGCTCGATTTATCTGGGTTTCCAACGATATACAGGTTGAAATGCTTGAATGTACGTCATTTTCAGTGCTCTATAGTCTGGCGAAGTCGCAGTATTATATCCAGTCTGTAATATGCCACAGTGTCTGAACACACCTCAACTACGCTTTGACGTAGCAATCAAAGCAATCAAAGATCCTTTATGGGGGCATTGGATCTACAGCGCTCTGGTCTGAATTTAACTCCTTCGAGGTCCATTCATGCATTAACTGGAATTTTCCATGCCCGTTGCGGTATTGATCTCAAAGTCAATGGGCTGAAATGAACGTTTTGCCTGAGTTCCGATCTGTTCTGATGTCAAATAATCCACGGGATTCGCAGTCTCGTATTCATCTTGGAGTCAATGGGCTGGAGAAATTTCATCTATAAAGCTTTTGCCTGAGCTCTGATCTGCTCTGATGCCGAATGATCTACGGGACTCGCAGTCTCGTGGCCACGAGGCTACATCGCCGACCTGCGGGCGAAGCAGTACGTTACTAAGGAGAAAGCCTCTTGTCGATCGATATACACTTCAGACCGCAAGAATCGCATTGTGATTCATCACATGAGACAGAACAGGATGATATCAGTACAGTATGAAGTCAGCCCATGAATGAGATTCAAGGTCGATGTAGCCTAGGTGGAAATCGGATATTGCAGGACGTTGGAAGATACTTACTGTTCTATGCAGATCTTGAATTGTGCCTCTTACATTGACAAGAACCGATTAAATTGGACGTAGGAATGTGAGAATGACCGCGGCGCGGTAATGAATGTCGAAAGATTCACCAAGAACTCACCGTGTCCAGCACGATGAGAGTTAATGAAGTTACTTACCAATCTTGATCAACCATTGCTATCCTTTAAGAAGATTGTCCTTCAACCGAGCTACGGCCTGCGGGTTCCAAACAGTGTTTGTTTCTAGGTGCGCATCGACCGTACTCTCTACCGGTGGTGGTCGGCAGCACGCGCAAACTTCGGTGTCTTCCTCGATATCTATAAGATCGGAGTCGGTTACCTCGTCTGGTATGCCAGTAAGATTCTGTTCGTTCTCTACGAATGCAGAGAGCTCCCAGAGACCTACAAAGCGTTTCTCCTCCTCCTCCGGACGACAGTGGACTGTAATTTCCGTGAAGTCGTTCTTGAGCTCGAGTACCTGAGTGACTTGGAGAACAACCTGCTCCCTGATGCTTTCCTCGTATGCGGTGAGCGGACGTGTATCCATGATAGGATATAGCTTGTCCCTGATTCTTGACAGGTGCCATCTGCAAGCGTTATCGATCTCGCCTGCGGCCTTGCCGACGTGGAGTGAAGGCTAGAGACTAGAGACGCGGCCGATAAGCTAATATTCGGGAACCCAGAGCGGGACGAATGAGAAGACGCCGCGTCGAATCATTCGCTCTGCGTTGGGCGCTTCGAGGATCGTGATACCGATGGAGTTGAGGAATTACTTGTCTGTGTCAGTGAATCTCGGATCTTGGGCGAAGAGTTCGATGGACTTACATCCTGGACGGTTCTCCTCGAGGAAGTGGACCATATCCATGAAGAGCGCCAACTGCTCGAGCGAGATCCGATTGTTGAGGCTGCCTAGTGCCATGCAGACTGCTTTTGAGATCTGCCAGCCCCCCTTTGGAGTGCTGGATTGCAGTTGACTATGCAGTTCTGTCTTGATTCTTGACGTGCGCCAGTCCTGCTGGGCGGTTTTCCACGACGTGGGGAGATTGGTGTCGATGCCGAATTCTCGTGCCGTATTGGCAATAAAATCAGTTTGAGGCTCGGCCATTTCAGACTTCGCGTTGTCGATTTTGTTGGTGCTCGTGATGGTGGGAAGTAGCTGAGTTGTGGAATCGTTGTGCGATGACTGATTGGCCGATGTACTCATGGGTAACGGTAGTGGTTGGTTGATGAGAAAAACAGATCTCGGCGGTCCCAGAGCTGCATTCCATGCCATGACAGAGATGTGGAATACAATGACCATTGTAGCAATGCCTTTGATCGAGACATCAATGACAGAGGAATGGAACACAATAGCCTTGGTAGCGGTGCTTTTGATCGAGACAGCAATGAGAGAGGACTGGAACACAATAGCCTTTGTAGCGGTGCTTTTAATCGAGTGAACAACGAACTCTTTGTCGCGTGACAAGACTCCAAAGGCTAACCAAAGGCTGTGAGAAAGCCGAGAATGTGCCGATTTCCGAATCTGGGCTGTCAACGAACCCCTTGGATCCGGGAGAAATTCAGAAGCCAGAGGCCGTCGTACCGAGTACCTAAGTGATGTTAGTGCGACCTGTGTGAACAGATGCTCTATACCTTGTATCAGTGATGCGGAGCCAACAACATACTCAGCTGCCAGTCCAATAGGTCACGATAGAACGTGGTAGTAGAAGGTTCCTAGCTTAAAAACTTCTGAAAGGAGCAGTAGAGCGGGCGCTCGGCTTGTATCTCTCGTAGATATCTACTTCAAGAAGGATCTTAGAGAGGTAAGGTAATATTTCACCCAGTCGCTCTCGATAGACTATCTTGTGACGTTGCTTCGAGTGTCGTCACACGATTGATGCTTATGCAAATCGTGGTTTCGTCTATGATCGTAGCTGAGTAGCGTGTAATCGCCAAAGGTAGTGCATCTCTCTCCTGTATAGATGGGTGTGCAAGCGTTAAACAGAAATGAAGAGGGAACTTCGTCATTCCTTTACGCCACCGTTATTTGCTAGCCCTCTTTGACTTTTGATCAAAAATCTCTCTCACCATTCTTGTCCACTTACACATTCTTTCCAAATCTCGCCTCAATCCCATCATCCTCCGCGGCAAAGGACCGCCGAGCAAACGTAAACCGCCATCACAGTACCATCCGAAGGGATTCCAATCGCTCACTAGTCAATAAATGCCGAGTTGATTCATACTTCCACACCGAAATCTTCCCATCCCCCATCAACATTTCACCTATCCCGCTAGGGGCCAAAAATCATCAGCTCCTTCTGATTGCACGCACGCCCCTTCAAAGCCTCGCCTTGATAACATCATCCCCCAACGCAATATAATAATTCACCAAATCCGAAGACGAAGTCACACTAAACATCAACCTCGTCCCCAAATCAACCTTTAAATAATCATTCCCCTTATACGTAACCTTGGTTCCAACAGGCACAGTCCTACCCCATCAAGAAAAAAAAAATCAGCACTCACTCTCCCCTCCCAACCCCTCCCTCAAGATAATTGATTTAATACTCACACATTCTCCCCCCTCGCACTACTCGCCTCACTCCTCCACCTCAACCCAATCGTCTCACAACTCTCAAACGTCTCTAACACAGAATACTTCACATCCGTAACCAGATTTCCACTATACCCTTCCCCCGAAATACTGTTTTCCAAAGCGGCTTTGTTGGGATATACGGGTGCAGGATCGCCGAAAGATGCGCCTTCGTCGTAATAGGTGAAGTTTTCTGAGATTGTGGAGTCGATGAGGGCGAAACCGGTGCCGTTGCCGAGGGAGTCGGTTTGGAAGATTTGGAGCCAACGGAGGGCGATGTTGGAGGCTTCGGGAGAGTTGAGGCATGGACAGGAGGAGGAGAGGGGACCGCAGGGGTTTGCGAGGGTGTTGGTGAAGAGAGTTGGGAGGAGGAGGAGGAGGTGGGGAAGCATTGTGGGTGATAGTTAGTATGGGATGTTGTTTACGAATGTGCTGCGCGAGAATTGTGGTTGAAGGTATGTCTTCTCGACTTATTCTTCTTCTTCTTCTTCTTCTTCTTCTTCTTCTCGATTCAACTGCGTTATAATCGTCCAGTTATAAGCCAACCATATATCGTCAAGTCAAAGTCGACGTCGAGCTCCAAGAGGTGATGTCTTTTCGAGTGTAGAAGCGATCGTCAATGCGTCATTTCGGCTCGCATCCCAATGGTCGAGCTGTATCAAACTTCATTGCTACAGCTATTGGCTTGTCAAATGGCCCTGCTTTTGCCTGTTCCTGGATGCGGGGTGAAGTCAGACTTCCGGATTGGGAATTGGCGGCGAGGTGTGCTTCATGTAAATGAGTTGTTGGACGGACATGTGAAGAGGATCACACTCCCAACCTAATGAAGTTTCAACAAGATGTCGTGCAATTTTCTCCATCTTTGCCGTCTCGGCCGCATGATCCTAATGCCAGCCTTCTTTCCTTGTCAACGCAGAGTCGTATCCACAAAGCTCCCAGCCACAAATCCAGAGTACCCGCGGAATCTTCAGCGGATTTGCATCGGGATAGTTTCAGTTTCCACGATGGGCTCCGATCCATTTCCCCAAGGGTAAAGTGCGAATCAGCACAAGATCGAGCCGCCGACTTGAAATGATGCGACGCCGAAGTATGCATGCTCGATTTGGAGGAGTTTGATGCCATGATGTAAGACTAGAAATGTTGTGCTGATGACTAGAGCTCGGGCTACTGTTCTGGTAGGCTCAGTCGGCGCCGAATGAGACTCGCAGAACTCCGGCGGAACTGATTAGGAGGGAGAGGTAGCCGTTTAATCGATGGAGGAGAAGTATGTAGTGGCGAAAGCAAACGGGTATTACGGCGGGTAGAATAAATGTGAAGAGGTCTTCGGAAGTTGCATGCCTGGAGGCAGTAGTAGTAGGAGTAGCATTCTCCAAGCCAAGCCAAGCCAAGAGGATCACGGGTGCGCGTGATACTAAGCAGATGGCAGATAGGCTGCAAACGCCAGATTTGGTCGCCGCGATTTCTTTCGAACGGTGTCATGGAGCTCTCGCGTAGACACTATACAGTCCAACAAAATGCTGTTTCGGAGTAATGTGCGCTGGTTTCGCCAGTAACGATCCGCTGTACAACATCGCTAAGCCTGACCCCGTCCTGGAGCCTGTCGATATGTCCTCTAAAGACCTCCCTCATTACTGTCCTTCGGATGACGAAGCAGCAGGTGACCTGAGGACTAGGAGGCTGGGTTATATGCTACATACTGTTCCAGGCTCCAGCATATGTGCCAGCTTCTGGGCGCGGATCTCTGCTGAAACGCAGAAGTGCACTGCCGTGGGAGACAAGAGAGGTTGTGGTCTCGTTCTGGTATTCCTCGAACCTATCCATATAGCAACAAAAGGTCGCCGAGTTGCACTGGCCCAAAACCACGTCCAGTGAGTAGTGGAGACGATCCGACGTCGGCAGATCAGCAGGAAGGTCTTCAGGATCATCGAAGACGTGCAGCTCCCGGTCACCCGTGCCTCGATCGCGGCGGATCTCGTGGGATAAGGAACAAGCTGTCCCTATGCTCGGAATTCCCATCGATCAAATGGCGCCAGGTAGAACAGACATCTCGTGCCACCAGGAGGCCTTCTACCGAGAGGAAAGACGCGATGGATTCCAGGAGTTCTACCGGGAGCCTGGCGAAGTGGCAAGTTTCCTGTGCTTGAGCCATCGAGGGGGCGTAGCTACGCTGACACAATGCGTCTAAGGAGGAGTGGGGAGGATGGCGAGATGGACAGAAAGAAAGGGATGAAATTGAAGTCTAAAACCGAAGGTCTGAAATTGAAGGGCGGGGGCGGGGGCGGAGGCGGAGGCGGAGGCGGAGGCGGAGGCGGAGGCGGAGGCGGAGGCGGAGAACCTGAGAGGCTCAAAATCTTGGCCCGCCAACACCACGACTTCTTTCACTCAATCGACCTGCCACCACCAAAGCCGACGCTCCCACTCCTCCAGCATATCAACAACATCGCAGCATTCCCAGCTGCTACACGGCTTTGCACACTGACGCTCATGTCGTCAAAGTGCGACACTCCGCCAAGCAGTGATATCGAACAGTCTCCGCACCTCCCGCCCTCTCCGCCCCTCTCCCCAAAGCCTTCCGCCGCCCCGATCGCGCCCGTCGACAGACTCATTGGCATTCTGAAGCTCCGTCGTGCTGGACGACTTCCTCTCGCAGGCGATTGCCAGTCATTCATACTCGACGGCGGCAGTTTTGAGGTCCTCGAAGACCGAATAGAGAAGGAAGGTCTCCTCCCCTACTTCGAAGACAAAGTCCGCTACGACTACCACGGGCGCCGATTTACCCTGCGCATGCCCAGCGCCACTCATGAACGGTTCATAGCTTCGGTTGAGGATCTTATCTTTGCTGGAATCCAAGAGGTGGCAGATCGACTGGCGGAAGACAAGCAGGATGAGATTGCGAAAGCGCTGAGAGGCATAGACAAAGGCCGAAGCACGACTCTGGAACTGCACGCCCCGAAGCTGGAGAATAGCAGCCAGGAGAGCGAGGCTGCGGAGAAAGTAGTGCGCAGAAGTCCAGATGCTACGTTCTATTGCAATGCGGGAGAGGAGGGAGCGGAACTGCCAGCGCTGGTGGTGGAGGTGAGCTATTCGCAGCAGAAGAAGGATTTGCCCAGGCTGGCGGAGAGCTACGTTATCGACTCCAAGCATGCGATAAGATGCGTGCTGGGACTTGACATTACGTACAGCAATGCAAAAGGGCAAGCGCCGAAAGATCACACTGCGACAATCTCAGTCTGGCGCCCGGATGTCGAATTCGATGGAGATGGAGAAGAGATTGGAGTCTGCGCATGCGATGTACACGAGATGCCCTTTCGGGGCAGCCAGGGCATCACCTGCGAGGGAGAGTTACAGCTAACGCTATCTGACCTCCTTCCAAAACCGATCATGCAAAAGCTACCAGCGACTGCCTACGACGAGCACATTATCATCCCATTCGGCGATCTCGCAGCTTCCCTCTACAAAGCTGAGCTCGTCACTACCGCGAAACCACCGAACCCAACTAAACTAACACCAAGGAAGTTCCGCAAGCGAAAGCGATCGCCTTCGGAAGAGCTGTCTGATGAACGAGAGTCAAGGTACCAGAAGCTGGAGAAAGCAGACTCGGAGAAGGAGCGCAAGGTGGATCAAGATTGGGAACAGCCACGACAGCGCGTGAAGACGGAGCCATTGCCAGGGACACCGACTGAGATTGTAGAGCGCAGAAGGAGCAAGCGGACAGCTAGCGGGAGAGCCGTGGGTGGTGCAAGCTGAAGATGTGGACTTGGTCGATGACCGCCGACGACATGCCAGACGCAACCATACCGATCATTCTGCTCCCGTCACCCCCAGTATACGCTCTCGCCACGGCAGGTTGGAATCTGCTTCTACAACACAGGCCTCCCATAGCAGTTCTAGTCATGCTCGCGATGCTCTTGACAGTCCTGACAGAGCTGCCCGTGAATCAGGTCCAACTTCACGCCTCTCGGAAGTGTTGAGCTCCAGTATACGATTCTGTGCAACTGTGGCTCAATGTGCCTCGCATTCGCGCTGAACAGCATGAGCCTCAGGCGGAGAGTACTGTCAGCCTCGATCACGGAGGGAACACAAACACGCTTGTGTTTGTGCTGGAGCGCTGCCCACGTTCCCATGACTCGAAGGGTTTCAGCGCGGTATGGAATGTCGCCAATTGCCTGGATCGGCGCAATACGAGCAAGCTGAGTGCCTCGTGCGACCGTCACTGCAGCATAAGAAGATGCCATATTTACAATCAAGGCACAATTTCAAACACTTCTTCATCGACATATCCGCAAGATGTTCCACATAGCTTCTTCTGTCGTGACCTTTGCCTTCGTGGCAGGCATCGCCGCGCAGGATTTTGATCTACCGTCGTATCCCACTTGCACCAAGACCATCACGCACATAGCCTCGGAGTGCTGTCCGCCAGTCCCAACCGCCACCGCAACTGCTTACACGGACTGCGGAGGTTGCGCATTGACGACCGCTTCCGTACCTCTTCCATGTTTTGCCCCATGCACAACGACGGAGACGGCGGGAAGAACAACAATCACCAAGTGCAGCGCATCACCAACTCCTTCGACGAGCAAGGACGACAGTCCATGCACCAAAACCCTCACCGAATTCCAAAATCCTTGTGGAGGATGCTAGAGCTATTCCACGAGTACGTACCTCTATAATCCATCCACACTTCGAAACCGCATACCGTAAGCTAAATTTTTTTTTGCCCCAGGTTTCGTGCATTCCAGTACCTTCACCAGCGACTGCAGTGGATGTTCGCTCGCTAGCATCACTACAACACACGCCGATGTGGGCGTTTGCTTGAGGGCAATGGCAAGGGCAAAGCGGATTGTGTGTCCGCATGGCGAGGTGCAGATTTTTACGGATCGGGATACTACTAAGACGGTGACGGCTTGTGCTGCGAGGAGTCGGACTCAGATCACTTCCGTGATTTGTGGATGAGGTGTTGTTGTAAAGGGCTTGATAGGTTCGTCAAGGTTTGGCTTATATGAGGTTAAGATGTGTCTACGGCGCGTTTTCGATTTTCTGTGCTTTGGATTTTTGTGCATATATACTCTAAGGCGCTCGGGAGTCGCGCTTATACTTAGTATAGGGCCTAGGTAGAACTTAGCGCCGATACGGTTTTAATATTAGAGAGGGTATTATGCTTGTTTTTTATATCTTTCTATTTAGAGTAGTAGGTACGTCTACGCCTATAAATATAAAGAAGGTTATTTTTTTTTTCTCGTTAAGAAGTTCTAAACTAATAATAAGAAGGAGGAAAAGGAAGAGGACGACATATATAAGTATATAAGCGCGTAGGTACTATACCTTAAATCCTAGGCGATTAGAAAAAAAAGCACTCGTCTTTCTTTTCTTCTTACGCGTAATAAGGAATAAAATTCCTTATACTTAACCGGGCGTACGTTCTCTACCTATATATAGTTATATAAAGGTATATGTCCGTCGCGAGAAATATACTTAAGTTAAAGGCAGAAATCTTCGAGGTATATTAAGCTCGGAGTAGGATAAAGTTGCGCTAGAGCTAGATTTGGTCTAAGGATGTCTAGTTTAACGACCTCGAGGGGTGCTTAGATGTTAGAGCAGAAGTCGCTTTATTAAGACCGAGATATCGATAGGAATATAGGAGTAGGGGTAGAAGTTTAGTAATAAGGGCTCGAAGAGGAGGTAAGCCCGGTTTATATAAACCCAATTTAGCGCCGTAACTACCTGCTACTAATAGGCATGCGTATGGCTTGTTCAGATCGCTCTCCTCGGGTGGATTTGTAACATGAGCTTGGAACATTACTTAGCATATGTTGCGAAGTTCGTGAACGGGAGTCCGTATCTGCAATTGGGAGGAGGGTTCTAGAGGAGTTGTCATTAAATCATCTTCCAAAAGAGTTGGGAGGGGTGCCGAGACGAGTGAGGTTGAACAATGAATGCAGCTGTCAGGCCGAAGGTGGTTATAATAAAGCATAAGCGGCGTCTACTCGGACATTGTTCGGCATTTGCCCGTTGGATACACCGGCGGAACTCATCAACGTTGCCTATTATACCTGTTGCAATTTCGAGCAATCCAAGTTCTCAATCTTTGCGTACCATATCACGCTCAAACTTTCCGCAAAACTTGCATCTCGGACATCACAGAGCTTGAGAATTCGGGCGTACCTGTCTCGGGTGAATCTCCAGCAAGGACAAGGTCAAGACCTTCGGAATCGTTCATACGGAAATTTCCTGCGACGAACAAGTTTCTTGTCCTTCATCATCATCAGACCAAAGTTCGCAGTTCGGACATTTGAGGAAAAGCAGAAGCAGGTCCGAGAGCGGTGTCCTTGATCTTGGCAGGACACCTCGGACAGGTCTTGTTTGAAGTGCTGACGGCTGACCGGTGAACCTTGGCAAAGGGAAAAAGTAAAGTGTTGTGAGGAGGTACAAAAGGCCGCGCAAGCAGAGGTGCTGTCAGCTGAGTGGTAATAAAGGTCTTATGTACGCTCAACGTCGAGGCAGGATTTGTGCTGAGGAGGGTCAGCGGGATGGTACAGCTGAGTGCATTGTGGGAGCACAACAGCGAGCACGAAGACGCCCTTCTGGGTGTCCACGTATGCCTGTCGACTTGGCATGCTGATATGACAGCATGGCTGGGAGCAGATGGGAGAGAACAATGCATGAAACAGCCGGTCGGCTTGCTCTGAAAGGCCGGAGGAAGGAAGCGATCCTGCAGCACACGTGAGAGTCTACTGTACCGATTGCCAGAATGGAGATGATGTGGTCTGACGGGAGGCCTGAGGAAGGAAGTTGGTAGGAAGAAATTGTTGTGCTCGCCCAAGTTTGGTACGCACTGCCCTGCCAGCCCATTCTTCCTTCTGTGCAGAAGATGGTTGCGGTCCGACAGGCTGACTCTCATATGTGAGGATTATTATGAAGAAGGGGAAGACAATTTTGGAGGAGGCTCTGTGAAGGTTTCGAGATCGGATGTCGGGCGATCGGTGCGGGTACTGGGATCGATCTTGGTATAGCGTGGTCGATGGGTGAATGGTTCTCATGAAGCACTTTACGCATATCAAACGGGATTGATCGATACCATCAATGATAATATGGTCCTCACCCAGACATTCACTCTCATCAAGCAGGCCAAGATGGAACACAAGCAACGCAAACATCGACACTGCCAAGAAGTTCATCAACGGCTCTCCATCGGCAGCGCTCAAAATAGACCAGGGGTTGTGCTGCTCGGGCCGGCCAAAGCTACAACTCCTCCTCTCTGTGCTGCAGACTTCAGCCTCTTCCTGCAAAACGTCTGCGCTTCCATCGATAGAACCCACAGTCGATCCTCCACACTTTTGTCCTGCAACGTCCAGTCGAATGCGTCTGCCGGCATGACGCGTATTCTCCGACGCAGGATGGCAGAAGTGTGCAACAGGCGTTCCGTGGCACTGGCACTGCGCCTGGTCACGAGCAAGACCACCAGATGTATATGAGAACAGCTTCAGCCCAGTGAGCCCCATACCCTCTCCATCCTCACCTCCAGCATCATCTCCTAGTCGCTTTTCATCCTTACGTCTCTTCGAGTCCAGCCGAAGCAGCAGTATAACATCAGTGCCCTTTACCTCTACCAGCAAAACACCTCCACCCAATCTCCACCATGAAGCAGACCATCGCAGCGACTGCTCTCCTCTCCGGCCTCGCCGCCGCTGTCCCTCAATGGGGCGGACACGGCGGTCCTAACAATGGCGGAAGCTGGGGTGCGGGCGGCCCATTCGCCGGCTTCCCATCGTGCGTTTCGTCCTGCCGCGACAGCAACGCCGATTACAGCAACTACAAGAGCCTGTGCACGAACAACGACATGCTGAACACCCTCAACACCTGCGTCGACGACTCATCCTGCAGCGACTCCGAGAAGAGCGACGTCAAGGAGACGATTGCCCAGCTGTGCGCAAACTCGGGCGCGACCATCACCGCGGCACCGTTCGCCTCGTACTCGGTGACGAGTGGTAAGTGGAGCACACACACATCACCGCCCGGCGGCGCGTGGGCACCAGGAGCGTGGGGACAATGGGCGAGCTCTGCGGGCGTGAGCGGATGGCCGACGAACACGGCGGAATGGTCGAGCTGGGCGAGCGCCAATGGCCTCCCAACCGCAACCTCCGCATGGTCGTCTTGGGCATCTGCAAACGGCTGGGGACCTGGCCGAGTCGGTGGCGGTGCTGGCCATTGGCCTACGTCTGCCTGGTCGGACTTCTCCTCGTGGACCTCTGCTGCTGGTCTTACCGCCGCGCCACCCAACACCGCCGAGTGGGACTCCATCACTTCTGCCCATCCCCTTCCCTCCGACCTCTCCTCGGCTGCTGGCTGGTGGCGTGCTAATGGCTTCCCAGGCGGCTCTGCATGGCCGACTGCGTGGACCACAAACTCCGCCTGGGCTTCTGCTGTAAGCGCATGGAATGGTAATGGAAACGGTCGTCCAGGCTGGGGAGGCCCAGGTGCTGGCGGATTCGGTCCTTTCGGACAGCATGGTGGTCCAGGCGGCAACGGCTGGGGCGCTGGACCATGGGCAAGCAGCGGTGCATGGACAAGTGGAGCGTGGACTAGCTGGTGGGGAACCAAGGCCTGCCCAGCAAGCACATGGTCTGGTGAGTAAACACAATCATCACACGTTTTTCCGCAGCCCCACTGACTTCTTCCAGGCTGGACCGATGCTTCCTGGTCGACTTCCGCCCCATGGACCACCTGGTCCGCATGCACTGCTCAAACCACCGCCACCACCACCGTCACCGTCACCACAACCGACTCCTCCGGCTCTTCCATCACCTCCATTAGCACCTCTTTCGGCATCCGTGTCGCCGAGGCCACCTCCGATTCCAATGACAATGACAACGACAACGGCAATGCTGCCTCTTCCACCAACAGCGATTCTGGCGCCATGCCAACCAACCGTGCCGTTTTTGGCGCTGCTGCTGGTGTCTTTGGTGTCGTTGCCGGTGCCCTTGTGCTCTAAGTCAATCAGGATTTGATACCATGAAAAATTATCTGGGTCTCAACGCATTTGCTTGGCGCAACGGCACAGGAACACATCGTAATGTTGATGCGATACCCACCTTGAAAAGAGTCGGAATAGATTGGAGATGTGTTCTATAGTGAGCTCGACGAGGATGATTGAATGGAATTATGATATGACTTTTTTTTGAGCTAGAAAAGAATGAAATGCATAGTGTTGGACTCATGCTTAAGCTTTGCATCTTGGATTGCATTTCATCTCAGTTTTCTGTTCTGCCGCGTTTGTATCTTCGACAGCTCTTTGTCGTTCCTTGTGGGCTGGATACTGGTGGCCTCGCGGTATGCATGAAGGTACGAAGCAGATCTATCTTATTGGCTGAATCTATAGCAGGAAACGTGCGCGCAGGTGAACTCCACCACCAAAATCAGCGGCTGTGCTCAGCAGAGTGAGAACATGAACATCATCTTGTCTTCGCGCCACGCAGCTTCTCGTTTTCATCAACATCACTGACCACCTCTTCGACATGGCAGAGTCAAGCAGCTGGCACGATACCTTAGAAATCCGCCCTCGCCCCAACCAACAACCCCCAACCCGCGACACCGCCCTCCCCGAAGCTACCATCACCGCTACCGCTCCCCTGGCAGCCATCTACGCCTCGAACACTTTACAAAACACATCCGGAAGTAGCGATATCCGAATCCTCCTCCTCGCCCCCTCCCGAAACCCTCACGCAAACCTCTCCGGAGCCTTAACAGTCATCTCCCTGCCCAGCTCCGAACAATTCGCATACGAAGCCCTCTCATACACCTGGGATGCCCCCCTGCATTCCCACGGCCAATATCTCGGCGTCGGAACTCTCTGGATTGAAGAGATCCCGGTCTGCATTACGGGAAATCTTAGCGCTGCACTCAAACGGCTCCGGCAGAGGGATCGGGTTCGTGCCCTCTGGGTCGATGCGGTGTGTATGAATCTCGAAGACCATTTCGAGCGTGCGACGCAGGTGCATCGCGTGCCTGAGATTTTTGGGAGCGCTGTACGGGTGATTGCGTGGCTTGGGGGGGATTACGAGAGTGGTGGTGGTGGTGTTGGGGAGGCGTTTGTTTTGGCGAGGTCTGTGAGCCGCGAGATGATGGATTGGGATGGTGATGGTGATGATGGAGAGGACGGGAGTGGGAGTCTGGAGGATGGTGATGTGCGACAGCTCTGGGAATGTGTTATGCAGAGACGGTTCTTTCAACGAAGATGGGTTTTGGGAGAGCTCGCTTGCGCTGACAAGATCTTGTTCGTTTGTGGCGCGGCTTCCATCTCGGATCAGGACTTGCTTGCGTATATCGACGGAGCGCATTGGTCGACGTTGACGGATTCCTTCCAGTCCTCGGATCTTGTCCGCTTTTTCGATCGCCTGAGAGGAATGAAATCGCAGTCTATTCTGGATATCCTCTACACGTTCCAAAATTTCGGGTGCAGGGACGATAGAGATCGGATTGCGGCTTTTATGGGGGTTTTTAAGGGTTCGATGGGGAAGTTTAGGATGAGCTACGATGTTGAGTGTGAGGAGCTTTATTTTTTGTTCGCGGGTTGTTTGATGGAGGATCGTAATTGCGTTCCGCAGCTTCTCCAGGCCGCTGCGTTTCAAGCGAAGGAAAGATTTGAGACGGGTGATTCGAGGCTACAGACTTGGGTCCCGGATTGGAGAATGAAAGTGCCCAAACCTGCGAAGAATTTTTGGTGGGGGAGAGGTGGAGAGAGATCTGGGAGTATGGACTTTCAGACATTGAATTCTGGGGTTTTGCGAGCGGAGTTGCCGTTTTATGGTTACATACACAAAGGCTTCTCGCAGACTGAAATGGCGTACGACGAGAATGCTATTCTCCCGATTGATGGGGATTGTATTTGTGGGCCTATGTGGAGCGATTTCGAAATTGGGGAGGAGGTGGAGGAGGAGGATGTTGAGGCTTGCTATCTTGTCCTTAGACCTGCTGACGGCGGTTGTTATACTATTGTTGGGTTTTGTGGGGTGTTTCTGGAGGGATTTGTTTCAGTGGGCGAGAATGCGGTCAAGGAATTTTGGATCGCGTAGGGGATCATTGGGATTGTATTGTGCTTGCGGATCTGGCGAAAGGCTCCATGTCTCGGCGTCGAGAAGGAGATTCGGCAAAAGTCATGAAATGAGAAGTCTTCTTGTAGATACCTTACCTGCAACTCTCGGCGGAGGAATGGAAAGGTTCAAGGCGTGGAGCGAAAAAGCTTTACCTTTGCTATTTCCGCTCAAGCACGGTCCGATGAACCTGGAAGACAGTCTCGAGCGTAGTCACAGCTGTGACATGCTGGTGGTCAGCGCCAGACCTTCCTGCCTGTAGCCCTAACTGGAATCAATGCTGCCTAGTTCGGAGAGGACTTCATTCTGGCGCTCCCGGGAACGGAGACAGGAGATGTTATACGATACAGGAAGAAGTGGTCTCAGATGCCCTGAAATGACCGAGACACTATGGTATCAGTTCATGGCTAGAATTCGACCGTCGAGCAAGCAAAGAGCACTAGAGTCACTTCAGCCCGTTATATAGCAGCTCACCTTTGAGGACCAAATCAGGCCTCCTTCAATCAGGAGCCCGTATACTATCCTTCTCGAGTTGCATTTCAGCCTATTAGCAGTTATGCTCTACGATAAGCCTGATTCGCGTAGAGCAACTACGTCTTCACGAGGAGACCTGGTTCCCCTAATCACTTGACGTCTTCTTCATCTCGCAAAGCCAATTCTGTGCTGTTCCAAGTGTAGCTAAGCTGAGCCGCAAAGATGCCTTAGAAGAGCACGACCTAGTAAAAGGAATATATATTTACGCTCTCCGAAATCCCTATAGAAGTTATTATATTATGCTTTCGGATCGTATCTAGATTTAGGCACAATCCTATCAGGAAGAGTTAAATTTAGAGGAAAAGCCACAAGCTAACATACTACATTAAGCTCTCTACTACTTCGATCTTGAGCCCCGATCTCGTGCTGCCCGGGCCGACTCGTGATAAAAGCACGCTATAGCACTGTCAATAGCGAGATCTAGCTAGTAATAAGACTACGGACTAACGTCGACTCTAGTGCTCTCCGCTTGCCTGTTTCACTGCGGGATTTCTCACTGCGAGACTCTTTTCGAAGTTTAGTCTAGTATCTACAAGCGGTTCAGGGGAGTCGGCAGACGGGTTGTTCTTAATTCTGGAAAATGAAGCCGGTTCGCAACTGCTAGGATTGACGTGAGTCTCCTGTAGCACTACCGGCTTCTAAGAGACAAGTGTCGTCGAAATTGTACGCGACTTGAAGAGCGTAGAGCCACGGCATGAAGAAGAAGAACGTTCTTGTCTCTACATCGAATTCACATCCTAGCGCCAGCGTACTCATTCTCATTCATGTTTTCCTTGGTCCACTCATCTATGTCTGTGTGATGCTGCTTTTTCTTTGATGCTGTATGCAATCTCGTCGCCAACGTTGACGTCGTCAATGACAGGGCGTCGCTGACCCGAATCGTCGCGGCCTGCGCCGTCTTCGCCTAAGTGGCTGGAATCGTCATTGTTAGCCTCTGGCGCCTCTTCTCCACCGTCCCGAGGAGCGTCGTTCTCTTGTAGGGGGTCGCCGTTTGGGTGGACCTGTTGCATATTCTGCGTGACGTACTGGCCTGGGTTGTACACATCGTTGTAGCAGGTCGTGCTCATCGCGCGTGCCTCAACCTTAGTTCAGCCCTTAGCGGTGAGAACAAAAGCCTCACCAACCTCTACGAGCGTCATTCCGACGCTAGCCTCAAGGATCTGCTGCGTGAACTCAGTGTTCAACGTCGTCTTGATGCGTGGAAACGCGACAGGAATTGCGTCGGCGAGCTGGGCGGATGTCAACGGCTCTCTGGCGTAGAGTAGAGCGTAGATAGGACTGATTGAAATGAGAGTTGTGCAGCGTCAGCATATACAACCAAAGTAGCCCCCGATCAGTAGAGAGTGGACAGCTATACACTCGCTCTTCGTATATAGACTGCCCCTTCTCTGAATAATGCAAGAACAGAACTCAGTTAGTATACCAGCTGCACAGTGCCCGCTCTAGAGCTAGAGCTACGTTGGGCTGGACTTCAGATATCACAAGTTCTCTCGTGGGCTTGAAGGAGTTGCTTGTCGATCAGCTCGTTGCGCGTGCGCCAACCTCGAAGGCGCTGTTTCTCGAGCTTCTTCTCCTCACTAGAAGGGACTGGCTGTTACTTGAATTGTGACTCGATGGGAGTGGCGAGGAACTCAGAGGTAGCCAGCGTGGGCGATTGCACCAAATCGATCAATGTAGGCGGTTGCGGTGGCGCGCTATCCGCTTGCCGTGGATTCTGCACGTCTGTCGATGGCGCGCCTTTTGGCGTAGCAGGATTGCGACTTGTCGGCGCCGAACGTGATGGTATGGATGCTGACGCCGCCTTCAAAAGCCGTGAGTCTTTGTTGTCGCGTCGGTCGGTAGGATTGTTGGCAATCAAAGCGTCTACCTTTGCCTGTCAGTCGTCCTGTTCTTTCAACCAGCGCACCGCTCCCTTAGGGGCGTCAGGCCGTCGGCGGGTTGATGCGGAGGCGAACATAGGTTCCCAGATGATCCCCTGTTTTTCGCGACGGGACACCCATTTGTCGACCTTCGTATGTCGGTCCGGTTCGTCGACGTTCAACTGCAAACGAGGATCTATGCGGTGGTAGGCTTCGAGCAGGCGATTCGACTTCGTTGGGGGAAGCACACCGTCGAATACTTGACGCAGGTAGGGCTGATTGAGATGTGAGCTGCTCAATGTCAGACCCGGCAACGAAGACGGTTTTCATATCGTGCTGCTTTGGGTGTATATCTGGGCGCCGCACGTCAACTTCTCCTTCGTTGAACAATATCAACAGCCTTCGGCTGGGAAATCGGTCACATGCTGCGGGTTCCACAGAAGAAGGCAGGTTATCAACGACTCCACATCCCACAGTTCTGTGGGAAGTGAGAAGCTTCACAGGATCGTATGGCTAGAAAGAGCCATCACAGGAAGGATTGATTGATATCTGAGATGCTTTGTATCGGATTTAGTAATGGAGATGGCCTCGAAAATGTAGTGTCTTCAGTGTAGATCTAACGGTCTCATGCGGGCGTTCTTCCTTCCAGGCATGGCTATAGCAGGCTTCGCTTGCTCTTAAAGTCGCCTTGTATTAGTCCCAGGGAGGAGGGAAGCTTGTCTCTGCCTCCAGATCTGGGGATTTTGGTTAAAGCTAGGTAGTCTTGCTAGGCCACTTTCGCAGTTAGAATACCTACCACATATGCCACAAATGACACAAAGTGCATAGTCTAGACCTGCATCATCGAAACAGAGATAGAAATAGTAATCTGAGTGGAAAGTTATCTTGCTCCCTACCCGTCTCTTTGCAAACTTATTCCTGCTATCGCTCGGATAATATACGGGCTGCTGACAGGCAGTTTTGCACAAGAATTGGACCTGTTAGAAAGCTGAACACCATCCAATTTTGGTGAGAAAAATGCTACTTCACTACGGCGTTCTCCCGTTAAGAGGTTGTATAGCTTGTGCCGGAGAGGAATGAAGGTGCTTTGTCTCAGCTTCGGTGGATAATACTGATTGAATCCTAATAGCAGTGAGAATGCCGCCGTTGTATCGAGCCAACACAGTGCCTGACATTATAAGCACTTCATGGAACTGTTTACGCACGAGATGTCTCTCTTGATGGATACGGCCTCAATATGGCCTGGATGATATATGAGTTGCTTGGACCCAATTTTGCAGTAGAGGTAGATTTATTTGTCGGTCAAAATCCCCAAGTTCCGGTGAGGCACAAGCTGGATCACTAGACCACGCTCGCAGCGGCGACAATAATAGCCTCTGTGTGATGAGATCCAGGGCGCACTGTCCTATTAACGGTGGTCGGGAGAGCAATGAAGGGAATAGTAGCAGTAGAGAGTTGGACGATTACCTATAGCGCTCCTCTAAACCCTCCCTTTGCAGGAACATTGCTACAAGTTAGCACAGATGGCATTAATATAGCTCAGTGCGTTTATTTAGGAGAAGAGAACCCATTTCAAACCTAATACTTGTGAGAAATGCGCTAACTTACCGGATTACACTCCGACTAATCACCGATATAGCATGTGCTAAATAAGATCTAGAGAGTAGTGTGCTAGTATTGGAAATGAGATATTTATAAAGAAGTAACCGCGATAGTAAATTTAGTAGAGACATAACGCTCTTTTCCTAACTCCTCTATCTAAAATCGCCTATATAGCATACCGTAACTGAAATATAAGCAGCACGGCGATAGTATTAGAGAAGAAGCAAGCTAGATGTTCTCTAAAATTAGTAAAACCTGTACTATCTTACTAGCTCGCGCTTACGCCGAAGACTACTATAGATTTATACGGAATAAACCTAGGCAGTATAGACTTACCGTTAGCAAAGCAAAAGCCCCTATAGAATATTAACGAAGTAATACCTAGACAGTTACCTATATAGCTCTCCCTAGCTCGCTCTTCTCGAATACTCGCTATAGTATATCCTAGCTAGTATATAGGCAGCCTACTACTAATATTAGAAAGGAAGCAAGTCTATTCTAGACCTCGAGTTAGGGTTCGTAGGGTATTCTATATTGTCTTACCTACTATAGCTTATCTATAAATCCTAATATAGTTAGGCTAGGTTGCTACCTAAACGGTATAGTATTACTATTAAGGAAGGAGGGAGCTCGGAAGAGAAGCGATATAATAACGATTTAAGTAAAGACCTATATCGTTCCCTTTAGCTCGGTCTCCTTAAATACTTGCTATAGTATCCTATAGATAATACGTAAACTGCTAAGTATAGGTTATCGCAAAGAAGCAATCTACTTTCGAATACTAAAAGGAGAAGTTAAAAGGTATTTACTACTATATTACTACTAGCAGCTTATCTATATACGTAGAATTATCTAGGTCGGGCTGCTTTCCGAGGTTTATAGTCGTAGCATAGTAAAGAAAAGAAAACATCGGAGAATCGATACGTACTATATTTAGGTAGAGATATATGTTACTCTTAGAGAAGGTCGCTTTATTAGGCACTAGTTGTTATATAGACCGCTTAGTATAGGTTTTCGGAACGAAGCTAGCTAAGACTTCGACCTAGAATAGGACTACTTAGTGCAGTTGTCGCTATTACTCTTTAAGTTTCTCTCGGTATAGGATTGTCTTAGCATTCCTTAGCTAGTATATAGCTAGCTTAGTCTACTATCTCGAGAGGAAACAAGCGGTTTTTAATCCTAAAATAGCACTATAGGGTATAGTTGTCGCTATTACTCTTTAACTCTCTCTCGTTAAAGGATTGTTTTAGCATAACTCAGCTAGTATATAGCGAGCTAAGCCTACAATCTTAAGGGGAAAGAAGCAAAATATCGACCTCAAATCGGACTACGCGGTGTGGTTGTCTTCATTGCTCTTTAAGTGTCTCTCGGCACAGGATTATTGTAGCATGGCTCAGCTGGTATATAGCTAGCTTGGTCCTCGCTTTCGAGACGAAGCAAGCTGTATTTCGACCTCGAATCGGACTACGTGGTGTAAACGTCGCTATTACGCTTCAACTGTCTCTTGGATTAGCTTTGTTGTAGCATGATTCAGCTGGTATATGGCCAGCTTAGTCCACGTTCTTGGAAGGAAGTAAGAGAAACTTTGACACTAAAACTGCATCAAGAAGTGTAGTTGCCGCCATTACGCTTGGACTGTCTCTCAACACAGTATTGTTATACTATACCTCAGCTGGGACGTAAGCAGCTGACTCCACGTCCTCGGAGGGAAAACAAGCTGATTTTGCCCCCCGGAACTGCTTCATAGGGTGTAGTTATCGCCATTACGCTTTAATGGCTCTCAGCTTAGTATTGATGTAGCATGCTCCAGCTGGGATATAGATGGCTTAGTCCACGTTGTTGGAACGAAACAAGCTGATTTTGGACCCCAAAACAGCTTCACGGGGTGTATTTATCGCCACATCACTGGCCAAACCTCGTCTATGCGTTAAGTCCAGTTGCGCTTAATTGCTACATAATGGGCGTAGAGACCAACTCAGCTGCAGAGCTGTCAGCTGAAACATCATTGTGAGGAAGGCAAGAGGGAAGTGTGCGGAGGATGACAACATCGAAGACTGGGAAGGAGAGAGGGCTAATAGAGGACTGAAGAACATTGTGGAGGATCATTGATGGCGTCTGCGGCAAATCATCCCAGCCGCTTGGTGGCATTCTCATTCAAAACTCGGGAAAACAGGATACAAATCGTGCCTTTCGGCGAATGCACTTCTCCTTATCTCCTCTAAACCTCCTCTCCTTTCCCGCCCAGCATACGACAGTCTCCTCTGTGAGCTTTCGCACCATCCTTATCTCTCCTCCTCACCCTGCCCGCTCTCCGTCTACTGGCGGTCTGCAGCAGCCTTTGCCACTGCCTTGGCTCGCCTGGCCTCGTTGATTCTCTGGTGTTGCAAGTACTTCTCGTACTTGGGCTTCTCGATCGCCAGCTTCTCCTCCACGTCTTTCCGCAGGCCAGGGAGCAGATCGACGGTGCGGTCGAGGTCCTCGACGATCTCGGGAGAGGCGTAGTTGCCTCTGAGGAGGTCCCAGACGTACTGGTGCACCATAGTGCCGTATGGCGTGAAGGTGGGGTGGTGTGGCCTAAACACCTCGTGGATCTTGGTCATCGAGAAAGGGGTCACCTTCTCGTGACTGATCTTGTACGCGATATTGTTGCGCAGGTAGAGCTCGGCTTCTGGCGGCTCAAGGTACAGCTTCCGAGCAGCATGCCACACAAGGCAGCGCTCGCCGGTCTCGATGGCACTCACGAGCCGAATCACATGCTGGTCGCGGGCCGGGTCGAAACGGTGAATCGCCCGGAGGACGATTCGGAGGGCGGCGGGGGCAGCAAAGCCTTCTGGCAGGTCGATGCGTCTGTTGTTCTCGTCGGGGACTTCGGCCTCTGTGAGGAAGGTCCGGAAGGCAAGGGAGTGCTTCTCGAGCTTCGCGCGGTTGACCTCTGCGACGAATTTGGGCTCGCCATCTTCGACAAGGAAGACGCGTACGGTAGCTGATCGCAAGTATTTGGTGGTGGTGGCGGCCATCTCTGCTTGTTGTGTTTGTGTTGGTTGTGTCGGTTGTGATGTAGTTTGCTTGTGATATGCTTTGTGCGAGAGATGGTGGCCGAAGAAAGGAAGAAAGAAAGGCGAAGCTGGAAGAGCGAAAGCTATTCAAAGCCAGCCAGCAGCAACGGAGGCAGCCGAACCTCACGCGATGCACGAAATTGATTGCGTGCGAGTGACAACATGAAACACTAGCTTGAAGCAAAGAAAGCTTGGGATTATAAGAGCAGGAGGGTCTGATCGACCGTTTCTATTGGGATTCATTCACTACAATAGCACAATCGGTCGCCTGATCACTACCACGTTATTCACACATGAAGAATCAGTATAGGAGCCGACAATATCCGTAGCTCGTGATTCAAGTACTGCTCTCACTTTCACTTGGGTGGGCCTTTCACAAGCCAAGAGCCGCGTTTGCTTACGCGCTAGACCCGACGTAGCCGCTAAAATGGATCTACATAAGTCGCATTCTCGTGACGAGTCTTCTTCCAAAAAACTTGCAATCCAACTCTACCTTCGCCAACCACGAACAACATCGAGCAGCACACCATCACCACCCACCCCATCCCGGAACTTTACTCATCCACCCAGCAGAAGCAGTACGTCTTGCAATCGAGATTCATTGAAGTATAAGCACTGACGAGCCGATAGAATCCACTACAATGTCTTCCAACGCCGCCTCAATCTACGTCAAGCACAACAACGGCCGCGTGGAGCTCGTCGCGAAAATCGACAAGCAGAAGCTATGTCTCTTCTCCCGCCACGCCGACCGCCGCTTCAAGAGCGCGCCGACTCGAGACAGATCCTGCACTGAGCCCAGCCCTTTCCTCGTCCACCAGCCCGCCCACCTTGATGTGGACATCATCCCGTCCATTCGCATCATTGTGCGCTGGATCGAGGAATACGACGAAGCCAACCCTGCTCCTCTCAACATCTCCATGATCCCAAATCCGCCCAGCCCAGGCACTCTCGGCCCCTGGATCGGGCCAGATATCAAGCAGGCGGTAGACCTGTACTTTACCTGCTTCCACATCTTCGTCGACCGTCATCGTCGCGGCGACCTGCTCCACCGGCAAATCAAGGACTATACCAAGCAGTCCTCCATCAGCCTCAACGAGTTCCAGATGATCTCCGAAATCCTCTCGTTCGATACCGCCCTTATCCACAGCATGATGAATCAGGTCATCTACGACTCGATCAAGGGGAAGAGTGTGCCGGAGTGGGAGAAGATCAAGCAGTATTGCATTGAGGTGGGAAAGTGGCAGGAGATGTGCAAGATTGCGGAGGATATTGTGAAGAAGATCCAGGACGCGAAAGAAACGGATGCGGGTCGGAAAGGAGCGGCATAAGATGCTGCCATGTGAGAGTGGCGAGGAGTCTTTTTTGCTTGTGATAGCCGTTAATAATGCATGATCATCACATGAAGTCCCAATTACCATCTGTTTTTCTCCTTTGTCACAAGCATTTTGTCCTTCTCGTAGGGTATAAATCGGGCAAAAGTTCGCACCTGCTTCTACGGTATATGCATTGTACAAGCTCACGATCTCTAGGCTGGGTGATGGTACGAAAGACATATACTGGAGCTTAGGCCATGGTGACGGCCACTACGACTCACGCAACGTAAGATCATGGGAATGGTCTCCTTGCTATGCGGCACTACAACCTCCCGAGTTCACAAGCAACTAATACTATGAACGATATTTGGTGGAACTGAAGCCGCTGTGAACGCCACTGCGATTCACCAAACCTAAGAGTTTATCGATTACTTTCCTGCCTGGCGACATATACAAGCTTTCGCCTTCCCAGGTGACTCATTCAGTAAAGAACGACAGGAGGGCGCAAAGAAGCCATGGACTGACACTATCCGATCACCAGCCAAGCTGCTCCTGCCAATCAGGCTGGTCCTGCTAACCAGACGGAGGAGGAGTCCCACTCATTGGTGGCAACGGCAAAAGCGACTCAAATAACGGACGAGCTGGGCGATGAATTCTCGTGGAAGAGCCTGGCAGCCGAATCTGAAACTCCAGAGAACCAGGCATCCAAGCAACCGAAAGTCATGCTCTACCGAGACACAGCAGTCCAAACCGACTTGACCGATCCGCTCATTGAGTTCCATGCCAGAGAAGACCAATACGTGAAGGCCGCTGCGACTCACAATCTTAGTACAACAGCTACGACCTCCTTACTCTGACCCTTGTTTGAGGTAACGACTTCGAAGGTAGCTGATACTACAATGGACCAAATTACTGAGATATAGAGTCTCGTGAACATTGATAGTGCTCACATATTCCAGCTTCGTAGCATTCTCCTCAATCGGCATTGTGTACAGGGTACCGACAGCTGACCCGCCTAATGCTAAAAGGCACTGGAATACCGAGGGATGGCGGCAGGTAAGAGCTATACCGCTTTACTTTCTTGATCTCTTGGCCTCAATCTTGTTGCGATATGCAATATCCATGCCAGAAGGCTCTCAGGCAGTCCATACTGAAATGGATGGAAATAATGAGAGACGTACGCCTGTGAGGATCTATACGGCTTACCTGGCCTACTCTCTCCAGCTTAGACTCAATGTCAGGGCAGCGAGTTCACAGTCGAGTAATACTATAGTAAGCCGACACACTAAGAGATAAAATTCAGCGAGTCTCAGTACCGCTCACACACCTTTTTTGCCAAGCATTCGCCTCTTCGCTTTGCATTCTGTCCAAGCCAACGAGCCTCGGGACGGCGAAGCAATCGATTCGAATAGCCTTGGTGCGACAGACGGATATGGAGCAGACACCTACGCCACTCTGAAGTGGGAGTTACGGGAGAAGACAGATTTAAGCGTCTTCAAACTCCTCGTAGGCACCATTCTTCACGAAGGCATCCATGTGATGGTCTACAAGTACTCGTGTATAAACGAGATCTCGGTCGATGGATTCGACAAAGAATCGGGTCGTTAGGGGGTAGCTTCTGTGAGGCCGACTTGGACCTGCCCGCGCTCACATCTTTATCCGTGTCTTCGAAAATGAGGATCCCCTTGCTTAATTTCAAGCGATGAAAGAACTTGGAGAAGATACTAGGATTCGCTTCAACATAGGCCGGCGAAAGGCAGTGCAGGCATATATCAAACACCGCAGCGGATTGACGGAAGTTTTTCTCGTTAGCTAGGAGGCATGATTAGTGTGTACGCTATCGACGTGGCTCCACAATTTGCACGAATGATTAGGCGCATCCGACTAGGCTTTGAGGAGAAATTATACGATAAGAGAGATATTTCTGCGAAAAACTTCTTGGATTTGGCTCTACGAAGACCTCTTCTCGGATTAGTAGCGGGCTGATATCGCTAGAGAGATCTTAGACCTCTTACTCCGACTAGGTCTAGTGTCAGAACGACATTGATTCGCACCCCAGAAAGTGCAAGAACTCGGCTATCGAGCGAAAGAAGTGACTGCTTCATAAGCGATGAGTGCGATGAGTCGGATGAGCTCTCAAGCGTAGACTCTTAAGATCAATTACCCCGTGAGCGCTAAAGCAGGCCCAAGCTTTGCCACGATGTCTTTGTCACGGTCGCTGGATCTCAGCCGATGTTGCTAAGCCAATCAAAGCGATTCGAAGTCGAGCGACTGGATGAGAGGTCGTCTAAATACCTCGCCGTCGTGCCCCTCGTTGAAGCTGTCGGTCGCGGGGACATTGTTTTTCGTGTTCCAAATGTTGGGAAAGGCCGAACCGTGCCGTGAACGTAAAGCATGTCTCTCATACGTGCACTATCCTTGTGCTCTTCAAAACGTCTTGCATACTCAAGGTCCCAGGTCAAATCTTGACTTGGGTAAGGAAGGTAGTCTATAGGGTCAAAACGAAGGTAAGGAATGAGAAAAGCGCGAGAACTCAGCTCCGTTGCTTTCGAGACTATAATTCGTCATCAATACCGGAGAAACTGCTGGTGGAGGCGATGAGAAGCTCGATGGCCCTGTTGCTTCTTATCGAGATATATGCCAATGCGGCGGAAGGTTGACGTGCGGGTCTCGTCATATATGGGCTGCAATGGGCAATTCGGCGTACGGAGCGTGACGATAATGGAATGTTGATCTCTTTAGCTTTCCTGATCCCCGTCATCTCAAGAGCTTGTATCGACCTCACCTCTGACAGTCTTGGCATTGGCCTCAGGCTCGGAGAATTCATCGCCGCCGGCCAAGCTCACTGCCTAGCGCCGGCAAACTCAAACGCCATCAAACGCCGATGTTGGTACATCAACATCCCGGCCCAGACACCCGCTCTTCTTCCGACATCAGCGTCTCGAATTCCTATCAAGCCGCGCCAACTCATACAATCTCGAAAGACGCCAAGATGAAGCTCCTCTATCCGACCTCTCTGGCCCTCGATGTCAGATCCCTCGAAGGGTTTGCCGCATCTCTGCACCCATACGACGTCAAGCAGCCGATCCCGGAAGATCTCATCGATGCGGAAGTGCTGGTGACATGGTGCAACTCGGCAGACAACCTCAAGGATGCTGCGGCGCGAATGAAAAACCTCAAGTGGATCCAGTCCCTCGCCGCCGGTCCGAACGACGTCCTCAACGCCGGGTTTGATGCTTCCAAGATAACCGTCACAACCGGATCCGGCCTCCACGACTACACTGTCGCCGAGCACGCCCTCGGTCTTCTCTTGAACGCGGCCCGGAAGTTCTACGAAATGCGAGACTACCAGCTCCAAGGACTGTGGCCTCAGCATCTGGGTGGACCTCAGCCGGACAGGCCGAAGGGCAAGTTCACCAGCTTACGGGGTGCGAATGTCCTTATCTGGGGCTTCGGGAACATCGCCAAAGTCTTGACACCGCATCTCAGAGGTCTTGGTGCCAATGTCAAAGGTGTGGCGAGATCAGCTGGCGTCAGAGACGGTGTTGAGGTGCTCAGCGAGGATCAGTTGCCGAAGGTCTTGGCGGAGACGGATGCGCTGGTTATGATCTTGCCGGGGTCTGAGAGTACCAAGAATGCTTTGAATGCCGAGAGACTGAACCAGTTGCCGAATCATGCCTGGGTGGTCAATGTGGGAAGAGGAACGAGTGTTGACGAGGATGCCCTTGTGAAGGCTTTGAACGAGGATAGAATTGGCGGCGCGGCGTTGGATGTTTTCGTGCAAGAGCCGCTGCCGAAGGAGTCGCCTTTGTGGACAGCGAAGAACTGCATCGTCAGTCCTCATGCAGCTGGTGGACGGCCACAAGGAGCGGAAGGTCTCATAGCCTACAACTTGAGGAGGTTCCTGGCCGGCCAAGAGCTCAAAAATGTGATATCAGGTGAGTGACACATAGATGCATTAGACGAGTAGCTGAGATCAAGCACATTTTCTGCTCTTCAAGTCCCAGGAAGAGCAAATTATCATGGAGAACTGAAAGGTGTATACCTTGCGCTACAGATCGCCACGGCCAATGAGAAGACGGAGACGACGTAAACCACATACGAGACAAACTACACCAATATTGCAGCTGCTTCTCACTCTTCAGACCCCCAAGCTCTCTTCGCATGAGTACAATATACACCTAGCAGATGGACCGACCTCCAACCACACGAGACGACATGTCCAGAAAACCCTCCGCAAGAAACAGCATTCGGACAAAAATTAGACATCGATACCGGATCTCCTTGTCCTATCGTACCTTCCTCCTCGCACCACGCATCTTCCAACCACGAATTCAGCTGAACCTACGGCTCGACCTCTCCATGCACCATCCGCCTTTCCTGATTTTCCAAATCAAAAAACCACCTCGGAGGCTCACAATCCCCAACTCGGAGCGGAAAGTCGTCGGTGGGCAACGGCCATTCCACCACCCGACTCTGAGGGCCCCGGCGAAAGGTCTGAACCACAAACCGTCGCGCAAGGCGCATGTAATTCGCCTCGAAAATCTCATCCGCACGCAGCTGATCCCACATCCCCAACTCCATCCCACGACTCAAGAGAATTTCCAAGTTCCTGGGATCTTGTATTTTCTCTTCTTCATCCCATGGTTGGCCTTTGTTCATTTCTTCAATGACTCCTTGGGCGTTGAGGTTCCAGATGAACAGCGGTGAAGGACCTTCTTTGCGCAGTTGATCCACCATGGCGATCACTTCTTCGTTTGAGATGAGCGATCGCATGAGGCAAACGGCCAGCATGGCTTGGAGACGTTGAATATCACGGCCTCGATTGCGATAGCGTTTTCTGGGCCGCGACCCCATCGTCTCCTCGAGTAATCTGGCATCAGAAATCCCCAAAACATCCCCGAATCCCGCCGCTCGCATCGTGCTGATGGCAGGAACAATCCACGGCGCTCTGGGGTCCGGTGGAGGGATGTTTGGGAACCGCAGGAACCGATCCCCTCGTTCGAATCTTTCCGGGAAATACCCGGTCCTCTCCGGACCCGGTTCGGGCTGCTCCTCCTCTATGAAAACGAGTCGAGGATTCTCCCACGGCTGCAACTCTCGTCGAACTAGGCGTCTCCGTCGCGGGCCTGGAGGTTGACCGTACCAGGGACACTGGCCCTCGCGATCTCCCCAGTGCTGCTCTGCCATGCTCAAAACTTGCTCTCCGCACACGAAGCAGAAGTCTGTCCGACACACGGGTCTCGGGCAGACCATATGGTTGCACGCCTCTCCGAGATATACCGGGACTCGACAATCCGCTTCTGGACAGAGCTGGTAGTCCTTCCCACGCACCTGACCTTCCAAACCATCGATTTCAGCTTGTGCTTCTTCTTCTTCCACTTCCATCAAAAGACAACGATGCGGTACACGAACCCCATAAGTCGGCTCAAAGCAATTCAAACAGCTCAAACCCGCGCACGAAGAACAAGAACAAGACGGAATCTCCTCATCCTCCATCCCTCGAAGCTGATGCCCACAAGGCTCCGTCTCCACCCCGAGCGCCACCGGCGGAATCCAAGTCTTCGGATTCTCATCCGCATAAGGATTCCGCGGCCGATCCCCGACGCGAATCCTATGTTTACAATACCTCCTCTCCGACACCGGGACGGCGTAGTCTTCCGCGCGCTCATAATACAACTGGTAGAGATCGTTGTCGTCGATCAAGGCACGAAAGTCTTCGATGTAGAGCGGATCACGTCCCTCGCTGAGGGGATAGTAGATTTCGTTTTTGATCGCGTCTTGGATTTTTTTGGTGAGGTACGGTTTTGCGCAGTCGTTGCAGTAGCGGGATTCGAGGATGAAGGTGTTGTCTTTTCCGGTCAAGTCTTCGGCGCAGATGGGACAGGAGTTGTCGTCGTCTTCTTCTGATTCCCAGTCGGTGAAGATGCCGTCGGCGTTCATGGTGCTGGTGGTGCGATTTTGTCGGAATGTGGCTGTACTGTATGCGTGCTATGGGCTGGGAAGTCTGCTGGCAAATCTTTGGAAGTAGGAATTTTGCTAGCTATCATAATGTAGGGTCTTTCTTTGTTCTTCAGCCAGACCAGATTCGCCGGAGTAAACCCAAACTGCCTTTGTATGATGACCGATTCCGGCGAATATCACCATCCTGACTTCTTTGTCTCGTGAACTGAGAGTCTCCAGCATTGAACGCTGGTAAAATGCTGCCAATAGTGAGCGTTCTCTTTCAGAGCACCGCCATAGCTTGTGCTCGTTATATGCATATTGGGAGTGGGTAGCCGGACCGTATTCGCCCTCTGGTGGGCGGTACCGCTGGTCGCGGCTCATGCTGATGATGGGCGCTCGGTAGCGTTGTGTGCGACTTGTGAAGCGAGCTTTCAGAGGGGAGAGATGTTGGAGGGACGGATGCTGGAGGGAGGGAGGGAGGGTTGTGATGTCTGCGATGGAAACGGTTGCGCGGCTGCGTTGGATATTGACGGGCCAGGTTTGATCGTACCTCATCGTTCCATCGCTCCATTCCAGCTCCAGCCTACAGGAGCGTGCGGCGATCGTCTGTGAGGGCGTGCAAGTACCATTGTAAGGCTTCGATGAAGTGAGAGAGGCGGGTTTGGTGCTGGATTGACACACGGGTTAGAATGTCATGGGAGGGACGTGTTGCAGCTACGAATCTGTAAACTAAAGCCACTCAACGCTTTCGCTGGCAATTGATCTCGTCCAGGCGATGGAATGGTCTCCTGGTTGAAGGGGAAACATTGATGTAGGAAGGACGGTGAAGTGAAGCAAGACCGTTGGGCTCCTGCATGATGTTGCCGGGGTGAGCTTCAGTGGTGTTGTTCTTCAATTCCACGCGGCGTCACTCACGACTGAACAAACAACATGGCGCCGAAGGACAAAAAAGACGTGGATATTCTTGGTCGACCGCTTTCGCCGGTCAAGTTGATACCACCCGTATCAATTGACGCGGCGAAGCAACGGCGAATGTGAGAGACCAACATATAATCACCCCGTCAGCCTCCTGTTCTTCCACTGCTGACGCTCTGCTAGACGGCCATACTTCGAGGTATGGACTGACGGGTCAATACGACCCAATCCAGGCGAGCGAGCTGAGGTAGAAGGTGGTCAGGCCGGGTGTGCATTCGCATTTCACAATGCGGTGACTCCAGACCGACCAGTTGGACTATGCTTTCCACTTCGGTGGACGAACGACATCACCGCCGTCGAGCTCCGAGGGATTCAGGAGGCTTTGGCGTGCTTGGTGGCATTGCACAGCGCCCACGGAGCCTCTGACGCATTCGTCGATGCCCAAGTCACTGTGTGGTCTGACTGCCGTGATGCGGTGGATGAGATCAGGGTGGCGATCGGAGGGCCGCCGGTCTTTTTGACACCCTTCTGGAGGGGGCTGGCCCAAGTGAACCATCCTCAGCTCGTCAATGGAATTGTCAACTTGATTGGCAATCTCCAGCGCCGCGGTATAGTCGCACGCGTGATGTGGCAGAGGCGAATGCTCACCAGAGAAGCGGCAGCCGCTGATGACGGGGCACGGTATGCAGCGGAGATGAGGAGGATGCTTGGCCCGCCATGTCCAACAACCTTCCGACTACCCTTACGACAATCTTGATTCGGCGACGACTCAAGGCGTGCATGGTCACGAAATCCTCAAGCAGTTCTCGGCCTCCGATTACCGTTGGGTGGCAGTCTCACAGCACTGTCGGGCTTGTGGAGCCAGAGCTCGTGTGAACAAAATCCTGTTGGGGTGACCTTTCAGGGCGCAACGCCATAAGCGAAACTCCAGAGGCAGCGAGACGAGAATGGCGTGGCTCGTTGTGGGTGGCAGTCTCACGGCACTGTTGGACTTGTGGAAGTCAGAGCTGGTGAAGCATCACAAATCCTGTCTGAGCAATCTTGCAGGGCGCGACTCCATAACGCGAAACACCTTAGACATGGCGGCGAGATTGGAGTAGCTCCGTGTCGGGTAGCAGTCTCACGGCACTGTTGGACCTTTTGGGCGGGTCAAGCTTGTGATGCCTTGCGAGGCCGGGGAACGAAATCCTACTCCCACCTTCTCGTGGTGTTCCCTGGGCGGCTTTTCGAGGCTGGCTAGCGGGAGAGGTAGCTCAAGCTCATGATGGATACAGGCGGTGGACGAGGATGGGCAGCGATGGATGCACGGTGGACCACGGGCAGCGATGTTGGACTGAGCGGCACTGTCATATTTCGATCAATGACGATGACTTCCCACGACAATAGCAGCGCTTGACGACGCCTTCACGACGCTCAAGAGTCACGTTCAAGCAAACTGCTTCATCGAGTCTGGCCACAATGCTTTCTCCGCAGCGCCAGATGGCACTGTCTCAACATCGGACGACAAAGCCATTGTTCTTCAAACAAGACGATCCTGTGTATGAGGCGAGAAGTGAAGTGAAGCAGTCGATTCACTTACACTCCGCTGCACCCTTGCTGCCTGGCGCGACCCACTTAAAACGCTGCTCTCTACGCCACGAACTTCTGCTGCTCGCTCCAGAACCCACCCGAACACGAACACATCTCAAAACGAAAGCGACCTGCACCACCTCGGAGATACCATCTTGTTCGAACATCACCAGCGCGCCCTCTACACAATCGAAACCAATTTCAGCGTCGCCGCCATGTCGTTCTTTGATGAAGACCGCGTGATGGAGAGACTCGACCCACTACAGGCCAATCTGGAGGTTTTACGTGAAGAACTCCGCCAGGACTTGCGCATCGCAAACGGCACTCACACAGGCATGCCGCAACCCCCTGCTCGTCGATCTCATCGCGGTACACCAGACCTCTTCGCCAACACCTCGCTCGATGAGAGTCTCAACGCTCTTCCCGCCGCGCCACCCCGACTCGTTCCTCATCGCCAAGATAGAGAGGCCGCGCAACGCCAGCGGAATGACGAGTTCCACGTCCGCCAGTTCCGTCGTCAACTCGCCCGCAATGAGCAGCAGGCCGCGGACGCGAAGATCAAGGCCGACCGTCGCGCAGATCGTCTGAATGCCCACCGCCGCCAAGAAGCCGATGTTCACGCCGCCGTTGCGAGAGCATTCGAGAACTGGAAGACAGACTCGCCAGCGACATTCGAGCGATTCCGAACACATCAAGTCCACGCCCTCTACGCCGCCACCAGCGCCGTTCGCGTGACGGACATTCTGCTTTGGTTCGGAGACATGCCTGCCGATGCCACGAAAGCTCTGGAAGATCTCGCCAAGTACCTGCACGTCGAGGCGGTTCTTCAGACTGATCTCAACTCTGCAGAGCGCGCGGAAGCCTTTGGAGAGGGCGAAGGCGCACCGTTTCTGAACCCAGAGATTGCTCACGCGTCCAAGATGACCAGCGTCAACAAGCGCGGCGAGGAAGCAACCTACCAGTCGCACTCCATCTACGGTATGGGCAAGGATCATGCCTCCCTCTCCAAGCTTGCACTCGACTTCACTGGCGAAGGCGAGGAGAAGACGCGTGTGCTGCGCATTGAAGGCGCTTTCAACATCCGCAAGACGCTTTTGGAGACCGCTCCCCTGGATTCTCGCTTCCCAAAGGTATCACTCTCCAAGAGCATCGACGGCCGAATCATGGATTGGTGTCGAGCAGCATTCTCCTCTCTCACCAGCATTCGCGAGGGAGCTCACGCCACCAACCTCCCAACCGACGTCAAGAAGCGTTGCATCTCGCTTCAAAACCACATCATGACACTCATCGGCCATCTCGAGAAGCGCATCTCTGCTTACAACCAGATGACCGAGCTCATCTCCACCCATCTGCTTCAGAAATCTAAGACGTGGAAGGAGACCACGGACGCTGCGGAAAAGGCTTCTCTGTATGGCGAAATCTCCGAGATCGTCACGAAGCTCGAGCAGTGCGAGGAGGAGTATGGAGATATTCTCCCACTCTGGCGTATCTATGTGCCTTGGATTGAGAATGGCGAGGAGAAGGACGAAGGCGGGGATTAGAAGAAGCGTAAGTTGAATGGCTGCATTATTCAGTAGACTCCGAAGCATACAGGGATAGAGATTTGCTGACTTTTGAGATAGGAACTTGAAGGAGGGAGGGACTGGTGCGTTCCAGCACATACGCGGAAGGAGAGCATTGGAGGAGTGATCAAAGGAAGAAACCTGAAGCTTTGGAAAGATCGACGGATTGGAATCAGTGGGAACATCAAGAAGGGTGTCAGAAGTGGGAGGATTGGAAAAGATACGATAGCAGCTCAAAGAGAGAGCCGCTCGACACCTGCTAGCGCTTTATGCGATTGAATAGAAAGCCGTAGCATTATGCAAGATGGCTTTGAAGGCGCTGAACAACGTGAGTGTCCTCTTGCTTCACCATTCGACTCGCTACTTTAACGTTCTTGTTTCGTTCGTATTGGGGAATCTACGCAGTTGTCTTTCCCGCCGCACAATGCCATAGAAGGAGTATGGGGGAAGTCAGCCAGGTGGAGGAAGAGTCTCAGTCTCACCATGGGTGGGTTTTGATAGCACAATTTCAGAAATCAACATGATCCCTCTCCCTCCAGGGAGCGTCCGTTTGCGTCTTGGTGACGGGGCTTTGCAAAATGCAGATTATATCACTTCTTTTCGTGCTGTGGACTCCGGCACGTTTATCACGATTTCATGGTAAAAGTCGAGTCTGTGTTGCCGCTCGTGAATCGAGACCGCCAAGAGATTCAGCGTCGCGCTTCTTGAGTGAAGCTGACGCGAAGCTTGACTAGAAGAAGAGACGACTTTTCGAAACTTTTTCCTTCTTCTTCCCCCCCCAACCAACTTCCACAAACCCGCCCAAAACATACCTCCAAGAACTTCAACTCTTCCCAATATCAAGAACGACCTCGCCCCGCCGGCGTCATGTTGAGCTTCTTTGGCGGCTCTTCAGGCACTCGCCTGTCGCCGACGAGCAGTGTGACGGGCACCAAGCGCAAGCGCGTCAATATTCGCGCAGAAGTCGACCCGAAGGGCGAAGGTGTGCATGAGTATGCGCCAAAAGAGCGCCAGTCCCCAAGCCTTCGGCGGCGTTCGAGGTTGCAGTTCAATTCCAGCAACCAGCTGCCATCACGAAGCGTAAGTACGATTCGAGACCATTCCCGAGCTCCACTGACTGACATCTTTCACAGGCTGATCACAACGGCGACATGGCGACGACATCTCCAATCCAGAATCTCCTGCGCCTCCCAAAATGTCTCCGCAACCGCATCCTGCTGAACGTACTCGTCAGCGAGGAGCCCTACATCGTTCGGCCTGATGGTCGCATAGAACCAAAACCTATCGCTCGATACATCGAAGAGCGCAAGAACTGCTGGGTCTTCCAATCATACTCCACCCGCAAACCTGGAATTCTGGAGACGTGCAAGACGATTCGTGAAGAAGCGCGGGGGATTTTCTATGCGGGGAATGATTTCGAGATTCGAATTTCAGCCTTCAATGCCAGCGCTATTGTGCCGTGGTGGCGGCGACGAGTGGAGATTTTGGATGCGAGAAAGGATGATCCGATTACGATCGCTGTGACCAGCGATGAGGACGTCGATGCGGAATCTACTCGCCCGCAGCTCGACTCGATTGAAGCCTCCATGCCTCCCAAGCGTAAAGCACTCATCTACCAGGCGAAGCGTCAGCCGCAGACAGCACTACTTCCACAAGGTGACCTCAGCATTTCCACCCAATACCAACCGCACTGGAACAACCTCAAACAATGGCTTCAACTTTTCCACGCAGGCATCTTCCCAGCTCTAATAGTGACAAACACGAACATGTCTACGCAAGAGCTCCTTCGTGTCTCCGCCATCTTCGAAAGCATCGCAGCCTACAAAGATGGAGACGAGTGGGAAACCGCCGAGAAGGGTCTGGAAGGTCATCGAAAGATCTTGGTAGCTGACGACAAGGAGTGGAGTTTACCCGATGGCAAGATTCGTTTCGGGACAAGTGTCAGTGAGGAGAGCCAGAGTCCGACGCTTCGTGAAGGTTCTGAATCCCGCAAAGTCTCCTCGGAGGATGCAGATATCCGGCCTAGAACACCACCATTCAAACACGACACGACTCCCATCGACGAGGAGGAGGCAACACCAGTTTCCCTTTCACGCTGGAAAGCACTGAGAGATGGAACACGCCGCTTATCTCACTCCCACTTTTCCCCCCAGCATCTTCAGATCCCGGAGCTGTTTTCACCACCTCTTTCCCGAAGCTCTCGCCGTAGACCTACACCTGAGGGCTATTTTGGAGGCATGGATCCTTTTCCAAGTCCTGTGCAGACGTCGAAGAAGCGAAAGATGGAGGGTGAGAGGCGGGTGAGAGGGAGGAGTGAGGAGCTTTGAGGGAAATGGTTTTGGAGAGGAGATGAGCGTGATAGGGACTTTAGGGGAGAAAAGGGAAAAGGGTTGGATGGGGAAGGGAGTAGTTGTGAATGAGAGCCGGAAGCTCATAGCCGTGGCATGCTATTTTCTCCCACATTCTCGCCGTCTGCCGGATTCGGTGGGAAGGTCAAGAGCAAGATTTCAGAGGGATGACTTCATCCTAATGGAAACTGTGTAGTATTTGACACTGGACGGTGGTAAAATCTCCGGGTACGAAGGGCGAGCAAGGAAGATGCCGAAGAGGCGAAACTTGGATAGCGTTTCATGGTTCTTTTCTTCTTCAGCTCTGGGTTCTCGAAGGATCTAGACGCCCGAATCATTGCGTGACGGGAGACAGGACGTCGTGTTTGTCTTGATATCAGACGAATTGAACCCGCTGGGCCAAGAAGGTTTTTGTTGCGTTACTCGGTTCTTGGGGGGCTTCTTATTGTTCAGATATTCGCCATGTGAACCTAGTAGATTTCTGCTATGGCTTTCAAATCTCGGTTATAGTCGCGTGCTTGGCTTTGAACCCATTAGATATGCCTCATCAGAATATCAAAACCCTTTCATCGTACTTCGAATCCCAACCTCAAGCGGGCGCCGTTCTTGCCCCTTTTCTCCGCCTGGGATGCGCATTGCTTCTTGTGTGCCTACACCAGATCTTCACGCAACGTATATTCAAATCGTTGGATAGTAATGCTGAGATCTTTGCGAAGTGGCTTCATGCTGTGGTGAAAGCCAGGAAGTGGTTGATGTGTTGTCTACTGGCACTGCTATTGCAGGGTCTCGTTTACAGCTATGGCACGCGATCCTACGAGGAGGACTGGCACACGTAGTACGCTCCACTGCCGAGAAACATCCACCTGCCCCTGTCTCTAGCTCGTGTGTCAAGTGTGCGTGCGGTGCGGTGCCGTCTACACAGAACTGTAAGCTTTCAGTAATACTTGACTTTTCCTGCTCGTGCTCCGCGGAGAATAGAATCGTGTCCAGTTGAGATCTCGGTGGGTGGATCTGAGAGTGATTTGGAGAATGTACATATTGACGTCGCATGCCGACTTTGACCTCCGCGGCATACTCCATTGCCCGCGAGCACGTTGCTGCCAGGAGCGCACCACACGGCCGTACCGACAAGTGCACGGCCGAGTCCCACTCACCTTGTCTAGCTCACAGCTGGCAGATACCATAGTGTTATCCAAGTCAGATATCACGGGCTCATCACCCGGCGATCAGACCAGCGAACACGAAATCCCCATCAAAAAAAGCCAGAGATTTGTCGGTTCCAGGCAGTTCTCCTCCCTCCGCTATCTCAGTCTTCCACCCACCTTCTCCTCTCCTCCGTTCATCGAATGCAGTCCACTGCCAGCTCTAGCAGGCTTCTCCGGCTGTGTCCCATACTGCGGAGAGGAGCGCTTGAGGCGAGCTCACTCCAGTTTGCGGTATTTTTGGGCGGAAATGGGTTGGTGCGTATGGCATTTGGTGTCCTGACAGCGAATCTGTGTGCTCCGGCGTGATTATGGGTGGGAAGCTGCGTACATGACGTGGCTGCCTTCCCGCTTTGCTGACGGCGCAAGCGATCCCAGGTTCTTTTTCTCAATGTAAAGGTCTCGATGCGTTGCCCATGTCTGGTGGCGAGAAAAGGCTGCAGCCGTCCTCCAATATGACTTCCTCCGTCAATCCATCTCCCTCTGGCCCTCCCTGGAACCTTCTCAAATTCCTCATGTACCATCAATTCGCCACCTTGAACTAGGAGAACCATTTCGTATTTCTCAAGAACTATTTTCTTGCGAACAGAAGTCCGCCATAGCTTCTCTTGCCGCCGGAAGTTTCTGACTGGAGTTGGTTGACGTGGCGAAAGAAATGTCTGGCGAACACGGACCGGAAACGTGGCAGTTTTCGTAGGACTGGGAGGTCTGGTGGAGAGGAGGATGCGAATCTCGCAGAGGAATGGTGGATCAGTACGTCCTTCGGCGGGAAGATTCGGATGGCGAGATCAGCGTGGCAAAAAATGCCCAACGCAGGAGCGCAACGGCTCAGGTCTGTTCCGACGGAGGTTGGTGCTTGCTGTCAAGGCTCCGCATGGACGTAAAATTGTTGAAGGACGGCCATGAGTACTTGAGATTAGTAAAGCTGCCTCCGTGAGCAAGCTCCTGCTGTCCATATGTCTGTAATGTGCCTGTATGGGGAGATGTGGCCCTGCTGCGCTGGAGCCACAGCTTGTCTGGCTGCTTCATTGCAGCTTCAGTTTCGTACAGGCAGTACGAACTCGGGAGCCGCGCACCGTGCAGTAGCTCTACAGGCCTCGTGCTCGTCACTTTGTGTCAAAAGCACATCTGTAAGCAATGGAGATGGGTATACTGACCTCGCCGAGCAAGCTCCTGTTCTCAAAATGCCCATACCTCGCTCATGCAATAAGATCTGAGCCTCGGGAGCTGTACAGAAGCTCACATCGCCGCCGCCGTTGCTTGCCAAGGGTCTTGCAGGGATTTCTAGCGGCGAAAGCTGATTGATGTTTGCCCCGCGGGTCTCGTTCTCGGCGAACATAGTCTGTACAACATCTCGGAGAGTCGGGGATGCGTATATCAGACTCTGCGAAGAAGCTCCAACTATTTGTATCTCGCTGCGGTCATTGTGCGTTGAGGTACAGAGTGTGCGGCGTAGGCATACTGACGAAGCGGGCATTCCCGCGGCAGTCTTGGCGTGTGAAGTCTTGTTGCTTCGAGCTTTCCACTGCCACAACATCCACCACCAGCAACTTCCATCACATCGCCACAACACACCCATACCTTCTGGAACCATCACCAGACTTGTCATTTCGACTGGCCATACCATTGACATGCACCTCAGCATCATATTGTGGCATTGCAAAGCTCGTGACGCCGGCGTTTGAGCGGCGGAGGGAAAGCAGGTCAGTCACCACTGCGCGACGTCGACACACCACGTACGTATACCACTCTTTTGGGTATAGTATGGGCTTCAATCGCACCTTGATAATGAGCGACAGCCTTCGGAATGCCTGACTGACCTCGTCGTCGCTCCAGAACATCAATCCTGGCAGCGGAGCCCCGACCAACGCTGCCACGCCGACGACGATACCACGCTTTCCAATACCAAGTACGCCGCACCGAAACGCCTGCTCAATCTCGAGACCGCGCCAAGATGGGCCTCATCAACCAGATAGTCAATGGCGACGGACACCATAAGAAGCTGCAGAGGCGCTCAGGACCATCTGCGTTCCAGCAATCCCGCTTCTATCAGAAGATGAGGCGAGCATGGTATCGCTCCTTCGTATGTCGCAGTGGCCAAGCGTCTCATTTCTTCGCTGACCATACGCCAGGACCTACCTTTGCCGGAGAACGTCAAAGCCTATAGGCCGGCGCCGAGACAAGACGGGATGTATCGCTATCCGGCTTGGCATTTCCATTGCTTCGAGGTATGCCAGCCATATTGTCCACGCTGCTGAACCTCATCATACTGACACTGGCCAGGGCAGCCGTGAGCTGGAATAGACTTGCGCCCAGATGTGAAGGCCGAGGAGCACCTCCGCACCTCGTTGCCGCAAAGATCCAGTCCAAGGCACCATAGTCGCCACCAGAGCGATGTCCGGTAAAACGAACCACTCCCCATCATTTCGAGCGGACCGCGAGTGCTGAGCTGACACTTCTTGCAGTAGCTCGTCAATGCAATAAGCATCGCCGCTCTCGCTTCGTCGCTCCCTTCCATCCTGGGCATCTGGATCGCCTCCGCGGCCAGTGTAAGTCCCGTCGCTGCCTTGAAGACCACTCCTGGTGGGCTCCTGGCTGCTCCTTTCCTTTTCGACATCCGACCGTCCTCGCTCGCTCCCAGAAAGACGTCTCCCCAGACCACCTCACCTCCACCACCACATCCACACCTGCGCATCCGTGAGCTGCTCGCAGCCGGTGTAAGTCGCCCTCCGTTCTTGTCGCTGCCCTGGTAGCACTACGGTTGCCCCCTTTTCGTATCAACATCCCTCAGCACGCACGATCATGGCATCTGCGAGCTGCTTGCGGCCGGGGTAAGTCCACTTCCGGCCTCGTCGACTACTCCCGGTAGACGCTTGACTGGTTGCTTTCGTCTATCATTTGCAGCGTTCCTCTCCTTCCACACCACATCGACGGCGCCGGTGAGCTTCATGCCCGGGTCAGTCTACCACACCACCGCTGCCTTCATCAGCGACGCATCTCCGGATGGAAGTCGAATCCAGGCAACCCTCTGCGCCTCGGAAGACATCACTCAGTGAACACTTCTGAACAGCTCTGGGACCTGCACTGATCTCCACAAAAGCCTTTGCAAAAGCGACCACTTCTCGCTATGGGGCCTCTAGGTTACCTTGAGTATGGCTATGCCCTTGCCGGCTGTGGTTTGCGGCACCGTGTCTGAAAGTCGAAGACTCCCGTTTTAAGGATCTGGGACTAGTACGCACACCGTTGGGAATGTGGGCTTCACAAAGCATGCGTGGTCATCCGGCGTGCACAGAATCCGTCTTCTTGAGCTGGAAGTACTGCCTCGGTAGTCTCCTGCGATTGGGATGTGGTTCTCAAATCCTCGGCGTCCTCAATTCTGGTTGACGGTGCGGCTTGCTGTACTTCTCGTGGAAGTCTCTTGCTTCGACACTGGATCTGGGGCTGTTGATGACTGAGGCTGTTGTGGTGATGTGGGCGAAGACTGGGCTTGTTGTACTTCTTCCGGAAGTCTCTTGTTTGGTTGCAGTCTGGGTCATGCGGCAGCGGTGTACGTTGGATGCATCGAAAGGTTCGCAACGTTGTCTGGGCTGGATGGGATGAGGTTTTGAGATCTCGCTCGCGGCTTCGGGTGCGGTGTTGACGTTTGCAGCTTGCTTTGCCTATACTGGCGAGTGGGTGAGTCGATGCCGGGTGGCTGGTGGGTGTTGCGACCTGTTCTTTTGCTTGCGTTGGTTGGAGTGGCCTATGATGACTTGTTGGGTTCTGAGGGCTTGTCGATATCTGGACTTTCACCTCCGCCACTCTGGATCGGCTCCATTGACCCTGCTCTGGCGTTCTCGCCACCTTCTTATCTGATATCCTTCGACATCGACCAGCCCTCTCCTCGATGGCACAGTTCCAGCGTCTGGGTCAACTTCACTGCCCAATCGCCATGCAAAATGGGCCTGCGCTCTTCGACCATTCTTCGCCTCATCTTCAGGCCTGGCCGGCCCTGCTTGAAGACTACCTTGGCAGACTCCTGCGATGCCGCGAGCCTACTTTCTGCACGCAAGCTTGCCAACTGGCTTCGGGACACTGCGTCACCGAAGCTCCTTGCACTCGAATGCTGGTAGAATGGCAGAATCCTGATTCCGGCAAGCTTCACGGCGTTTCATCACATTTTGAAGAGACCTGGCATTGCTGTCAATCTTCATGACAATGTGCCTCCATTGCCGGCCAAGAGATGCTCTTCAAAACACCCCAGTGACTATCCGGAATTCGGCCTGGCCTTGTCGCTTGACCTGGAGATGGCCTCACCAATGCGCTTGATGACTACCTTGGTAGACACTTACGTTGCCGTGAGCCATCAGACTCTGTCGGTCTTCTTTCCTATCCCTTCACCTTTGGATGCTGGTCAACATGTTGAGGTCTCCTCGCCAATCTTCCTTCACGAAACGGAATATGGCGGCATTGATCCTCGCCGACCAAGACCTGGCTTTGGTTTCTTGATGCTGCTCCGAGACACCTTCATCGGACATCCAGGATGCAAATACACCTCGCAGTTCGACCTGGAGATTGTCGTTCTCCGCCCATGTTCTCCGCTGGCCGGCAGTGCTTGATGACTACCTTGGTAGACTCTTGCATTGCCGTGAGCCTTAGGAGTCGGCATACCGGTGCTACGTCGCATACTTTTCGACACTCGATATCCAGGCTGCGAACACACCTTGCTGTTCGGCCTGGAGATTGTTGTGCTTCCCTTCTCCGCCCATGTTCTCCGCTGGCCGGCAGTGCCTGATGACTACCTTGGTAGACTCTTGCATTGCCGTGAGCCTCAGGAGTCGGCATGCCATGCGACACTCGTATATTTTCGAAAAATCCGGATATCCAAACTTCGTCTTCCAGGACATGGCTCGCAGACTGCTCTGATACACAGCTTTTCCCCTCTAGCTCCCAGTGCGCCAGCTCTCCCGCCTGCTGCAGCACCATCGCCTGCATCACCGCGTATGCCATGCCGACCAGGTTTCCCCAAGCTCTTCACCCTCCCTCCTATCATCATCAAATCCCAACTGGCCGGCAGTGCTCGTGGACTACCTTGGTAGAAGCTTGAGCTACCGTGAGCCCTTTCTTCCCTCGCTGCTACTGGCGCCGAAGCTTCTTTGCCCACCACCAGCACTCGAGGAGCCTTTGGAGCCTTGACTCCTGCAGGGCGACTGATGCCGATGACAAACTCCAGGCGTCTCTCTCTCCCACTCCTCCAATACCGCACCGATGCTTGTAGACTACCTTGGTAGACTCTTGCATCGCTGCGAGCTGCTCCTGCACTCGTCGTCCAGCACCAGAGACCTTGTGCCCATTCGACAGCTTTCCCCGCCCTGAGCTTCAGATGTTCTTCGCCGTTTCTCCCGGCTGCATACGAGGTCGCTTCTGATCTCGTACGACACCGTTCTGCGTCGCCGATCATCCAGACTTTGACACTGCTGGCTGTCTTCCACATCTTTCGCCTCTTCCCCTATCATCTTGGATGTGGCGCTCGCAGTCTTCTTGCGCCGCCGCAAGCCCGTCGCTTTCGATACTTGCTGTTTCTCTGGGAATGGGCTTGCTGCTGTTGGCGCATCGTCGTACAATCCCGCAGGCTGATTCTTGCTGTCTGCTGTCGCGCTTCGGCAGCTGCGCACTCAAGACTTCTTCCTCCTGCGCTTCTCGCTTCAGGGCCGGCTGCTCGTGACGCCGTGAGCTTGTCGTTCCTGCTTTTTGCCTATGATGGCCTCGCGGCCCAGGTTGCTCTCGCCTGTGCTTATCATATCTTCCATCGTCCATCTCCCCACCTGCTGCCACTTTCCTTTCGGTAGGTCCTTCGTCTCTACTTCTCCAAGCTCTTTCCTTCGGCGTATAGAAAAAGAGGCTGGATCTATAGGCGGAGCGAGATCGGGGGAGTAGTGCTGGGTAGTCGAGATTAGGCTTCGGTGCGAGGATATTGGAGGTGTATTCGCAGTGGAAATTCGGGATTCGAGACGGCTTTGTTGGAGAGTCGGGATTGAGATTTGGCGGGAGGTGAAGGGAACTCACAGGGCAATGGGCGGTTGGCGTTACAAGCGGTACATTTCTGGCGAAGCGTGTGGTGTGGTGCTGGAGGGCATTTCGCGATCGGTGTGGTGAGAGGTGGTGGTGGTTTTGTGGTGGGATAGAGAATGGAGGACGATGGGATTCTGTTCTCTGTAGCGCCTTTGGGAGACTGGTGAGGCCGAGATGCTATGCGCGCTGCTTGTGGAGAAGGATTTCAGGCTGGTGATGATGCGGCTGGGGAACCGACCTCACGATGCTCCAAGGCTCCCAAGTTCCGACAACTGAGGTGCTGTAGGAAGGCAAGGGGTATGGTATGCCCTCGCAAGGGATGAAGCGGGAATGCAAACAGGCTTGGGCGGCCAAATTACATCTCGAAAGCTTCAAGATTTCTGACTCTCCGTCAAGATTGAAAGGCTTCAAAGAGATGAAATCGGAATAACAAGACTCAAAAATGAATCGGATTGGATTTGATAGGACGTACGTACCTCGACCTTCCTCCTCCGCCGACAACCTCAACCCATCGCAAGTTGCAGCCTCTCCCCATGTCCGTTTCTCAGCCTTCGCATTTCAATTTGCGTATGGAGATTAGGGTGGATGGTGTTGTGACGCATTCGAAGGCCGTTAGCGGCTGCAGCAGAGATGGATCTCGCAACGGCCTGCTCGCAAAATATCAGCAGATACTCCATGCCGAACCGAAGACTTCAGCGACTCGCATCCCACCCCACAACGTGTTGCAAATTCAGTTGTTGAGCGCTGAGCGGTCATTTGCTTAAGAGACCTTCGAAGTCTTGCCAATCTTGCGAGTGACGCATCACGAATGTCCTATGCCGGATGGGATCTCGAGGTTCGTGGGATCGAAGCAGTTGATGAGGAGGGATATCTTCTGCATCTGGCGTGAGATGGCGAGGGATCATCGTGCTGGAGGGTAAGAGGAGGATAGGCTGGGATGTAGGAAGATGGCGAACTTGCCTTTGGGTTGCAGTGAGGAAACGGTGGGACGGCTTCAATTTGCTGTCACCAGCGGATTGAGCTGTACGACGTGTCTCTGCTGCTTCGGAGCTCAGCGTGTTCGCAAAGTGCTCTAGAAATCCATCACTAGTCAGCAATCCATCTTTGCGCAACGATCGAGCGGGCAAAGAAGACCGTATCATGCCATGCCATTCAGAAACCCACCCCACACGAGATCGGGACTTTGACCTCTTTTTTCCTCTCGGAATCATGTACCGAACAGCCCTTCAAGAGTCTCGGACGATGTCGATACTACACTTTATTCCCCTAGCCGAAGCATGAAGGGGGAGAGCCATAATTTTTGCCCGTTTTGATTGAAACTTCCAGTGACGCACAACCGCAATGGGCTGTGTCGCCACCACTACTTGTCGTCGACTCCGCGACGGGCGATGTTCGTTGGGGTATCAGGGTGTGGGATGGGGGAATCATCATGTTGGGTAAAAGGAAAAGGTATCGTGGAGAGGGGGCTTGCCTTGGGGTTCTCTGCATGGCAGTGATTTTCTTGTGTCGTCGACTCGGGAGGTGGTCTCGGTGGAGCCCTGGATGTACCCAAGCGTCAGCATCACCCTGGCTTCTACTTCCAAGCAATCAAAATTGCAGCAGGATACCGACTTGCGATCAGAATCCCTCCAAATTCTGTCATTTGCTGGAACAGCTCTTCAAAGCCCTCGGAATTGACCGATAAGAACAGAAACATACTACACAGAGCCATACTCTCCCCCTGGGTTCCCACGGCAGCTGAAAGCTACCGACTACCTGTCGAGGACTCCGCGACGAGCGATGTTTGGATTGCATCCGGAAAGGAAGGCAGGTCGCGGGGTGTGCAAGGAAAAGGGGAGTGAGGTTGACTTGCCTTGGTGCTGAGAATGTCGCCATCGACGCCGAAGCTATGAATCTCGGAATATCGACGAGACGTTGCCTGTCTCACCAAATTGTCAGCAATCATTCCAGTGCGTCTTTCCATGCGGCGTTTCGTGATTGAGGATTTGTTCAGATCGTCCTATAGTCCGAAGCCCGCGACGCGACCTATTTTTGATCGGACTCTAACTCATTTGTGACCGCGTAGCCCTTCAAGTCTGCTTCCTGATGGCGTCTCGCCAGGTGGATCCCAGATCGATGCGCGTGTGAAACAAACCCTCTGGCTCCTAGGGCTCGCAGATTTGCAACGGGCCATACGCATGTCGTCGGTGGGTTGAAATGGGAAAACCGGGAAATCATCATTATGTGTGTATATGCTTGAGGGGTGTTGATACTTACTTGAAAATCACCAAGTCTCTCGCAGTCTTGGGAAGGTATCGCCGTAGCCTGCTTGATCTTGTCAGCAGATGTGGACAGTGATCGTGAATGTGCTGTGGATTCGGGAACGCTGGTTCTTGATCAGAAACTCCTCTTTTCCACTTTTCGAGAGCTCGGCCTTCTGCGTTCAAGACCTGTGAAGTTGAACGATCATATGCGCTGCAGCCCTTCGAGCCCGCGTCTTGTGTCGTCTTGCGACAGTGAGAACAGATATTAACCCCTCTGTGGATGCGTTGCAGGCCACGAGTGCTCTTAACGGGCAATGCAGGTCGTGTCATAGGTTGGGAAGTATCATCATCGTGCTTTATGCGAGAGGTGGATCGGGACTGCATACCTTGGCTGCCGCTTCGCCGTCCGATGTCGATTGGATGATTGCGAAATGCAGTTCCAGCATTCTCTCTGCTTGGTGTAGAAGAGTGTCAGCAAGGGCTCTTGGTGGCTCCGATATTCGATATTGTGCAACGGTGGCGAGTCTCAGGGTCAGGAGCGTCGGTACGAGAGCTATAATACCAACGAGCTCTAGGAGACGTATCGTCCCGCGCCCTCCAGATACGGGACGAGTCATGCTGTTGCCACCCTTCGAGAGACGCCAGATCGACTAAGAAGAACAGTCTACTACATTGAGAAGGGCTGGTTGTCTCTCGCAGCGGGCAAGCAAGTAGGTCAAATGTGCGTCTTCATCATCGCATGTCGAGGCGGTTGAAGAGGGCAGGCTTACCTTCGATGGTACTGTGTGATCTCCGAACCGTAGGCCGCGGTCTCGAGTCGACTTGCTAAGACATTCAGTGGTCAGCAATGATACGCCCAACTTCTACGCGTCTCGGCTTGCTATGCTGGCCTGGGATTCAGTTGTTATTTTGGAGTCCGTCGCTCCAACACAGATGGGGCATCGCGCCGACAGCACTTCCAGTTATCCATATGGCAGTTATGTCGAAGACGTGACTGCTGTGGCTACCTTAATGAGAGGGTTCAATCGTGTCCTGTTCCAAGCAATGAATCTTCACTTTGATTCGTGCTACTTTCGGAAGTTGACGAATTGGACGGCTGGCGACGGGCGATGTCACGGCGCTCTTTCGGAGAGAGTCTCATCATTTTGGGCAGTCTGGAGGGAAGGATCGAGGCAACTTACCGCTCTCATGCTGATCGCAGCCAAGGGTAGAACGCCTTTGCCTTGGGTCCTTCGGGGCTAGGGTCATCGGTGGTGGTGTGATTGATTCTGTGAAGCGATTCGATGATTAGCAGCTGACATTTGATGAAGCGATCTTGACGTTGTCGTTGGAGATCTGTGCATCAGAGCCTCTCTTCAAGCGGAAGTTCGCGTTCCTGGTTGATCTTTGCGATCAACGGGCGTATCACTTTGCCACCCTGAACTTCTCTGCTCATGTGCGCCGTGGCCCTTCAAACATTGCTTCGTATGTCGCAGACAAATATGGTCTCCACCGCCACTACACCATTGGCCTTTGCTTGGAGGCTCAAGCAGTCTCGGAATCCGGAAGCATGTGAGCAACGGGCCACCTTGCGCGCATCCCTTGAGGCTTTTCATCACATGCTTTGGTGAAGAGCGGAGGGAAGACTTACAGTCAAAGCAAAGCGATCCAGATAGCTGCACCTGGAGGTCGCTATGATACCGACGCAGGTGATCTTCGGTGGTGCGATGCGCCTGTTTGTGTGTTCGCAGTCATCGCCCTCTGCCAGCAGACGTGTACCTGTAAGGATGAGGTTGTCAGCGCGTGCATCACATAGCGTTACCCGGTAGAGAAGAACGTGATGCTTGCAACTTTCAGATCTTTGCTGCGCCATCCTGCTTGGCGGACCGACTCGAAGAGTCCTACGCGCAAGCTCTCGTGCCCTTTGCCCTCATCACCGCTCAGCCGTCCTTCATGACCTGCACCCTCCTCCCTGGTGCAGTGCATCACTGCCGGGGGCACAGAGGCTCCGCTGTCATGCGGCGGACGGTGTTTGAGCTTGCAGTGGAAAGGGGGTTCATCATGTGCGTGAAGTTGCAGATTGGGAGACTGTCGCTTACCTTGAGCAGCGGCGGCTGCGGCGGACGACGCATGATTGGCGGTTCCTGAACGGTGAAGAGCAGACCGGTATGTGATCATGGCGATGGTTGCATATCGAAGAATGTACAATGTGATTGTTGAAGAATGTTGATGGTTGAAAGAGGAACTTCGCGCTTCAGGGGAGCTTGTGGCCAAAACAAAGAACGCCAAGACATATCAAGCCAGGCATTGACAAGGCACGTCTTCCACCTCGTCGGAAATTTGTGCCGCTGCATACACTTGAAGTGTTCACTGACAAGACTCAATTACTTAAGATCATTACAATCATGCAAGTTCCCCTGTGAAACCACACTTCCTCATGCGAAGCGATCAACGGTGGTACCCGCCCTCCAACTTTGTCCACCACTTCTCTTCGAGCAATGCTGCCATCCCTTCAACCTGGCCTGAAGCAGCGAGTTGCAATCGACACCGTTGGCCACAATGCGCACGTCGACATCTTCCAGCTTGAATCCTACTCCAACTTATCACTCGAGCTCATCTCTGCCCAGCCAGTTTGACTTTGCAATCGCACTGCGGCAACTGCACCGACGAAATGGCGCTACGTGCCCTGTGTGAGGCGCGTTAGATCTGGATGCGCGCAGAGCGCGGAATGGATAGAATAAGCATGCAGCAGTAAAGAGAAGGAAGAGATGGTGAATGGAGTGCAAAATGACGGGAGTGGATCCAGCAGAGGAAGATACCTAGGAAGGAATGAGGAGAGGAATAACGAACAAAAGGCATACATACGATTACGAAGCACAGGGCCTTCTCAATCGTTGCAGCTCTCCATTTCCAGGTCTTGATGCTGTTCACATCCCAAACGATCTTTTATACAAGAGAGCCGAGTCTCCAGCAACGGCAGTCACGCGCTGGAGTGCTGTCGTCTTCACACGATGGCTTCTTGGTCTGCTTTGACTGCGCTTTCTCATAACCAACACAGTCAAGACACGAGGAGTGATAGTGTCAGTTCCCTTTGAGAAAGGTCTACGCTCAAAGCGATTGAAGCCATGGCTGGGTAGGACTCACGGTATCACAGGTACCGATCAGCCCTCACGACACTTACAATGCATATATTGAGAGATCGGACGCACTCGCCTCGTTGTGGAATCGCGATCCCCCCAGCATCCGTATCTACAATTCAACGGGGGCCTTGGTGATCCCATTCTTCCTAGCGCTCGCCAAAAGCAGGAGGCAGATTGCCAGGGATGCTACCTCAGAATCTGGCGAGGCGAACTCTTTGACCATGAAGACTAGACCCTATCCTCTCAAGGTTCATGTACGACTCTCTGAGTGATCCGGGTCCACAACCGCCTCCCTACGTCTCGTCTGGCAACTAGATAGTCATTCCAGAACTCGGGCGACGAGCAGCCTTAGCGAGCTTGATCTCTCCAGCCTTAGGCCTCCAACCACCTGGTTCCATTTGCAGTATGAAGCTTGAAGCTGGATCATCAACTAGTGCTTGTTAACCTCGAACGCTGGCAAAAAGTGAATGTAAAGCTCTGCGTCTGGGAGTAGGTGGCCTGAGACCGCATAACTTGGTTTTCCTCTCGTAACGCTTACGGCACCTGAGACCGAGTGCCGTGATGGTAGACTCTCCCACTATGCACTGCGTGGTCAAGATACCTACTTTGCGGAGATCAGCCTGGTCTTGTGCCTACTATTGGCGTCAAAAAGTTTCCCGCAGCTAGTCAAGCACTTGGATCCAAGTCGCTCATTAGGAAGGTCTATGGCCACATCTGGTGTCTTTGAAACAGCATGTCGCGAAAGGGATTCGATACTTGCAATACTCCGCGCCGCGCCCAAGACTCTCGATCCCATCGAACACGTTTGGCGCCTACAGCTAGGATTCATGGAAGGAGATCGTCCATGAAAAGGTAGGTGAGTTGACGAGAAACCCGACATGCTTCCAGAAATAGTAGAAAGAGCAGACGCGGCACAACTGTCTCACCGTTCCATACAGAGCTGACCTCTCAAATGTATGCACGTGAATCTAGGAAATCTCATTATATGAATTAAGGACAGCACGGATTGGCTAATCGCAATGATGAGTTGTTACACGCTCTGGCCGAAGTAATCCAGCATAATTCGGCGAGCGACTTCAGCACCGAGCATAACTCTGCTCCGATAACAATGTCTCAATCCGAGCCTTACCGTCAGTAAGGTACCGGACCTGCAGTGATACGCGAACTTCTAGGACTCGTGAACGGCTTCGGATATCATCTTAATGGATTGCATTGCTCGATGTGGCTCGTTGCAGGCAGGAGAAGAAGCACGTAGGTCGCGTCAGTGTGGGCTACTTTGGTGCATTGCGAGATGGCGGAAGGTGGTATCCATCTAATGCATTGCACTGGGCTGGGTAAGCAGCGCGCTGTCAAAGCATAAGGTAGGTAGGTCCTTTGTCCGACGACAAGTTGAGAGTGTCAATAACCGATTTATGGAGCTTGCAAGGAAAGTACGACAGCGCTTTTGAAAGAGTGGTGATTGAAGCATTGGAAGTGCTCGTCGATTTCACCAGGATAGATAGCTCCATGTGCTGGCAACGCTGATGTAATACCAAAAGGCGAACGAATGGCTCAGGGAAAGAAGGAACGCGGAAGTAGACAGCTTCATATGCACACAGACTTGTGAATCTGCGCTCATAATAGCAGCTACAATACCCGCAATTCTGATACGCAATACTCCAAAAACTCCTCCGAAGGCAGTGACCGCAAACCCCAATCCCCCAAGTCCCTTCATGCCAAGCCCTTGCAAAAGAAGTGATACATACGCAAAGTTTCTCGGAATTCTCGCCTTCGGGCACTAGCAGGTATGTGTTACCCCCACAAGGCCTCCCCTCGGCAGTGACAGCAGCATTGGCTCAGGTGGCAGAGCCCCTGATTTGGAGCGTTCAGTAGATAGGGAGCGGCCACAGATGTAGGTGTAATCTTCGGATTACACCGAACTGTTTTGCATTTTCGACGTTCTTTTGTATATACGATTTTTTTGGTAGTTCTGTATGTATTCTGTTGGAATTGGTGCGCATTTTGAATCTTTTTGCGATAGCATCGGGTTCAATTCAGGGGTTCGTGTTGGCGGCCGCTGCCACCTGGACTCGAACACCAGCGCTGTGTTTTGCATGAGCCTTGGCGCCTTGGAGAGGGGAGCAGTAAGCCATGCTTGTTCCAATATTCTCGCGAGTCAACTCCTGGAAGGACAACGGTGCCTTTCCCCCAAGCTCATTTGGTAGGTTGACAGCGAACTTGACCCTCACGAGAGCAGCATACAAAAAGCGGCTCCAACAACTTCGCACGAGACGATGATCTACCACCAACTCCACCGACCACACGCAATTGCAGCTACCTTGCCACTCATCACCCGCAGCCTTCGCGACAATGGTGGCGGACAGCGCATCAAGCATCGCACTCCTGCAGATCAATCAAACGACTGACACCGAGATGTTACAGTCATACACTCGACAGTGGTCCTCAGCAGCTCTCCAGCGCACATCTCTCAGCGGTGATGTACCGCAAATTGTCACCGACTTGCTGACCATGAGCGTCGCTACCAACTCCCTCCCTTCCTACTTGCGTCGAGTCCGCACCGAACAGGCCAGAAGAAGCGCCTTGACCAGCATTCTACCTCGCGCGGCCAACTCGCTAGGCTCACCACCACGCAGAGATCAAGACGACTGGCAAGGTCAGACCTAGATATCTGCTGCAAGGGGAAGTTTCAGGACGGGGAGGAAGAGGTGGAAGAGGCTGCGGTGGGGAGGAGAGGAGAGGAAAAGAGCAATACCGAACAGGTCTTGAGTCGAATAATGGTATATCTGCACACGTGAAGCTCGACCGGATTCGGTGTCGAGAAGCGCGTCCCAAAATCTCAGTTCTGCTGTCTAACTGACACTTGCTTTCAACGGAGCTTGTTGCCTTTCTGACGCTACTCAGCAGACCTGCCGTTCTTGCACTCACCAAGCCTCCGTGACAGTCCGCGCTCGAGCTGGCGCCGCCAAAACCAGCTGGGAACCCTCCCACCGATCGTGCGAGTACTGCTCGACCACCAGGGTGAAAGCGGGTGCGGTGGAGAGGAGAGGAAAAGAGCAATGCCAAACGCCGAACAGGCCTTGAGGAGAATGGATGGTAGATGTACTTTCACCTCGACGCAATACATATCCTCTGTCGAGAGGCGCGTCCCGGAATCTGCATCCAGTACTGCTGTCCTGCCGCCCTTCCAACTCTCCCAACGAACCGAAGCCAACAAGCCTTCTCGCTTGTACATCTACAATCGCTCCATACTCCATACATACAGCACGAGGGATCTCCCCAGTCGTCACCCAAACCGGCACCGCCCAAACCCCAAACCAACCCGCCGAGTGTTTATCTTCATCCAAGGACACACCGAATTGGAAAAAGACGAATGTCGTTGATCGGCAGCCGAGTGTTGATCTTCATCCAAGGACGCACCGACGTCTTTGATCGCTCGCTGGGTGCTTTGCAGGAGATCCATGGCTGTCTGGCTCGACGTTAGGTTGCCGCCTGATTGGGCAGCGGCGCGGAGTAAGATGCAAACATCCAGCCTTGCCCGGGAACTTCATGAAGCCCTTCTGACTCCGCGCCGCTGCCACCTTTCTTTCTTTCTTTCGTTCGGGAATCCAACGTGAGTCCAATATGGTAGTATCATGCAGACAGAGGAATGTCGTAAGAATGCCGAGATGTGAATGCTGGAGCGTGTCAGTTGAGATCGAGTTTGCGGAGGCAGGGGAGCAAAGATTACCGTTAGGAGTGATGGATATAGGTGTTGGGTTGAGATGTCGGCTGCGAAAGCGATCATCTGGACTGATGAAATGGGAATGTGCTGGAGAGTGTCAGTCAGCTTGGATGGAGTGCTCGGAGGCAGGGGAGCAAAGATTACCGTTAGGAGTGATGGATATAGGTGCTGGGTTGAGATGTCGGCTGCGAAAGCGATAGTCTGGACTGATGAAATCTGCCATGCACATGTTCATGAAAATAGCTCGCTGCTTTTTTTTCGTGCGCCTCCTTCACGGTTCGCATGTGGGACATGATGTTGTGGGGGAGGAGGAATATTGGGAATGTAGCATAAGGATATGCTTGCTTTGCACGTCATCATCAGCAAAGCTGTTCTTCGAGCTTGGAGGGACTCATACCTTTTTTTGAAAAGAATTCCGGAGGAAGAATGGGGCGAAGGGTGCTGTTGGATCCTGTTGATAAGGATGTTGGCGGAAGAATGGATGTGACGAAAGCGCCACGGCGAGGATGTTGGTGGAAAAATTGTTGGTTATGGATGAGGAGCAGCAATGCCGCCCCGGCGACGCACTGGAGAAGATGTCAGCACCAGCGTCAGACTGGATTCGAGGAGGGAGGGAGGAAGGGAAAATGTGAAGAGAGGCTCACGAGTCCGGCGCGCGCTTAACAACCAACTTAGAACTGGTACGGACAAGGGGAGTCTGGCTGTCCTGATGATGTTGGTGGAGGATGTTGGTGGAGGATGTTGGTGGAGGATGTTGGTGGAGGATGTTGGTGGAAGATGTCCTGAGAGGGTGTCCTGGAAGAATGTTGAAGAAGGCTGCCGATAGAAATGGCGAGGAAGGATGTCGAAAGATGTCGAAGTATACTACTACCGATGAAGATGGTGAAGGGCAGGAGACGTTGAGTTTTGGGTTGATGATATCGTCCTCGGAGGCTTGGGAGGTCGACCAAGATTTTCTTAAAATATATCGAATGATGGCGTCGAATGTATGCCGAATGAAGGGAAGGATGGTGTGAAAGAAGAGTCGTGATGAGAGGGAAGAGGAGAAAAAGAAAGCCAGCGAGCGAAGGGAAATAAGTACTCCAGGCATTGTTTACATCGAGACGAATGCAGTTGCAGATGAGTGTTGAACTCCCAGCAAGCCTGGGAAGGCATCGATGTATCAGAGGCAGGAAAGATGGCATATCTACAGCGTGACTGGATGAAGTACCCGTGGACTCCCGGCAGTGTTTACATTACCGCAAATGCAGTTGTAAATCTCCCAGCAAGCGTAGGAAGTATCGATCTACCAGAGGCAGGAAAGATAGCATGTATCTTATAGGTAGAATGCGGACTGGATAGTGATTCACCAGAGCAGGTGCATCTTGGGAAGAGTGACCAGGTGGACCCCTTGAATCAGTGAAGGGGGCTGGCGGTCGGAAGCTTTCCACGCTACCATGCAGAAATCAAACCTTGCGGAGCAAACCTACCTCAAGCGGTAGGCGCAGAAATTGGTATCCGAATCAGAAGCATACGAAGGATCAACAAGCTTTGGATGGACATGTCTGGGATCGGGATGCTTATGTTAACGTCAACGAGGGAACAATGAAGGCAAATGGCAACATGTATTGCGAAGAGAGACAAGTCAATGTATTGCTCTGCTCTGCTATGAAATTCTGTCTCAATGGGCCACGTCTTTGCAATATCTGCCCTGTTTGCTCGCTTGAGTGCCATCTCCCATAGTGTTCAGCGGAAGGTCGATCTCTGGGACCTGCTTCAGGCTCTTGTGCTGGGCTTTGTCCGCGTCTGCATTCTCGCAGTATCAATGCCATATCCTGCTCACTGTGATTTGATCTGGGAGCCGTCGTTCGTCGGAGATTAAGATGATGCCTGGATGGAGGGCGATTGCGGGTCGGTTTTGGTCACAGCTGCAGTATCCGATCGATGTGTCTTGGGCTGTGTTGGTCCAAGTCCTCCGCATTCTCGGAATGGGAGTTAGTCTCTGCTTGTTGGTCGCTGAAACTCAAGTCGTCGTCTAAGAGCAGGACGAGCGAGTAGAGCAGACTCGTAGATAGCGGCCCGAGGTGGCTTTTGCAAGTTTGTGAGGAAGTCCAATCTCCAGACCTGATATGTCTTGAACTGGCTTGGGAGTCGGCAAGGCGATTGATCGTCGGCGACAGTCGCAACTGAAGTCGTCGTCTGAGATGGCGACGAAAGGCTCCATGATTTGGTGTTGGCTAGGTGTTGGCTTTGGCGGCGCGAGGTCCGCCTCCAGTCTGCGACGTTGCGCCTGATTCTTCCACAACCTGTGTCGCTTCGCAATACCAATGCTCTTGGAAAGGAAGCCTGGCTTCGTGAGTTTCGTCTGCGTCGAAGCTGAAGAACCATGGACGTGTCCATGTCGGCGGTTGGCTGTGTGGGTGTAGTAGCTCTGCCTTGGGGGTGTGTAGGCTCGTCGGTTGGCTGTGTGGGTGCAGTAGCTCTGCCTTGGGGGTGTGTAGGCTCGTCGGTTGGCTGTGTGGGTGGCTCGCAGTGTGGGGAGGTATAGGCTGGAGGCCAAAGCAAAGAGACTCGTCGTGAGGCTCTCTTCTTTGCTACCGCGTCGGGATCTAGGATAGTTCTGGTGGATCTGCCAACCTGCATCTGCCGAACCTCGTCTCGACCCAGCAGCGGCCGGACTTCGTCGTGCATAAAGGGTTGGTTACTGGGGGCGACCTATGAAAGATCATAGTCAGTATACTTCAAATGTGATGGAGGCTTGTGCTGTCGGGACGGGGGCTGGTGGTGGATGAGGCTTACCCTGCCGTCCTTGGATGAGGGGGTTTGAACTCTGTGCATGAGGACTGACCCTGGTGCAGGGAGCATGAAGGCATGGAGTCCTTCGAGATGTCAAACTGAATCGGGACCACCAATTAGTAGTTAGGCTCTTGACCAACCAGGAGAGCAGGAATGCGGGCGGGATCTGGAACCAGGAGCCGTGGATGGAAATGCCGTTGCAATGGCCCGTTGCCTGAACAACGGGCGCTCGTCGAAGCTGCTCATTTTCCTTAGTACTTACTGTATCAATGCCCGCAAGGCCGTGAACAGGAAGCAGCGGCGTGAGATGAGGAGCAGTCCTGGAGAGTCAGACTTGCTCAGCACGACAGGTAGGCGACTGCTGTGAAGACGAAGGAGGACACTGCATCCCCCGTTGAGGCCAGGAAGCTCCAATGACAAGTGAAGAGCGTCGAGTATGTTGTTGTTGTGCAGACCAGCAGACTTCGAGCTGTGCATGGTTATTCGTCTCGGTCACATGCACATCGACTTCCGAAGTACATCCACTAGCTTCGGTAAGAGCTGCCAGCTGTAGACGGCCTCAGAGCAGCTTGAAGCGTTGTTTTCAATTTTCCCCTATCAGACTCGCTCAGCAGATCAACACCATCCTGATTTCGAGCCTCGTTCTGTCATTGTTGGTGTAGTTGAGGCCCTCATGCTTGTTCTATCTCTTCAGCCGTCACATGGTCGCCCAGATACGACTCCGCCGATGTTCTCCTTCAGGGCTACTGACTCCTCGCCCAGGGCTGCGACTTTACGGCTTCTGCGAATGCCCTTTCTCATGTGTCTACTCGCCAGAACCATTGCACGCCTTCATCCACTTCCAAGATCCTGTTCCTCACCTTCGCGACGCCTGCGACCATGCCGTCGAGACGCCGACTTGGCTGTTGTGCGACGTCGGTGTTCTGCCCATAGTCGCTTGAGATAAAATCTGCGACATCTCGTCGGATCTCTTTGCCCAGGTTCTCGAAGGCCTTCTGACAACCCACTCGAACGCATGGTATCGCGGATTCGAGTGAAGACATTCGCAGAGCTACAATGGCAAGTGCAGGGGGTAATTGAAGTATCATAGAGACATTCCTGGATGGCATGGTTTGAGCGCAAAATGGTGGACCTTGGTGGATACCTGTGCTACAAGATGCAACAAAGACAATCCGGTTGCGGTCACGATGACTTGTGTGCACACTCCTGGCGCTATTCGCTGAGGGGACGAAGAGTACAGCGATGATGACAGAACGATGGCAGTGAGGACCGTCCAAGGCAATCTTCGTGATCAGGGCGCGTTGTCATTCATTTAGCTATCGATGTGCAGGCATATACACGTATCGAGACTTCATGCCGATTTGGGGGCCGCAAGTTCACATTTGCACGGCGGAGATCACGGAATCTGAGCCATGTCCACGAATTGTAGAACGAAGGGCGTTGTTGACACACCTCGTGATACTCCGTTCTATGTCAAAGACCGATTTATTGATTGTGATGTGTCAGGAAGGCTAAGAGCTGGTAATGTTAAGAGAGGTGTCTCGGGCTCAGCCGCAATGAAACGAAGCGCATCTCGACCCTTATGTCCTCTTTCAGAGCTTCATGCGTTCGATTCCAAGTCACGATCTACAATGACCTTTTTGAATGTGAACGAGGGGATGTATTGGCACCTCCAATTGAGAACGGCAAGGGGAGCCGCCCTGAAAAGAGTGAATGGCCAGAAGTCAAGCAGTGGCAGTCGACTCAGTTCGATTCCCGTATCGAGATTCGAAAGCAGCACGCATTTCAACCGCACAAAATACGGTAAATACATTCAAAAAATAGAAGAGTCTACTCGACAAAGGAGAATTATCCATTGTAAATCCAAAAATACATTCCCACTTTCGACCACTATATCATCCAAAAAAAGCAAAAAGTTCGAGAAGTCGCACATCTCTACATCTTCACCTGTCGATAAGGATTCATAGCGTTTTGATAGCAAGGTTTGCGCTGCCTTGAACTTCACGAGCCATGCCGAGCCAAGCCAACCGCCACTGCCAACTGCGCCAACAAAGGAAATATACGTACCGATTGCCCGAAGGCAAGAGCTTGGGGATTTAGTTGGGTATGTATAGGCAAATTGCTGACTAGCTGGGGGCTTGGCAACGGTTTTTGGGAGATGTCGGGTTTCTAGTGAGTTGATTGGGATTATGCCCTTTTCCTCACGCTCCTCACGCTCGTCGATTGGCGAGTGCTTTGTCGGTATGGTTTTCCCTTGGAGACCACAGCCATCCCTTTGATTCAGAGGGCAGTGCAGTTTCCTTTTTACCTAGCGGTCATGAACGACAATAAACAGCCTTCAGTCGACGCAATCTTTCGGCGGAGCTTTGGCTACACTCTAAGACTCAGCGCCCACGTCACATCCACCTTGTGTCCTCTCGCAAGCTTCAAACTCGGCGCTCTGACATGCACCACTCTCGCCGCTATCCAGCTACTTCCCGTCGAATGCAGCCTCAACCGTGACTAAGGAAACGAAGGAACAATCACCTGCGTGACTCTAAAGAGGATCATGCGCGACGAAGATGGAGAGGGTCCCAGACAGGACACGTTGGTGAATGATCTACAACCCTCCCGAGGCAGCTACTCCAGCCATTCGAACTCGCGCTTGCAAAGGGCTTCCGGCCGCCGATATCCAGAGAAAGGCTAAGCGCAAAACCTCGTCCTCGTATCAGGCTTAGGATCAAACGAACAGGATTCGGCGCATGGGAAGACCAGCGAGTTGAAACAGGAGAAAGAGAAGTTCATCACGATGGTCCGTATAGGAACAACAGGGCGGGACAATGGAGGCAAAAGGACCCGCCATCACTCGTGGCATGAAACACGAATGTGGTTCAAAAGCGTTTGGTAAAGGCTGGATTGATCTGAAACTGAAGCGCCGCGAGATCCCACGAAACAGCAAGCAGGATATCGAGGAGATGAATAGAACTAAGTGTCAGCCAGAGATCCATATCCGACCTCATTGAGTCTAGAGAATCGCCTTGTCTTAGCCGTAGATCTCCGGATATTCAGAATTCCTACCTTCTACACCAGCTTCGGCCAAGTAGAGAAGAAGACTTAGGCGGCGACGAACCAGCAGGGCAGATTAGCAGACGAGGCACGCTTCTCGGGCCTGAAAGACCTATCGATCCATCATTCTGATGTCTGTTGCTGTTTTTGGGCCCCTCGCTTGTTTCACTACGTCTGGCTTTCGAGTCTTGTCTCTCCGGCCAAATTTTTCACTAGCCAGCGAGACTTTGAACTCGCCTCTTTACTGACGTTTTGCTCTGGATTTTCGAGGTCCATCTTCCTAGTCTATTGAGAAAGTTGCTAGGGAGGTGCTCGAGGATGCACCGTGATTGAGATTCTATGTGGACGAGCGTGTAAGAGATTAGTTGGAACAGCAACTATAGTCCTAGAGAGCATATTTGCTCACCATTTGAAGGACTCATGGGATAGGACAAAGACTCGTTGAGGGACTAAGAATTGGAGATGTGCCGTAGCACGGGTTGAGACGGGAGAGTAAGGAGGAACAAGATATCAGAAGGCGGGACTATGACCTGCACTCTCCTTCTTCGGATTTTCCCTACCACATATCCGTATTCAAAGACACCATCGCCATCCTCAAATACGAATCCGAAAACTTGCCATACTTACCCGCCAAAAGCTTCACTTTGATCGTAGCGAGCACAGCATCCGAGTCAGCAATCTTCAGCTCTCGGTTAGCCCGTTCCAATGCAAGCTCTGCAATCTTACTCCCCGAAGCCATAGCTCCCATCGCAGTCGCTAGCATTTCTTCGCATTTTTTCTGGGTGCTTGCGATTAAAGACTCATAGAAACGTCGGGATGCGGCAGAAGTTCCGAGAGCTTGGAGGAAATCCGATGTCGCGAACGTGGGAGAACCAAATCGACCGTGTGAGGAGAGGTCCTGCGTGAAAGATGTGTGTTCGGCATCGGCACAGGTTCGGAGCGTCGAAAGACAGACGTCGGTCCAGGCTAAGGCTTGCGATGAGTCGAGAGTTGATGGAGACTGGGTGAAGTCGATGGTTGAAGAGGCGGAGTTTGCTGGAGCTGGGGCTGTTGTATGGCTCTGGCCCATGTGTAGCATGTCGATTTGGCGAGCACAGACTCGGGTTAGGTGTTCGACTCTCTCGTATGTGGAGTCGAGGAAACCAATGCCATCGTTGCCGATGCGGACTCCCATTCGACAATGTGCGGGAGCGTAGAGCCAGTGATGAGGCGCATTTTGAGAGGATAGTGTGCCTAGAACTCGATGGGCGTGTTGGAGGACTGCTTTGATCATGCCGGTGTAGTCCAGTTGATGCACATGGCCATCATCGCCGCACGATGTGGAGTAGATAGCATTCGTGCGGAAGGTAGGCGTAGACAGTTCCAAACCATGAAATTGGCAAGCGGGGTGGGTTTCTTCGAGATCCTGAGGGACAGCAGAAGTATCCGCTCTGATTGACCATTGCAACGGTCTCGGATTGCCGTAGATATCGATTTCGATCGGGAATCCGTGTTTGTTTTGGCACGTTATGCACGTCGCCTCGACATGCTCTTGGCATAGCGCTTCTTCGATGATGGGCAATGCGTGGTGTTTTGCCTTGAGACCTGCGGTCGTTACCAGAACCAGCTGGAATGAACACGCTATGGATAGGTCAAGGTCAGCCATATCGCGAGAGGAGGATTGTAAAGTAAATGTGGGAGTGGTTGCGGCTTACCTTTCAATGGCGATCAGCGCCTCTGAGAAAGCTGAAGGAGTAGAAGAGAGAGCGAATGAATATGGCGCGGAGTATACGAGGTGCTTCTGCTGGTGGTTCAAGTACAGCGCCTTTGGCTTGTGACGTTCCGCGAAGCCAGGAATAACTTCGTTGTTCTTTGTTCTGACAAAGGGCCGGCGAACAATGGAACAACGCAGGGGCTTGGAGAGAACTTCTTTGTCGGACGTGCGTTGTATTGTAAAGATGTGCAAGATCTCGTGTAATGCCTGGTATGCAGAGTCGTGTGGAACTTGCTGCAACTATACTGATGCATGCGGAAGAGAATGAAAACTCCAGCAGAATACTGATTTCTATCGACATCAAGCGGGCAGCCATTGCAGAAGCAGCCATGAGAGTTGGCGAGCGCAATGAAGTTGGGCAAAGTAGATTCGATGTCGATGCAAAAGGCAAGAGGTTCATAAAGAGCTCACAAACGCTGCTCTGCATAGACGTGAGTGTGATGTTTGGAAAGATCAAATGATTCAAAAAGTGTGTGAAATAAGTCAGAATTCATGTCCAAACGAGGATGAGAGTTGGGATTCACATGCGAGAGACATCGATTAGCGTCATGCAGTCGGCAACCAATGACGGAAGCCGCCTACTTTTCCTCCGCGAGAATGAGCAAGTGCAGGTGCAAGCTGATACTCCAAACTCCTGGAGACTTTCGGGACTTCACACACAACATCACCGCCTGAATGAGAAATACTTCAACCACATTCTGCAAATCCATTTTCGAGCTATCTCGCAACGCATAGCCACCAGGGCGCGCGTTGCCCACTCGATTCTATTCCCAAGCATCTCCGTCCCTCCAGGAGACATGCTTCCTCCTACACCCTCGCCTTCTTCCGCGCCGGCTCATCGTCTTCGCCACGACGGTTGCCTTGCCCTCTCTTGTTCCAAACAAGCACATCAACGCGCTTCCGCTTGTGCGTAGCCACGGTAGCCTTACGAATTTCCATTCTCGGCGTTGGAGGCGGCTGAACCTTCGAAGCGATAAAACTCCGCCATGAAATCGGTGCAGGAGGAGGACAACTGAGTTGGAAAGGTGCGCCGGCTTGGAATTCCGCTTCTGGAGTCTGGAAGACGTCTTCAAAGAGGTCCATGTCTCCTGCGCACTTCGCTCCCTCGGGGGTGTATTTTCGAAGATCGGCTTGGACTTGAGCTGGGCACCTTGGAGGTTCTGGTGATGGTGGAGGTTTGAAGAGGTGAGGAGACATTCGTGGAGAGATGTCGCTTTCTGGAGTGTATGACATTCGCTGCCACCATTTCGGTGGTGGTGTTTGAGGCAGAGCCGGTTCATGTGCTGGTTCGACCTGGCCTTGGATTCCTTTGCGAGAGGACACGAAACTAAAAGAGACGCTGAAAAACGAGTTGACGGCAGTTGTGATGCTTGTCCGCAGTGTGGTGAGTCGATCTGTGGTAGACATTGCGAATGATCGTTTGGATGGTTGATTTGTGGAAAAAGAACAGGAAGGTGAGGTTGGCATAGGTATCCTTTATATGCTTGTGATGAACAATGCGCTGTGAGTATTGAGCTCGGATGATGACGCTTGTACTGAGGTTGGCAGAATTACATACCACGGATAATGCCTGATCGTGGAACAAAGCACACGGCTGCGGGAGCGCTCTCCCTCCTTTTCAACCTCATACGATATACTCAGACCAGCTGCCTACCATTTCCATGTTGGTTCTGAGCAAGTTCTCAGCCTGGACACGTCCCTTCAGAGCGGATGATCCCAACGTCTTTGTTCACTTGGCCTGGGACTGCTTCAAAGGGCTTCTTTGATGTCTTTCCCAAAATACTTTATACAATGCGCATTGTCATGGACCATTGTTTCTCCTTGACCAGTGTCCAGAATGCGGAATCGCCATCCTCCTCTTCCTGCGTTTTCCACAGACTTAGTTTACGCACTCCAATCTACAGCCTCTAGCTTCTTGCAGGATTTGAGCAGGTCTCAGAATCCACATTCGCCGATTAATCATGTTTCCAGAAGACGTCTCATCCTATACGACCCACACTTTGGACTCCAGCATCCCAATTCTCCCAATATTCAGCGAGTCATGCTTCGACACCTCCATCGACTACCCTTCCCTACTCCTCTCCCTCCGCCTCTGCAGTCTGGCCCTGCAAACCAAAGAAACCCTCCGATTCCTCTACGTCCTCTTCCTGAGCAAGCGTAAGTCCACCACCACAACCACCGGTAACCTCCACCTCGAAACCTCAGAATCCCCCTTCGACAACACCTCACTAACCCCCTTCCAGACCCAACTCCTCCTCCAGAAACTCTCCCAACTCTCCCACCTCACAAACTTCCACATCGACTCCGACCCCACCACCTCCGGCTCCGCAGAAACCCACATCAACACCTCCCTCACCCACCCCTCATTCCCCAATGGCTACGGTTCCGAAATCTTCCTCCCTCCCCTCCCCCTCCAAACCCTGGCCGATCCCACTCTCGACCCGCCAGCACACCTCGCACTTTCGTACCAAATCTCACATATCCTCCTTCACGAACTCGCACACGTGATTTCCAATGCCGTGGATGGAAACATTGATCCGGAAGTTTTTTTCCCGGGAATGGAGAATTTCGCGAGTGAGTGGGGGTTCGCGATGGAGGGGGTTGCGTTGGGAGGGGTTTTGGAACGGGTGAAGTTTGGGGAAGGAGGAGGCGCACCGTATCGATGGAGGGATGGAGAGCGGGGTGGTTGTTGGAAGGAATGTCGAATTGAGAAGGCTTTGGGCTGGACGTTATGGCCTTGTAAGCGTTTGGTGGCGCGGTATTTGAGGCATGGGGATAAGATTGGGGTGAGGGAGAATTGGGAAAACTTTTGTAAGAGTTCTGAGGAGGAGGGGGTTGGGGAGGGGGAGATTGAGGAGATGGTTGTTTTGCCTTTTGAGTGTGTTTGGAAGGTTTTTCAGAGGCCGTTTTGGGAGGAGACTGTGGTTGAGGAGGGGAAGGAGGCGTTTCGGGTTGAGGGACGAGAGAGGTTTAAGAAGGTGGAGACCAAGAGGAAACGGGAGGTTGTGCTGGAGTATGGGGATGAGGATGCGCCGGGGGAGACGGATGATGAGTATGTGGATGAGCAGAGAAGGAGGGCGAAGCGGAGGGTGGGATAGGGAGCTGGTCTCCGATCTCCTTTCGAAAGTGATATACGTTAGATGTTCCAGAAGTCAAATTTTTTCCTCCTGCTCGCACTCTTAATAGAATTTTCGGAATGATTTCATACATCGATGCAGCGAATTCAAAGTTTCTTAAGATCTTTTGGTAGTGAGTTTCGCCTTTGATGAAAAAGCTACGAGAATGGAAAGCTGCAAGTCTTGACAACCATGTAGGGGATGAACTTTAGACTCGAGCATGTTCTAGAGCACGACACGCGAGGAATCGAATATGGCGAGAGAAATTGAGAATGGTGAGTCAGTAAGTCCTAAACGAGAAGAAACTTTGATAATGGAGTGTGTGCGTGAAACTTTTCATTTGAGGAGATACTTCATGAGTTTGCAATGGGTAATCCCCAGTTGAATGCATTGTATAGTAGTCTAGACCAAGCCTCGCCCCAGTAGCCTTTGCTTACAAGTAAGCATGCCTAACTGGATCTTGTCTAACCCTCTCCCTCGCCTCCGCAAGCGTGATGATAGCAATGCCTTTGACGATGTGCGTCTCCAAAGGCACCGCGTCCGAAGTCTGCTCCGCTATGCGTTCGTAGGCTGACGGACCGGCCTCCTGCTGCGGACGAGATCCGTTGCGACTTTGAAGCTTGGTCGCGACTTTGGATCTGCATCGCTGGAAGATTGAGGGCTGAGGTTGCGCTTTCGGCTTCCGGAGTGTGCCGGCTTCGAGATGTTGGAGTTGTCTCGTAGACTTGGGTGGCCGTGGGCGTGGTGGTGACGCGGCTGCCTCGCCTGCGAGGAGAGCTGCTTGGGCCGCTCTGGCGGCGCCGAAACTGGGGGGTTGCGACATTTTGATTGGGTCGCGGAGGTTTGATGATGGTTGGTGGTTGTACTGTGAATGCGAGTGTGAAGAGTTGATATGGTGGTCTTCGTTGCGCATTGGTGGTTGTGTTGTGGTGTGACAGAAGAAGCTCGATGACTGGAGTTCGGCGCTGAATATATACCAACTGGTTCTGATGCAAATATCGTATAATGCATTGTAGTCAAAGTATGAGAAAGCCTTGTGGGAAAGTGATAATCCAATTGTGGTCACAAAAACTATGCATAGTCGTGGTCGACAATGCATTTGCGTAGACGGAGTCCACTTCTCGCCAACGGGGCTCGGTCGAAAGAGGTGTGCTTTGTGGATGAGGCGACATTCCGAATTCGCGCTGGACGTGGTGCGTAACAATCGTGGCGCATCGTCCGCGAAAGCTTGATGGTCGACAGGGAGGTGATATATTGCCGAGTATAGAGGTGATATACTTCATATGGAGGGGATATACTTCGTTTGGAGCTGATATACTTCGTTGGCTCTAAGGAGACCGGAAACTTGAAAGCATCCATTCGTTCAGTCAATGCTGGTACTGCGATGAGGCTCCTCGAGACAGTGCAGAGACGAGCGAGAATGTCGACGTAGTAAGGAAAGCGCTTACAAGACCTGCTCGAGCAAGTGATACTGCAGAAGTTCATTAGTTACTGAAGTATGACGATGGGGCTGAGAGAGGACGAGAAATCTTGGATAGGTCAGACTTATAGGAGAAAGGGGAATCAAGAGTGGTGGTGTTGGGGTGTTTCATTGATAAAATGTACTTACTTGCCAAAGGCCGTCCGAATGCGATGACCAAAATCTGAAGATCGTTCCTGGTGTGAGGAATCGTGCTTGCCGAAGCTTGCCGATGCCATCGCTAGTCACCTCGCTGCCAGATCTACCTCTCATCGAAATTGTCACGAGGTAGATGTCGAAGGCTTACCAAAGGCATGACCAAGAGGATCAGCCTTCACTCGCGCTTGTGCTTCGGCGAGTGAGATGGTTGGTATCCCCTTCAAGGTCTGCGTGGCGCTCGTGATCGGCATTGGCGGAGGCTTTGCAGATTCGGTGTTTGAAGGCATGTTTCTGTGCACAGCGTCATCATGTGGAAGTTCTTCCGCGATGGCCCACTCCCGCAAACCATCCACGACCTTACTGACCTTGGAAGAGCATCGGCGCATCAATGATGGGCGGTCACTCAGGCGTGGGAAGGCCCTCCTCTCCTGAACCTCCTCGGCTGACATGAGCCTGAGGGGCTGTGTGGGTGATGGAAGACTCCGGTCTGGGCTTGGTGGACGGACTTCCATGGAAGCTGCGGAACAAGTGCGACTGAGAGTCGCGGGGGTCTCGTATTCGAGAGGCGTCATTGCGTCGGACTCCGGAAGCTGGCCAGCAGATTCCATATCCCAGCCTGACGCGAAAGGAAAGAGCCTTCGTTGCATGGCAGCCATCCTTGCGGTTTGAGTTGAGAGCTGAGTCTCTCTCTGCTGCATGGACGGCAGAGTGTCGCGGTCTGATGGTGACATGGTGATCGATGTTCTCATGGATTGCTGAATGTCTTGATCTCGGCTGCTCATGAGTGTGTGTGATGTGACTTGGGGAAGGAGTTGTCATCTTGCGACAGTCGAGGTGGAATATATAGATAGCCATCGGATGGGTATAATGCGTTATGAGATTCGAATTCCAGGCATGGTGGTGAACAATCCATTCTGTCGTCGTCCTCAATCCCACTGTACATCTGCACAATAGCCTTGTTCTGAGGTTCAGTCATGGTTTCTTTGTGAGCGCTTTGTGGTATGAAGACTTTGGCAGAGGAAGCTTTCCATCGATGATTTTGCGCGAGCCCATAATGTGTAGAGTCGACCAAGGGAAGGTGTTCCGCTGCACGAAAGCTTTATGTGCTCTTCCCTGTCGATATTTGAAGGTGTGGCATTGCGTGAAGAGAGTGAGCTGAACTCAGACGTCGGCGAGGCTTGAAACAATGGCGCTCAGGATGAAGCAATGACAAAGGAGGTCATTTCCACTCCTTTGGTGACTTGGCAAGGTCCATGCGAGGCGAATGCAGCCATGCTCCCAGTGCACACTGAATCGATTGGCGGGAGAGGATCAGGTGTCTGGATTTTGACGGCCAAACTCACAACTCGGCCTGAGTTCACGAGACGCATCCTGCTAAAATGAGTGCTTGTAGTACCTTGAGACAAAGTAGTCAGCATTATCTTAGATTTGAGCGCCGAAGATTCAGCCATGTCTCACACCGAGATCATGACCTGGATGGATCGCTGAAACCAGGTTCAGCCATAATTTCACTGCTTAATCAGCCCAAGGCAGTCAATTTGGGAGCTCGTAATAAGCACCATGGATCCCGAAGAGCCAGCAGGTGTTGAAACCATCCGGATTGGGAGTTTCTGGCCAAGTATTTCGTGCATATGACCAGCCTGAGATTCAGGACCGCCAGGCACGATATTCCTACCTTGGCTACCCATATCTTGCCTCGAGGGTTCCGTTGCTGATGCACGCTCACTCTGACTCTGGACTTATACCACAATCCGGAACAATTTGCAGATTCTGGTTGCAGTGGTTGATTTGAGCAGGGCAAGAAGATGAGAGGGAGATGAAGTGAGGTCGCGAAGGAAGCAGGGGGCGCGAACCTTGACGTGCCAAGATCGAATCGAATGCGTGCGGACACAGCTCCGTGTCGGAAGAATCTCGACTTCTCCCACACACTTTTCTCCACCTCGCCGTCACCAGAAAATGGCACCCATACGTCCCGCCAGCAGGAAACGCACAACCGCACGCTCTCGTGTCGCGGCGAAAGCTTCGGCAGACCCTCGAGGCAAGTATGCGCCGCTCCCAGACTCCGAGATGGCATTTTCCGCCCAACCTGAATCCACAGACGCACTCTCCAACTTGAAGGATGACTACTTCGGCTTCGACGGCAATGATTTCCGCCTCAGCAAGAAAGACAAGCGAGTCATCAAGCATGGCAACCTTCTTGCGAAGGTGCGGGAGGGCGCGATCGAGAAGAAGAGCAGGAAGCGGAGAAGGCCGAACAAGAAATTGAAAACAGATATTGGTGGTTTGGGAGATGCCCTGCCTGATGTTGACGATGGAGAGGGTGAGTGGGAAGGCATAGAAGATGATGGCCAGATGGCAGTCGAGGGCAGGAAGAAGCGGCGGAGAAAAGACGAGGGAAAGATGGTCATGAAGAGTCTGAAGTTGAGGCACGGCGCCATGAAGCGAAAGAAGAAGATGGAAGACGATGAGATGGAGCGGATGCAGAGAAATCTGGCGCTGTTGGCTCAAGGAAGAGCTGCCGAGACCAAAGTGGATGGTGGAGAAGACGGCGCTGAGGATGCCCAGGCGAAGAGATGGGAAGCGTTGCGCGCGTTCATTGGGGGCACAATGCAGAGGGACCAGGCTTTTGCGAAGACTTGACACGGCAGCATGATCTTACCGCGGTCAGGAATCTACCGGCGTGCTTTCGATGCCTCATTGGTTACACGACCAGAACACGGGTGCAGGGACGAGCGCGTTCGCATTGCATGGCATTTGCCCAGCACTCACGAGGGACAACAACGTGTGGCCTCGTCATATCTCCGCAGCCTTCCTACAGCTCTGTACTGCCTCCAGGAACTCGATGAAAGCGTCAAAAGCTCCGACAGTCAGCTTTCTGGTATTCTTGCCATCTCATCCTTGACGAATACCTCCAACGTACACACCCGCCACGATCTTCTATACCTCATAGGCAGTGCAAGACTCGAGTCTTCAAAGAAGCCACCTACAGACGTGACGCTGCCTTTGTATCATCCTCCTCTAAACCTGACTCTGGCCATACCTGGAAGATGCTTGGAAGTTTACGATGCCGCTTCGTATCAGGCTCGGCGCCCTTTACGGCTGCAGCCTACGTTGACAATGCATCATATCCCGCTCCGCATACGAGCTCACTCAAGCGCGCTGTAGCTTCAAAGCATATTCCATGGTCTTGACTCACAAGTAGAGCTCTGCTGCCACGGACTTTGCATTCAATATGGTTATGACGCCTTTAGAAGGCTTTGGTTTCCAGACTCTCAGCGGCACTCCAGCTCGACATGAGCTTCGAATATCTGCGATCTTCATCAATACTTTGTGCTAGTCTGTACCTTTCAATGGTCCGGCTTTCTCCTTGACCGTCCTTCGCAGGTGCCATTGCAATTTGAATACAAGCAGCCTTCTCGTGTTGTACTGCGCATTTCTCTTCTCGCATTTGCTCACGATTCCGAACTCACTGAAAGCCTTGGGCGATCAAGTCGAAACCGAAACTCAAGGGCTCCTCCCGACCCGCCACTACAAAGAATCAGGTACGACCGGTGCTTCATCTCCAAGATCGAATAACACACCTAATCATCAAGAGCGCGCGATCATCGATCTTACCAGCAACGACGACGCCATGACGAAACCTGGCGACTTGGCAAGAACCTCGCCTATATCCAGCAGACGAGCTATCGCCTCAACGCCCTTCGGCGTGCCTACGATCAACAAGCCTAGGACATCGCCGCTGCAGAGTTTGTGCTACTCCCTGGAAATCGTTTTGATCACGACATTCACATCTTCGAAAACAGTACCATCGCAGATTCGTGCAACCCGCCCATCACCCTGCTGCTAACACATGCCCAACTCGACGATCTGGAGTGGGACGACGACGGATACCTGATTTACCCAGACGATGATCGAGAGGCGATCCAGCAGGAACTGGAAGTTATGGCCGAAGACGAAGCTGCCGAAGACGAACTTGGCCACGAAGATATCCAGAACATGCATGGCGAAGCCTAGCACACCATGTGCTTGAATCTGCAGCCGACTCATACGCTCCGCTACAGCAAGTCACCATTGACGGTGGCTGACTGGCGTGGTGGTCACGATGCACAAGGAGACATTAACGGCGTTGAAGTGTACCACAACAAGACTATAGCCATTGGTGCCTTGGATGCGTCCCTTTCTCGCAATCTCGTGCAGCAGATGGGAGAGATCGGTAATCCTTTTCTGCCCTTAACGCCTGGTAGCACTCGTCGTGTTCTCAAGATCAAGATCACTGGCCAGGAATACGATGACTGCGAAGACCGACATGGTTTGCGTTGTAGTAAACTCCCGCCTTTAAGAAGAGAGCCCTTGCGTGTATTTTGGCACTTTATCGTAAGTCTAACCTTTCGTGTTTTCAAATGCCTTCTAACGTTACGCTCTCTAGGCTCCTTTAGTCACTAGTATCTTGAATTCTCTGTGCTCCAGCAAATTGTTTTTTGGGAAACACTGCTTGTAGCTTAGCCGCAAATCTCTCGCGGACGACTAAGAGCATTCTCAGCATCTTTAACTAGGACTTTCATTCGCGTCTGCATGACAAAAGTCGGTCTTCAGCTTCTGACTAGCCCAAATCGGATCTTACCTTTCTGGGCCGCCGAAAACCCGCTATGCTGCTCAGTGAAAACGAAACGAAACAAAGCCCACAACCGTTTTGAGCTGCTACTGTCAGCCTTGGCAATGCCCATCACCAACACAAAGAGCTCGGTCTAACAGCCGAGCAATGGTCGCAGCCCAGGGTTCCCGGTATCCTTTGTCCCGATCCCTCGCGACTTTCGCATGATAGACGATAGCTTTTTCTCTGGTCTTACTCACCTCGTTCTACTACCGAATCGATCTGGTCTCGAAATTCCTGTTCCTATCCACGGGCACCGCTTTCGAAGTGAAAAGACAAAGTATTGCATTACTAGGAGCGATTGAAAACGACAACTCACTTGTCTACGAAGCCATCACTAGCGAGTTACCACATATCAGCCTCGACTGTCCTCTCGAAGATTACCGATACACATTCGCGACCGATCTCTCTACCTTGAGTACCACTACAGAAACGCTGAACACCACCAATCTTCACGCCTAGACTGCTTCCACAATGCCGCGCTCATTGAAACGAGGCCGTGATATGACGGGTGCCGATGCGAATGAGCCCAAAAGCCATCGGCCGAAGAAGATCCAACGAAAGGTATCCGCCGAGTCATTCAAGAAACACGCAAAGAGCATTATGCCGGATCGGGAAGAGTCCAAGAAGCAGCAAAACTCAGAAGGCCAGGCCGAACCGGAAGAGGATGAGAGCATTTGGAAAGAGATGGAGAAAGCAATGAACGAAGCAGCCCCCGGTGTCGAATTCCCTGATAGTAACGCCAATGCCGCCAAGCATACAACAATCGTCGACGAGGAATTAGCAGATGCCGACAACCCAATCCTCCCCGCCAATCTCCACGAAAAAATCCGCATCTCTACCCACCCGCTCCGACCTGGCGACGCTGAGTATGACTTCGACCAGCTGGCCCTCGCCCTCCGTAACACCGGAAACCCTCTCGGCGCTACACAGCTTACTCGTCTCAACGCGTCTGCTCGTCTCGAGGATGCTCGAAAGGAACATGCTCCTCGAAACGAGATCTGTCGAGACTTTGTCGCTGCTCTTCGGAGTTCAGAGGGTCCGAATTGGCCGGAGACTTCTGGAGCTCGGAGGGTTAGGAGGGTTCAGATTTTTGTGGAGGATTTCGATGCTAAGGGAGAGGAATTGGGGGAGGCTAGGAAGGGGTATGTTTATGTTGCTACGATTAAGGAACGCTTCTGAGAGGATTATATGAGCTCTTCTGGTGAAAGGGTGTGCTATGGCAGTAAACTACTGGGATACATTTTAGCTGGATTCACGATTGGAATGCACCTAGTCCGTCCGTTGATTTCAGGGTGTCCTTTGACGGCTGTCTTTTAGAGAGGGCAAGAAAATTGGCAGGGTAGACGCTTGTCAGTAGGTACCTTGTGGAGTAATTGCGTTTCCTCATTTTAGAATTCTAAGTATCTGACTATTATTTTCTTTCGAGGCCCTTGCTAAATCCTGGTCCGCGCACTAAGTCTAGAGCCTTATGTCTCCTTTCTAGTGACTAGCAGTAAACCCAGTCCATTGCCATCGTCCACGACGGAATTCCGGAGCGCCTCGATAGATTGGCGAAGAAACAACGGAGAAAAATCCCATTTCGCAACGCTCCCATCCTGATAATCTGTACTTACTCGTCCAGTTTTCAATTTGGTAGCATATGCTTCCACAAGGCTTAGAAGGGCTTTGATTCGATTCGGATAAGAGGAAGATATAGAAACGACACCAGAATCAGCAAGATTTCTTTCGTTCTGCTTCCCCTTTACTAATCACCCTATCGACATACATTTTCCATTCAAACTTATCGCCCTCTCGCCAAATCCCCCAACCCCCATCCCATCCCTAACCCATCCATCACCCCATCATTCTCCTATACCCCTCAATCCTAACCAAAACCTCTCCCAAACTCTCCGACCCATCCACCCCCAAACGAAACGTCCCCCCCTTCCTCGTCTCACCCGAGACCTCAAACCCCCTCGCCGGAAAGAAAAATCTCATTTTCTCATACACAGGCGGCAAACTCGGCCACGAACCTTTCCCCCTCACCTTCCGTCCATAAAATTTCCTCTTCCCCGGAACATCCCGCAGCTCAACAACAAACACCGCAGCCGTCTCCCCATTTCCATCAGATGCGCGTACAAGTGCCGGCGGCGTTCTCCGAGGAGCGTCGAAATCATTCCAGTACTCCATCGAGCCCGTGATCGTGACGCTATAGCTGTACACATATCTCTGCACATCCCTCCGATAGCGAATGGCGAGAGTGTAAATTTTCCCGGTGCGCGGTGATGTCCAGGTGCTCGTCCGGGCTTCGAGGAGCGTGTTGCGCTTTGTGTGGCCTGGCCAGGGGCTTGAGGTTGAGGGGAGAGAGGGGAGGAGGAAGAGTGAGGCTTGGAGGAGTGGGGAGGCGAGGATGGTTGAGGAAAAGGTTTTGTTGACGCGGAGAGATTTGAGGAGGTCGTGGGTGGGGAGGTTGAGGAGGATTTGTTCGAGGAGTTCGGGAATCGCGAAGGTTTTTGAGGCGTTGGTTGGGACGTGAAGGGCTTTGTGGACGGGGGAGGGGGGAGGCGTCGGCGGAGGCGAGGGTGGTGAGGTTGTGGTGATTGCGGTGGTTCTCTTGATGGCGAGTTTTGCGCGGAGCTTCTTCCAGAGCGAGGGAGGCATGGTGCTATCGTCGCAACAGGTGTCGGAGCGTTGTAAAGTAATGGGGGTTGTGGCGAAGTTTGAGTTTAGTTTAAGGTCGATTGCATGTTTCGACGCTGTTTGTCAGAAGACTGGGCATGTGGCCGCGAATTTTGCGAACGGAAGAAGTACGAAAGGTTTCTCAATATCCCAAGACAATTTCCCCCATCTTATTATGAGTCAGCTCCGCTGAACCGCCGCGGACCACGCCGCCGGACTCAGAACCTGGTTGTATCAGTCGAAAGAGAGCATCAGGAATCGTTCTACATTCTCAGGACTTCTCTACATTCCAATGATCCACTGGGACTGAAGCAGCACGAAAGGCCATCAATCATCTCAGGTCAGTTCCTCTAGCCTACGCTTATACTACCACAATAGCGACGCGAGACCCGAGGTCGATGACCCTAACGAGGCGGAGGAATTCGATGTTGAAGCTTTTCTCGAGCGGAAAAGGCAGTGGGCACTCGAGGATGAATCCGATACGGACACGGACACGGACGATGACGAAGAAAGCCCAGACGAATACGATCAAGCCTGGATAGACGAGCTGGCCGGAGCCCAGGTTTACGAAGCTGCAGAGGAGGATTTCAGATCCGATCCAGGGTTTGACTTTGGCGGGATCTGGAATAACGGCTTCAGAGATGCTGAGGAACAGGAACATATCCGCGCCCCTTACCGCGTAACTCCTCGCCGTAACTTCACGCATCCTCTTTTCCAGACGCCGTCCTGTCTTGCAAGTACCTCCCCGAGCCGATTCTCCACGATCCAGAAAGATGGGACGGGAGATTCTTCGAATGGATGGAATCCCAGCGCCCTAAAGAGTACATCTGCACCTTCGTCGTACGCACCTTCCCCGCGTAACAATGGCTCGACTCTGGAGACACTCTTCCTCCACGCTTGTCTCTGCTGCTCGAGAAGATGTTTCTCTCCGATCAACCCACATTCTAGTACCTCCAGATCGTCGACCTTCGAAATCTCGAACCCGCTCTAGAGCCCATTTGGCCTGGCTTGCGACTCATTGATGCCGATTGAAATTGGATGGCTAGAGGAAGGGTACGAAGATATGCCCCCGTTGCCAAAAAATGGCTCTCGGGATGCAGTAAACCGACGAACGTGCAATCCATATCGCTCAATAGTGCCATATAGCGGGATCTAGGAATTGAAGTATTGTCACTGTCCTGCATTCTATGCCCGAGATCGTCAATTCCTGATAGACTGATGTAGTAAGACTACCTTGCTCAAAGTGCCCCCGATGTTCAAAGTTCGCTTCAATCTGCGGGCGAAAAGACGTAGTTCTAGTTCACGGCAAGAGCCAACGCTCGCGCCAAAAGGCTTGGCAGTATGAATGTTTACTTCGCACAGCCCCTGAAAACTCTGACACACACTTCAACCTCACACACTCTCCAACACCTCCCTGCACATCCCTCGTCCTCTCCTTCATCAATCATCGCAATGGCCACCACCATCGCTTCTTCCGTCCTCGCTTTGGCACTCGTGGCCGCCCTCACCTACCTCGTCCACAAGCACGCTCGCCACCTCGCTCAGCTGCTGCTGATGGCGCTGTGCATGCTCGCGCTCTTTGCACCTCGCCTACTCTTCGCGCTCGTCATGAGGCTCTTCGAGTGAGCGGCGGCGGCGGCGGCGGTGACCAGCACCAGCACCACCGCCAACGCCACCGCCACCAACGCCGGAATGTAGGTTGCTCCACGCGCTCCATACAAACAGCAGTGCTAACAGTAGCGAACAGGGCATCTTTTTTCACCACCGCCGGCGCCGGCCTCTTGGTGGCCTACCGAAAGGGGGCCACCAATGCCACCATCACCACCAGCACCAGCACCAGCATCAGCATCAGCATCAGCACCAGCACCAGCACCAGCACCAGCACCAGCACCAGCACCAGCACCAGCACCAGCAAGACTTCCAAGACGCGCTGACGCTCCACGCTGTTCACATCTACACCACACCGCGCTGTTTCTCGCGCATAACAGCGAGCGAAGGTATGTGAACTTCTTCCTGCTCCCTCCTCAGCTCCAATGATGAAACGCAACACATCAGCCCTTCACAACGGCAGCACAAGGCAGCGGTGAATGGCAGCTCCCATGGCTGAAATTGCATCGCACGCTATTCTCTTACTACGCCTGAACGAGCATTCAAGCACCGCATTAAGCATGCCGCGACATCTGAAACGCATCGCTGACTTGCTTCTTCCAGACCAGCCACCTGCACCACCAGCCGTTACGCGTGTACCAGCACCCTTTTCGTCATCATACAAGACTGTAAGTATCACCTGCTGATGTCTCGATCACCACACTGTCATGATGAATCGCGATACGTCAGTACAGCAGAGTTTGGGGCCGCAATGACTGAGCCCGCAATGCGCACTGGTCGTGCTCACAATGTCAATCCTTGGTGCCATCCTGAACGATATACCTTCTTCCCCACAGAATACACCGATGAGATGGTGACACAAGACTGCTGACGACTCGCCACAGGTCCTTTTTCGCATTGCCGAGCGCAGCTCTCACCCCACGCATCGCCGGTAAGTCTGACCACCCCTTCTCATTTCACTTCTCATGATGAAACCCGCGGCACATCACGCAGCAGAAAGGTTTGTGGGTTGAAGGCCATGAGCGAGCCTGTTTGAGGAAGCATCAAGTACCAACGGGCGATAACAGCCGCAATGCGGGCCTGTAGTATTGTTCGCCTGACAGAGACACTTCATTCATCAAGAAGCGCGCGCGAATGAAAGTATGCACACGACTGCTGACTTCCCTTCGCAGATGGGCCTTCGATACAAGGCACCGCACTCTCATACCTAGCCATCCGCTGCGGTCTCACATCTTCAAAGGTAATTATTCTTCCCTCCACCCATTCCATCCTCGATTTCATGATGAAAGCCGCGACAAATCACAGAGCAATGAGGTAGGGGGAGAAGGCAATGACCGAGACCGCTGAGGAAATGGCACTGCCAAGTACCGCGGTCGCAACAGTCGCAAGACGGGCCTGTAGTATTGCTCACTGAACGATCATCACCACATTCCTTCGAACACACGATCATGATGATGGGACAGACCGCTGACACTTTCATGAGGCACCTTCTTCTGAGCCTTCGTGGTGTTTTGTCCGCGACTTTCGACTTCGATCTCCTGAAACGTCTAAGTGACTCAGGATAAAAGTAAGTACAGCACATCTATCCATCTCCATCCTTCTCTCTCATGATGAAGCGCGAAGCATCAGCAAGGCCGGGCCAAGGTAAGTTACCGGCCGCATGACTGATATCGCAACGCAAAACGGTGTCGAAACCCTCGCCTGAACGGCTTTCTCTCCATGTCAATGTGCACAATCTTTCCACGGCGAGGCAGAGAGCTGACTTCATGGCCAGACAGTCATTATCCCTTTACTTTGGTGCGTATCTCGCGCCTTGAAGAGCAACATCTCGTCAGCCTCGGGCATTCAGTCTTCGAGCTAGCTGGCACAAAGTGAGTACATTCATCCTCCCCGTCATCCACCTCCCTTCCCATGATGAAACGCGATACATCAGTCCATCACTAAGGTAAATCAGTCCCGCAACAAGGTAAGTATGACTGAAACCGCATCGCATACTGGTCACTTTTACTTCGCCTGAAAGCTTGTTTGAAAGTTTCTCTTTACGAACACGAGTCTTTTTATGACGATAATGCTGATGCCTTCGCATGCTTAGATGCCTCCTGCTCCCACGTCGTTTACCTTTGCCCTCGACGTCTCGGCCATATCCGTCTACTGCACTCAATCTTGAAGATAAGTAAGTCAACCCCTGCATCATATCATATCCCTTCTTCCTATGATGAAACGCGACAAATCAGTCTAGTAGGAGGTAAGTCACAGATGACTGACACTGCTACGCGATTTGGTAACCATTACAACGCCTGAAAGCTTGTTCGACAATTTCTCTTCTTCATGAACACGAGATTTCCATGACAAGAATGCTGACGGCCTCGTATAGTTCGCTCATCTTCTTTGACGCCTTTACCCTCGCCCTCGACGTCTCTGCAAGGTCTACCGCACTCAGTCGCGAAGACGAATGACAGAAAGTAAGTAAACCCTGCATTCCACTCTGCACCTTCCCATGATGAAACGCGACACATCAGTCTAGTAGGAGGTAAGTCACAGATGACTGACACTGCTACGCGATTTGGTAACCATTACAACGCCTGAAATGAATCTAAAACCTCTACTCTCACACATCGCTGTGGCGAAGATTGACGCTGACTGTTGGCGCAATGTAGAACATCTGGCAGAGCGGGAGGTGCAGCGGACTTGGAGGTCAATGTGGATTGCATGACGGAGCGGTCCAGTCTACCGCGCTCGGCCGGAGATGCAGCTCAGACTTAGCGTGGCGAAAGGCTCGATGCCGCAAGAGGCGATGGGACTTTCGAATGAGGAGTAGCCTAAGTAGCATTCACCATACCTCACACCTCACACTTCCCGTCACCAGCTCTCAAGCGTGACGAACGAGCACATCGTTCCTTCACACCCTTCAAACATCATTCTCGTCATCCCTGATCCGTATACCAGACTGCGCTAAGCACACCCCCAGCCTCCTCTGATCGTGCATAATGCTCGCAAATCTTCCCGTTCACCACCACTCCATACCATCCATCCTCTCCCCATGCACGCGCTCCTCCCCATCCCTACAAAAGCCTCCCCCTTCTTCCCACCCACAACCTCGCAACCAAACTTCTACAAACTCCCACATCCGCAAACATGCCACCAGCTTACTGCTCCTCCATCCCCAACAGCTCCCTCGCTTGTAATCCTCAATGGCTGAATATCATGCTGTTTTGCATGATTCTCTTCCTTTTAGTATGGATTCTTGGGGGAGTTTGTGTTACGGTTTGGTTAATCGTCAAGAATGCGAGGGAGGCGAGGCAGATGAGATTTGATGGCGGGGAGAAGGAGAAATTGCTAGATGGAGATGGCATTAGGGAGTAAGATTGGGGATTAGGGATTGAGGGAGACGCATTGGGGGAAGGTGGGAATGATTTGTAGTTGGGTTGGAGGAGGAGAGGTTGAGAGATGGACGGAGCTGGAGGATGAGACTTTGCAGGGGATGCTATGGTGGGAGGTGGTGATGGCTCGTATTTGTATTGAGGGAGGAGAGTCTGTCGAGGAGATGCGCACTGATCTTGGTGCTTGGATTAGGAGGATGTGATTTGGGGTTGGATGATGGTATTGCTCATTCCCGTGCCACTCCCATCGAAGACGTTTTCGAGGCGAGGCTGGCGAGGATTGGGTAGAGTCATTGTTGCGCCAACTCCTTGCCCGCGAGGTCTCTTTCTCGCTCGAGACATCCTCGCCCTCGTTTTTAGTTACCAGCAATGTAGACGAATGGTTTTGAAGACCCACGCCTCGCATGCAGAGAGAGAGTGTGCGTCTTCTTGATGAAGCTCGGTGCTTGTTGTACTTGATAGCGGCAAGGTATGATGTTCAAAGATCACAATCGCTGCAAAAGCAAACATAAATTCCTCCCTGCATCATCAAATACAGCAACAAATCCCACAAAAATCACAGAATCGTCCCTCATCAACGTAAAAAGAATAAAAAAACCCCCGCCCCACGATCACATCGATTCCCACTCCACCCCCCAACCCCTCAACGGCCGCAATCAAGCTTGACTATTATATACGCCCTTCACTCCCCCACTTCCAACCAATAAAAGCGAGCGCTCTGTCGCTTCAGAAATCCAACTGGTGCTGTCGCAAAGCACTCAGGTATGTATTCATCCCCTTGCACATTCTGGATTGGCTTCCGAGAAAAAACAGCATCGATAAGCGAGATTTCCGCACCCGTTGCGTTGAACATAATCAGCTTGCTAGTTTTCCCTAGCTGGCCGCTAGGTTTTTGCTTCGCTGGCGGAGGCCCTGGTTCGATTCTTTTTGGGTTTCTTTTGAATTGGGGATGGGAGGGTAGGAGGGGGGAGAATAGGAGGCTGGGAGAGTGTGTCTGTACGTTTGTTGGAACGCTTTTTGTATTCCCTTTTGCCGCTGAAGTTGCAGAAATCGGCTGCCAAGTTCGAATCTCGAAAGCTGATATCTTTTTGCCCCTGAATTGCTTTTGGCATAATATTCCACCTTCTCGACTCGATGCAAAAGCGCTGGCCATGTGCACCATTGACAATCCGCACAGAAATACCAGTTTTCCAATCCTGAGTGGATTTTGTGAGAGCGCAGACGAGAAAGGTATCCTGTTGGCTCTCATCTTGGAACATCATCCATGAAGTCCCTCCGTCAACTTCAAACTTCCGAAGCTGACAACTTTTCGCCCCTCAACTTCTTCCGTCACGATATCTCACCTTCTTCACTCATTTCACACACCACTCTTGTGGCAGTGGATTGCCTTCCGTTGTCTTCGAATATTTGAGGCAGTGACGAGATTGCTGATGCGTGAATGCGCAGTCTCGAACCCGCGACCTCACCCTTGTCATCAGCCGCCAAGCGGTGAGCTTCCAGCCTCATCAATCGACTCCCTCTAAAACACTGTTTTCAGGCCTCCAGTCCGATTTATCCGCTTCGAGAGCCAGCATCCCTCATTGCCGCAAGGCTTGCCTAGCTTCCACCCTCAAGTGCAATAGTTATTTCGAGATCGGGTAGATTGAAGCTGTAGAATGCGGTTACGGAGGAGGATAGCGTGACTTTAAGAGGTCTACAGGCGGTGATTGACTCTCCTGTCGCTGCGGGAAACCCTATGCTTGCTGGAAAAGAGGTTGAGATTAAGATGAAGTTCGACGATATGGTACCAGGACGCACCAGCAGAAGGTGGTGGACACGCACCTTCGACCTTCGACCTTCGAGGGACGAGACAAAATCTGGCAAGAAGCAATAGAAGCCGTCCTCCTCTGCGCAGAAGGCCTGACGACCGCGGCCCAGGTGACCGATGCCATCCTCCCAGATTTCCCAAATCTGTACGCTACTCGGAGCGCCTACTACACCCACTTGGCCCTAGAAGTCAACATTGGCCTCTTCCTGATTGAAGCGCGGAACGAACGGTTTGATTAGTGCCCTCGGACTAGCCGTCCGTCCTTGGGTGGCATGCAGTTGTGGTGAAGAATCGCGTCCGAAGTCTTTTGAAGACCACCTGCAGGAATTCGCTCAGCTATATGGGGTCCCAGTCACCGATCATGATCGAGAGGAGATTGCGCTCGGTCTTAAGGTGACCTTGAACTCAATCCCTGCTATGCTCCTGTACGGTCCGCGTGGCCTTGCACTTGCTGAGCCTCACGCGCTTTGAGTACTTACATGTCTCGTCTAGGAATCCATCGTAGCCGTCCCTGTCGGGTGGTATAGTCCTAAAGCCAGAGGATATAATAAGCGAGAACAAGAAGAGAAGGGAGGGCGAGGAGAGGGTGCTAGGGAGTGGGACAGAAAGCAGAGATGGAAAGGTTCGAGAAGAGGAAGAGTTTTGGGTAGTAGAGGATAGCGAGGCTCGAGAGACTTAGAATAGAGAAGAGTTAGGCCTACTTCAAGACCTGTAATTCTAGCTAATAACAATTAAAGTACCTCTCGGTATCTGGACGACTTCATTTACTCTCGTAATCATTACAGAGCGAACACTAAGTGATTTAATGGAATCCTACTCCTGACAAGGCCTCGGATGCAGCCCAGTCCCAACCCACGGCGGCAACATCGCCCGGCCTGAGCGAGTAACCAAATTTGAAGCTACTCTAGGGGAGAGCCTCTGTCCACTCACCGACCATAGACTCGAGGGTTTAGGTCATTTAAAATGTTTATCGAGAATAACTGACGCCTTAATACGCACAATCCAGCAGAAGCACCACGTCGAAAGAAGGTGGATCAATGGGGTCATCACTACCTTTCCACAATTGCAGGCTTTTCCTCAAGACTGCTCGTCAGCTTATGGAGGGAGGTTCACGCAACTTGGTGCATTGATCTTCTCTGATAGAGCGAATCCATGTTTTAAACCTATGAGATCTCCGATATGCTGGAACGGACGACGTAGAGACTGTCACCGCACAAGATCATTGTACAGTAGAGTCCGCACACCCTATAAAGACTAAGACCGTGACTTCGGCGCCTCCGTAGTATGTGCTCACAATTCCATGCTCAGCTTTCAGATATAGCTTTGCAGACTCTATATCGGAGTTGCTTGACACCGAGAAATGGCACTAGGAGGAGAAGAAGCGTAGTTGGAGAACTTGGAAGACGAACGCCGCACGACCACATCGGCTAATCGATGTATACCGCTCGAAGGAGAAGCATCGCAGTCGCGCTCTCGGTCGGCGGCTCGTTGGTACAGCAAAACGAAAGGAGCATGAGCGGAATAGACGGTTGAAGGTGGAAGACAGAACATGGCACAGCGGCCTTGAATCGGCTCGCTCAAACAAAAATAGTGTCCCGATACCGCGAGCAGTCCACTCACCAGCACAGACGCCCCTTCATCTCAGAGTCTTCTCCTTCTTCCTCTGCTTCTTCTTCTCCTTCTCCTTTTTCTCCTTCTTCATCGAAATCCTCCATTAGTCGGTACTCGATCCTCCTTCGCCTCCCAGACGATTTTCATATACAGCTTCAAACAATGCTCAAACCACTTCGTTGCATATCTGCTCCTCAAACCCCAGCCGCCGCTATACTGAAATGCGTAGTCCTTCTTTGTGCGGTATAGTCGGTAGTTGATTGCGAGTCGATTCTCCAGAAATTTCCTTCGGCCTGGATAGCCGGCATCGTCGCCGATGTTGACATAGTCTTTTGATGGAAGGGGTTGTTGCGGTGCCATGGTTCTTTCTCTCTCGATAGCTGGTCGTCTCGATTTTGATGTCTTCTCGGAGGTTGACGCTTGACCCGTTTTTCATAATAGTAAAGCGGCCTGAAGCCTATGACAGTGGACCTGCACGACCGTTACCATCCCAGCACGCCCTTGAAAACCTCACCCCCACCCCTGAATATCTGAGAACGGTCTGTTGTGATTAGAACGCGGGCCCATCCGCAGCAGAAACTACTTAAGGACCTTTTTCTCGCTCAACCTCTTCTTCTTTTTCTCTCCAAGGCCGGCTAAGGCGCTCCGCAGTCCTCCTCAAGAACAGGCTACTGCTGTCAAGAACGACCTGCATTGCACATTGTGGCTGTCGACTTGGTATTGAACCCGCTGCGGTGGGGTCGAGGGCATAATTTTTGATTGCAACCTTTACTTTTTCATCATGTTGTCGCTGTTTGCGATGCCTTGGAGAAGAAGCTTCATCGCCATTGTTACTAGGTGTTGTTAGGTGAGCTTCATTGCTTTACTGACGGCGTCTTGGCCTGTGGCCTGGTCTCGTGGAGTTCGTTTCCGATTGGAAGACGCACTCGTACTCATGGAGAAGTTGGTGACGCTGCAGATGTTGACGCTCAGGGGCTGAGCATGAGGTACCAGCACCTCATAGTGGGCGTGGATGAGGCCTGTTGGTATCGCACGATGCTCTCGGCTCACATACTTGCGCGACTTCGCCAACAAACGGTGTTCTACGCCTCGCGAGCGTCGCGCGCGCAGGTGGCGGAAGGATGTAAAGATGCCTCACGACGACGAAGTCCCGGATCGATCATTAACGACTGACACGCTCAGGCAGGAAGATCGAGCAGACGTAGACGGTGACCGTCAGGGGCTCAACATCCCCAGAAAAACGACTTCAAAGAATGGTATCGGGAGACGCGGCCGCCGATGAGAGAAACCACGCAACTCTCACCATAGCATAGCTCATGAAGTCGCGCGCAAACGGCGAAGAGGCCGATATCATCAAGACGGGCATCCGAACCAAGCGACAGACACTCAGGAGCCATACGCTGAGCGGCCCCAGCAAACGACTTCAAAGAATGACATGAGGAGAGGCGACCGCGTGATGAGAGAACCGACGAAAGTCTCGTCATCACTCAACCTATAAAGTCGCGCGCAGACGGAAAAGAAGACGACATCGCTAGGAAGAGCTTCAGACCCAAGCAGAAGACAGTCAGGACGCATTTCCCGAGCGACGCCACACTAGAAATCGCATCCTGGCCTCCAGCCAGACACCGACCAAGGTAATTCCGACCTTCACGATGGACAGCATGGACTCCGCTTTTCAGACGAGTATCAGCACTCAGCGCAAGACTCTACTCCTCCGGCAGGCAATTAGAACTCTGACGCCGAGGACGGCACAAAGTGCAATACCACATGGCGGCAACTCCAGCACGCTCAGCTCACCGTCCACGAGCCTTCCTCGAGCGAAGCCTTACCCGACGACACCGGTTGCGTATGACTTGAAGACTGGCGTTGGTCGCTCCCCAGGGAAGAGTCTGCTTATGATTATCTGAGGGCAAAAGGTGGGCTGGAGACAAGAGCGCAAGAGAAAGGACACAGTACTTCATGCCTAAGGAAAACCTCTATTACGCTTCGTAGGCAGCACGGAGCCTCGCGTGAGCGACCACACACGCCCACTCTTCTGAGACGACACGACCAGCGCATGAATCAATCTCCCTAGCGACCTTCTACTATTGGATATTCAAAAATCGATTCCTCCCTACTAGAGAAAGAGGCAGCCCGCCACGGAAAAAAAAGTCCGTTCGGAGAGATTCTGTTCGCAAAAGCCGGCGATCTTCACTCTAAAGCCGCGCTCTGGAGTCAGAAGCCCAGACGATAAGGCCGAAACCAAGTAGTAGAAGCCAGAAGAACGCTATTTCAAGGGCAAGGCAAGGAAAGGCAAGGCAATGACAGCTTCCTCTCTCTTCCCTTCCCATTCCCCAGAATCTCGTCCTCCTCATCTCCGAACTTCCACCCTACTACGAATCGTAGACGTCTTCCCACAGTCCTGCTATGCGAACTTCCAATCAGCGAGTGACAGGAATGAGATACCAACGGAATTGGAATCGACAACAGAGACTCAGCGCAATCGGAATCGACGATGGAGATTCAGTGGGTGGAAAGGATGAGCGAATGCATAGCAGGGGTGTAGCAAGACGAAGAGGATGTGACGCACCTACCCACCAGACTAATTGTTAGAGTAGGGTTGGGAGTAAGAAGAGGGAATGCGTAGATAACGGTGATGCGAGGGCTCAAGAGCAACATGGTCAGGAAAGAGCCGCCAGCGGAAGCCTGTCGATACTGGGCTTGCGTGAGAGACATGGGACTTCGACGACGACGATGATATCGAAGTGCTGCAGAAAAGTAAATGCACGACCATTGAACAGCCAAGCAAGTGGAATGCAGTGCAAAGAGAACAACAACATTAATTCCTTCTAAGTATACAATCATACCATCATTCTCGGCTCAATAGCCCAATGTCTCTGCAGCTTCGCTCGTAGAACGCTAACCCAGTCAATGCTACAGCAACTCCAGCCTCCAATTCTCTCTCTTCCAGCGCGTGACTCTAACCAGCCTTGCCCGAATCCATGAAGCAAACCTTGAAGTGAGTGGTCTCTGTGCCGCGCCTGTTGTAGTGCTGTCAGATGATGACGTTCTGGAAGTAAGCTAAGTAAACAGAGCCCAAGACACCCTTGTGACTTGCATTATGCCCTTCTTCGTTTCTTCGTAACAGCTGCGTCACACATCGCCTTAGTATTGTAGCCATCTGGAGGGTCGGTGTCGGTGGTAAAGGTGACTGGAGGGATGGATGGGCTGGGGGTACCATTGCGAGTGCCGATTGACGCTGGTGGAAGTCTAGCTGTTGTATCCCAAACCTCCTCGCTTGTTCGAACCATTTGAATGGTCGGTGTCGGTGGTGAAGGTGACTGGAGGGATGGATGGGCTAGGTGTGCGATTATGAGTGCCGATTGACGCTGAAGAAAGCCTAGCTGTCGTATCTCGAGCCTTCTCCCTCGTCGGCTTGGTGTTAGAGCCATCTGAACGCTTGGTGTCGGTGGTAAAGGTCACTGGAGGAATGAATAGGCTTGAAGCAGCACATTGGAGCACTCAGCATACGTGTCCTTTGCAATATTGGCGATTCGAATGTAGTGGCCACCCTTCCACTCGACCTGTGGGCCGGTGTCGGTAGTGAAGGTCACCGGAGGGATCGACGGGCTAGGGGTGCCATTGTGCGTGCCGATGGGAGCTGGTGGGAGGGCAGCAATCATCTTGCCACGAGCCTTCTCGCTCATCGGCTTCGTGTTCGAGCCGTCGGCGATGGTGGGCTTGTCGTCGTCATTCTCGGTGCTGCTACCGGACTGCAGGAGGAAGTCAGCGAGCTCGACGACAGTAGCGTGGTAGAGGACTTACAATGTTGCTGCCAGACTGTGGGCACACATGTCCGCTCCAGTGGTTTATACAGACTGTGTGCCCACAGTCTGGCAACCAGTGGCTCGGTAGCCACACGCACTTGGAGAGAAGTCAGCAAATGTCACCGTGTCCCGCTCAAATGATGCGAAAGTGAAGTGGGATAGTGATGTCGCCGCCGCCAGTCTGATGGACGCGGAGTCCCTGAGTTAACCTCACCGGCGATGAAGGGGTACATGCGTGCAGGAATGTCGCCTTCTCGACAACCAGCATCGACACGATGGCGAAGTGGTAGGGCGTGCTAGCATGGTGATCATGCTGTAAGCCACTCGAGATCAACTTACCATGGCCCAAAGGAGGCCGGCGAAGCGCCGTACCCCAGTACATAAGTACCGGGTAAAGCGTTCAGCCATGCCTCATACCATCGAGTTGCTGGTGGTTGTCATTTTTGCTGCCGCGGCGGCACATTTTCTGATCCGCCATGCTCATTCTTTTTGCTTCTTCTCGCCGGTGTGCATGTGACCGCCGCGGCAGCGCTCCGTTTCTGGTCGTATCATGCTCTGGAGGTGAGGTGTCAGCGAGTGCTACCTTGAATGACGAGGAGTGTGAGATACTTGCCGCTTGCCATGCTGTTCTCGCAGCCGGATCCTCTCCATGTCGTGGTCGGAGGAAAGGCACCGAATGCGGCGGCATTGGCACTGCCGTCGTCGGAATGACAGGAGAGGATCCGGCGGCGATGATCATGAAGAGTGTTCTGCGGACTGGTATCAGAGTCAGTGGGGAGAGCTTGGAGTTGATGGTGGGTAGCGCTACGATGCATACCCAGTGTTGACGATGGCTTTGTGGTTTGCCTTGCCTTTGAACTTCGGCGCATGGTTGGATGGATGGTGTGGAGAGGGTGGAGTGTTGTTGTTGCGATGGATGATGATAGTGATGTGAAGGAGGAGGAAGAGAAGGTGAGCAAGGGGCGAAGAGATTTCACGCGGAACGGTGAGCTTTGACCATCTCTTCCGCGCCTTCCCCCACGAGAACGTTCCTGAGCTGCTGTGCCTGTTCTTCCTAAGGCAAGAAGTCTACGGGCACGACTGCCAGACATGCTACAGTACAGGCTCAGTATATAGTCGCGAATCTGTCGACCCAAACCAAGATCCTTCCTGTTCCAGATCACCATTCGTTGAAGGCAACGCGCTACGACTATGCTTCGGCAGTCCACATCTACAACCTTCTCACTGCCAGCGCTCGAGTTCACTCTGCGATCAAGGTCTCTTTAGGCAATCCAGATCGATGCCGGAGGTTGCTGCAGCAAGATGAATGGCAGAGAGAGTGACACTACGCAGGGCGTGATGATCTGTATAGCTTACATGACCTGGGGCTGGGGCATCACGAATTCGGGAGGATGTCTCCGTTGTTCTGCGGCAGGTGTCTCCTATGGTCGTGGTGAGTTGAAGTCATATCGTACATCTGCTTATTCCCTCACTCACCTGTACACGACCCGCTTCCCGCAATCAGTCGTAGCCATGATCCCAAAACTCCAATCGTGCTTTCCTGTAAGACTTGCTGCTTTGGAAGCGAGAAAACGATACTCGATGAACTAACGACTTTTGTACCTCCACCTCCATCTAACCGCCTCACCTCGCTGTAAGCTACACGGAAAATTGAAACCGAACAAGTTCTACATTATAACAAAAGCAGACAGAATACGACCGTTCGCAGCGGCACGGCTTACCACCACTGTTCAACACGATCAACATCCGTTTACTGAGGACACTTGGTAGAAGAGCGGCTAGTAGAGTGGATGGGAAGGTCGAGCGGGCTTCCAGGTGGAATGTTGTTCAAGATTTCTGTTGGAAGGGAGGAGATTGGTGCTGAGAGGAGCAAGTTGCCTGGAATGTCGGTGGGAAGAGCGTTCAGGATGCCATTTGGAAGTTGGGTGACGGGTAAGTCGCTAGCAAGGCTCGTGAGATGGCAGTAGGTAGGGCGAGAGAGTGCATCAAGCACACCGAAGACTCCTGGCGTGTTGGCGTTCTATAGCAAAGCAGCGAGGGATGAGGTGACGGATGTCTGCCGCGAGAGGGACGGCGGTTTGGATGATGAGGTCGAGAGCGGTACCGGTTGGCAAGCTTGAGAGATTTGGGAGGCCTAAAACGACGAGCCCGGGCAGTTGGGGGATTTCAGCGGCAGCGTTAGTGGGCAGACTGATAGCTAGAAGGTTTGGTCAGCATCATTATCACAGGATTCTGGCATTGCCCGGCACTGCTGGTACAGCGGCTGTGAGCGAAGTAGATAGAGCAGCCTGCTGAAAGTCAGCCGCTTGGTTCGAGGAAACGATGCATCGAAGACTTCTGTCGTATCAGCTTGTGCATAATTTGTAAAGGACATGCTTACCCCAGTAGAGGTCGACAGGGCAGGCGGTGCCACAACAAGTGTCGAGCCTGGCGACACAGGTACATTCGCGACGATGCTCGAGATGATAGCTGCTGGATCAACACTCGCAATAGCAATGCTCGAGCTCGGCAGTCCAATGGGTTGAACCACCGACGCCACACCACCTACCGCAACATGAGTGGATGTGCGAGACCAGGAAGTTGTGGAGCCATGAATGGTGTCTTGCTGGCGAATAAGTAAGTGAACGAAGTATCGACTGGACGAATTGTGGTAGAGAACGAATGAACTATCCTGCTCCTGCCCGTAACACTATACCAGGTTTTTGGAAGGTCAGTTGTCAGCTCTATGTTCCCCAGAGCGTAGCACGCAGTACTCGGACACGCCGCCACGGCAACCTGATACGCTTCGCCTATGATCGATTCATGGCATCAAAGAAGTGCTCGATCCTGACCTGCCGGTGGAGTGCCCTTACTCCGGGATATAGGCCTGATGGTATTGCGGCATGCCGGTCCACGACGTCGGAGATCAGTGTATAGGATGTTCCCCGTAATAGCCAGGAGTTGCCGAAACGTGGTTGGGAGCTGTTTCGTGAAGGTGTTGCTGTCAAGGGCGGAATATCCTCATTATCCAAGCTGGTGGGGGTCCCTCAATGTGATCATATGCTGTGACAGCTTTCTGCATGCACGAAAGTTGTGCGTTGACCAGCATTCTTGTTGTCAGGACCAAAGCATAACTCACCGGAAGGGAGGAGAGACTGGACGACCACCGCTCCCAAGAAAAGCATACGACACGGTATACACACTTACTGCCCATTGGCCTTGATCTCCTTCTGCTCAACATCCCCTATCTTAAAAACAATCTTATGCACCTTCCGCTGTTCGAAATCCTTATACGCCTGCGGCGCCTCTTCCAACGGCATAGTTTTTCCGCACAAAAACGCCACCTTCTTCTGCTCTTGCACGAGCAAAGCCAAAGCATCTTCGAAAATGCTTCGCACGGGACATCGGCCGAAAGCCATTTGCACATTCTTGCCATACAGCATTAAGCCGTTGACTTCCCACTTCTCGGTGTGTACGCCGATCGAGCTGATGGCGCCCCAGGGGCGGATCATGTCGAAGCAGAGGTTCCAGGCATCGGCGTGGCCGACGACTTCCATGACGACGTCGGCGCCTCTTCCGCCAGATGCGTCTTTGATCTTCTGGACTGGGTTGTCGTTGAGATGGATCGGGATGGCGCCGATGGATTTTGCTTGCTCGAGACGCTCGGGGACGGAGTCAATGGCGTAGACCTTGTCGACCTGCGAAGGATCAGTATGTATTCTCTGCCAGATCTCCGTACCATGGTCTTACCATCGTCAAAGCGCAAGTGATGGCGCAGAGTCCGACTGGACCACAACCCACGCAAACGACGGTATACTCCTTTCGATCTCTTTCCGGCAGATTCTTGAGGTATCGTGAGGCTGCAAAGTAGCCGGTTGGGAAAATGTCGGCCATGAGCACGAGCATCTCTTCGGGTATGTTCTTGGGCGCGAGGACGAATGTCGTCTCGGCGAGTGGGCATCTCACGTACTCTGCCTGGCCTCCGTCGACGGTGTTCGCTGGCGCCGAGTTGCCTGAACAAGGTCAGCACTTCACAAGGTCGTGGGCCTAGATGTCGCCATACCAAAAAGCTCGCCCTTTGAGCATCGCGAGGCTTGTCCTCGCACGCAGAAGTAGCATTCTCCGCATGCGGTGTAGAAGGGCACGACGACCTAGTTCTCAGAGCATCAGTATCTCCACAGCATCAGTGCTTTTTCTGCTCTCCTCTTTCGTGCAGCACCCATTTCTCCCGATCAGACACGCACCTTGTCACCGATATTGAACTTCTTCACAGCATCTCCCTTCTCCACGATTTCTCCCACAAACTCATGTCCGCAAATGAAGTTCGGCGGGCACTTCAAATGTCCTCGGTAGAAATGGAGGTCGGAACCGCACAGCGCAGTGCTCGTCACCCTGAGAATGGCATCGGTCGGCTTCTGGAGTTTCGGGTAGGGGCGGTCTTCGACTTCGACCTATGCTTCATTATGAACAACCAATGCGTGAAATTGGGTCAGTGCTGTGATGATGTACATGATAGTCACCCTTGAGCACGACGGCTCGCATCTTCTCCGGCGGATTGAACGGCATGGTGAGGTAAGCTTTGGGATACAGTGGGACAATGATGTTGCACCTTGATGGCTTCTTGAGAGTGAATGTATAGCAGAAGAACAGTATGCCTACCTCCCTTCTTCTTCTTCTTCTTCTACTCTGCTCTCTTCAACCCCTCAATGCCCCGCTTCCATTCCTTTACGGGGCGAGGCGCAAAGCCTCGAGCATCCGCGGGATTGCCCAAGGTCCGATCGAGCTTTGGCCGACGGCGCTGCATGTCGAAGCCGACTATGAGCGATTGCGAGGCGGTAGAAAACATTTCGGGACTGGGTTGATGGGCTAGAGATACGGCTTGGAGTGATTGTGGTATGGTTTGCTGGACATGTCATCGTGCAGGACGAGAAGGCGGAAGGGAGGAGGTTTTGCCAGGAGGCGGAGGCGGAGGCGGAGGCGGAAGGCTGGATGTGGAGAGCCGGCGGGAATGGGGCGGGAATAAGGGAGAGCGAACATCACCTGTCGATCTCCAACCAAGACAAACACATCCAGATCAACGCCATGTCACACCGTGGCTATCATGTGAATGTCAAAGCTGCTCCCTCACTCAAAGACCGCCACCAGATGGAAACGCAGCCATGAAAGAGATCATATCCTCCAAAGGCAAACACCGCCAATTTGCGGCCAGATTTGCCCTCGACATCTGTTCAGGCAGCTCGTAAGCCAATGTCGACACTGGGTGAATATTCCCAGCGTCTTGATCTCAACTCCTCCACCTTCAGAGGTCGTTCCTCAAGATGGGCTATTGTGTTGCCTGGCAAATGCGTTGTCGGTGGGCAGTGCTGCATCTGCGGGCCATCATCTGGACCAAGCATTGCTCAATTAGACGCGCCTACCCTTGCGGCTCAGCCTCCCAGCCTGTCACGCATACTGTATACTTGACTCTCTTTTCAGCTTCAACTCATTTCTCCGATGAACGCGGACGTCGGCTACACCCATCCGACCTATAACTAAGATGGCACTTATGTTTGGTACAGGCGGGTTCGCTTTGGCGAGCTGGGGCTTTTCCGTTGGCGACATTGCTGCCCTCGCAGGCGCTGGGCGCAAAATTGGGACATGGCTTACAGCTCACTTGAGCGATAGAGCGCTTTTCGATTGGACGGGCACAGATGTCGACGCTTTGTTCACGAGGCGCGGAATCCTCGATGTCGAGGCTCTTCAGCGTCGTTGGGACCGGGAAATTATCCTGCTTCAAAATGGTCATGTCAAAACGATCGAGACGACACCAGGAGCCGCGGCGCTGCATCGCATGGACCGCTGGACATGGCTTATGACTCTGTTCACGGCTGCACTGGAGGCGGCTGTCTCATCCATCGACCTGCGTTCTATCATGAACAAGGTTCTCCTGCAGACTGTCGAGGAATGGGAGGAGAGCAGCGACTTTCTGCTCCGTGAAGGCCCCAGTCACATTGCTGGGTGGCGCTCCGCGGCATGTCTCGGGGCTTTCGATCGAGGCCCGAAGCTTGTGGGAGTCGCTCGCCGAGCAGGGCAAGCATCCGGCAGGTTTCATACCCAGCTCGGAAAATGCGGAGATCGTATGCTTTTTCATGTGGATCATGAACGGCAACGGAAGCAGAAATGACAAGCACTTTCAAACAGCATCGACAGATATCTTCTCCCTTGCAATCTTGCTAGAAGAGCTGGGAGTGCTTCTCAAGACGACTGAGAACTCTCCTGACTGTTTGGACGGGGGAAGCACAGTAATATACTGGAATCGTGATATTCCCGATTTTTCGCAGTATACACACGCCAAGAAACGTCGAAGAGCAGGCATGCGTATTCCCCTAGCATTCATCGAAGAAGCTGGCTCACTGTTCCCAAACACTCGCAACGAGGTCGGACAGATCATGCAAGATGCTATTGAGGCTGTACACCGAGCCAAAATTGACCTGTTCTCGATGCTACCTGATAAGAATGAGTCCTTTCAGAAGAACACTGCCGTTCACATCCACGAGCAGGAGGTGGAATACACGCTAAGCAACGATGCAGAAACCACTGTACCACGCCTAGAAGGCGACGAGCTCCGCTTCATCAAGTGGTTCTTGCTAAAGCCTGGACCTGCGGTATGCAAAGCCTTTCTCAAAGCCATAGGATGCCTGTCCGACGAGGATCGTCATAGTCTTCAAATGTTAGAATTTACGATGGACAATCAAGAGCAGCCGGGTGATCGCTTTCACGACCTTCGACTAGTCAGTCACGACTTCGGAGATGCCGTGTCCTACGTACAAGCATTCGTCCTTGGGTACTGGTACGCGATCCTCAGGCCGTTGGTCCATACAGATCAGATGCCCTGACAGGAGGCGTTTGGGTCTTGGAGCTGGTCGGACCTGGAGTGCCTAGACCTTATACGCCAGTGCCTCGCATCCGCGCGTCGTCAGAAGTCTATCGTATCCCTTCGACGCCAGGAAGTCTTGAAGATGGTGGGCTTCCTTTTCGGCGGAGCTGATCTAAGTGTGGTCTAGACTGTCAAGGCCGGTGCTATTGGAGTTCTCGGAAAACTGGCTATGCTCTCTACAGGGCTACTTATAGAGAACGGCAACACGGCCGGGTGCTTTGCGTTGCTTCACGTTGACTCAACCTGTAAGCGGAGGTGCGGGACGAGCCGTCTTGGCATTCACAAGCGACTAAATCGTCACCGAGGATGGCGAACAAAGGTTAGACTTTTGAGGCGCTCGAATCGTACACCGCCGAAACAAAGCAAGAGCGCGGTCGAACGGGAGTACAGACTTACTAGTACAAATCATTACCCCCTAGGCACTTTCGTATACTTATTTTAGATCCTAGGTGCGATAACGATGAGCTGCGAGGTACGCTACGTCCTTATGTCTTAGATGACTACGACTTGGACGAGGAATGGCTGAGATACCTAGAGGACTGGCGAAAACACCTAGAGGGCTCGCCAAAATGCGACGAGAACTCGCTAAAATACAGGGCTATCTCGTATGCCTAGGGCGAGCCGATCTTCGACCAGACGCTACGACTGCCTAAAGGCATATTGAACATCACGACCTCGCTTAATAGTGCTTTGAGGCGCTTTGGAAATCCAGAGGCATCGGTCCGACTATAGGCAGATACTATATGCATCAATCAGGCGCACACCGAAGAGAAGAATATTCAGGTCCAGGTGATGGCTAAGATCTTTTCCAAAGCCGACGAGGTTCTGATCTAGCTCGGAGAAGCTGAAACCATAGATGCCGAGTACTTCTGGTTTCTGTCAGAATGTGCAGATCCGGGTGCACGCGATAAAGCTGACGGCTCCAGCAAACCAATATCATATTATTATCCTGATGACACGCCAGAACGGGGAACTGTGCTATCATTTCCATGCTCTGCAGAAGAGTTTACGCTGCAATCAGGTTTCTTGGACGAATCAGCAGAATTGGTTGTCGCATTCTGGAGTAAGCCAAGGTTCAACCGTCTTTGGGTCGTCCAGGAGTGTCTACTGGCAAAGAGCGCTACACTGTTCTGCGGCTCTTATCAAATGCAAATGTCTCGATTCAGAAGAGCCATCAGCTTTTTGCATTCCACATACCTATAGTGGGATTATGAACATCCTAATCGCGAGAAATGTTTGGAATCATGCGAAAGGCAAATTTACGCAGTCTGCTTCAAACTGTACGATTTTGATAATGCTGCCAGTCAGCTGTTGCGCGTTGTCATTGACACTCGGGGCAGGCAAACTCAAGATCTACGAGATCGTCTCTACGCGGTCAGAGGAATATGTCCCAGGGTACGACGGTCACTGCCACCGCCAGATTACAGCATAGCCCCTAAGAGGCTTTGGGAAGATCTCTCTGTCTTTCTGCTCACAAATGTCGTGCACTGGAACTGGGGTCATGAGAGTTCCGAAGCGCCCCATCCTATGTTCACTCTTGTCCTTGCCAGTTTGCACACCGAGTCCCAGCACAGTCTGCCATCCTGGGCTCCAGATCTTGGAAAGATGAACCAACACGCATCCGCTATATCCCATAAGAATCGTTTGTATCATCTTGGTGGCACACTCGCTGGAGGACCATTTCACGGCAAAAGCTTACCCGCCCTCGCGCGACACGGTGAGCTGGCGATAAAGATCTACATGCTCGGCGAACTCGACTCAACTCTGACTGATTCGTCCATATCCAACCTAGATCTTCTGCATTGTGATCGCCAAAGTTCGTGGATCAGTGATGCACTCAGTCCGTGGGTTGAAAGGTGCACGAAGTTTATATGCACCCATCCAAAGCTCCCGCATGTCTTGCGAAATTGAGTTTGTCATGAAGCAGCTCACACATGGAAGGGCGCAGAGAAATTCTACGCGCACGACAGCTGCAACCATCGTTCGGAAGCATTTCTCGAGCTAATTCAGGAGCTACTAGCCCATGATCTTCACTGGATATTTCTTTACCACCGATGCGACGATGATGTTTGCCAAGGATAGTCTGCACTCCGCCCGAACGCTGGACGATCTAGCCTTCCGCTCTCGAAATGTTCATCAGCATTCTAAGACCACGTCGTGATAGCAACAGCTGGCCACTCCGAAGCTCGCCGTGGCGATGTATACCATCATATACCCGCGGCAGCTTGAATCGATAGGCTCAAGACTCATATAGTCCGTCATGAGCACTACCGCCGTTGCCTCTAGAGCTATGGGACAGCATATTCTCCCGCCTTGAAACTAAGCGGAATGTGATCGGCGCCGCTCGCTTGACATGTAAACAATTCCTTCATCTTAGCTCGCCATATCCCACCCTCAAGACCGATTGCGAGCATTAAGTAAGATGGAACAACTAGCCAGGCACGAACACTTCAGCAATACTGTGACTGAGTCTTCTACAATGCTTCCGGCTACGACTTTCACTACCCTCCTAACTAAGAAGAGATCATCTCTAGCCAATATTTTACCTCGTTCGGAGCGGGCTACAAATGCAGAATGCGATGTTTGTGGGTTGTTAGATTTCACGCTAATGAGATCAAAGCACTGCCAACTCTTGGCTAGAGCTATAGTGCTATCTCCGAGCTTCAGCGCTCAGAGAACAGGATCTCTCGAGCCAAGCACAGTCCTGACAAAGTGTTCGGGTTGCTTCCAAAGAGGAAAATGTCTCCAAGATGGGCTCAGTGAGCTTACACATGTTGTTTTGAATTACGCAATACACAATCTTGCGTTCTGTTACGAAACGCAGATCGAAATCGATCATCAAATTCCGACAACAAGACTTTTCACACTCGCAGATCAACGCATCTCGCGCGCCCATCGACAACTGTACCAGATCCAACCCTGTCTACGCGACCCCAAATCCACCCTTACACCGGAGTTGGAGGGAATAAGCGTCCTATACACATGTGTTGTACTTTGTACACGAGCTACAGCATTTGCCCGAGTTTTTGTCGCAGCAACTAGAACAGCAGTCGCCATTATTCAGGCAATTTGCTAATTTCAGATGTGTGAGCGACACACTTTCGATTTGGAATAGATTTGATAGAGACAGAGACAACTTACGAGGGTCTTTACATTGACGATCGGCGAGAATGTTGAGCTTTGGGCTTCTATCCTCTAAGCCTTCGTCCGCGGAAAGTGCCACGGCAGTAGCGACGAGGAAGAGGACGGCGAGAAAGCGCATTGTTGTGGTTTCGATGTAGTTAAAATCTCTTACAAATGTGAGCAGTCGGATCGAGAGATGGCAAGTTTGGATTCGGTTCTTGTTTGTTCGATTTTAAGGAAAGGACATATGTAACCTCGGGCAATAGAGTAGTCTTGTAAAACACTTCCCTTCCCAAAGTTTCTTGATAGCTATCCTGTAGATGTCTCTAGGAAGGTTTAGGTTTGTGGAGGCATTGCTACGAGATACGAGCGAGCCTTGTACCGGCTAAAAAGTAACGCAGTAGAGCCACCGAGGATGCTTTGCAATTTAAACCGGTCGAGCCGCAAGTCGTAGAGTCAATACAGCTAGAGCTCTGTTAGATGTACGAATTCGTAGTAGAGCTGTCCTAGTCAGGTCTAAAAGCTAGGCTAAAGCTCTACTACAAGGTATCCTAAGCTCTTATATAAAAGGAACGTTGGCCTTAAGAGGGAGGAAATGTTAGTAGTACAGCTTTATTGAAGCAACACCGGCTACCATTCGCTAACTCTTCTATAGTTAGAAGTGTAAGCAGCGCATTTAGGCGCATTCTTCTCTAACACATAATAGCGGTTTGCGAGCCCTCGAACGTTCCGATTTCGAGAGGGGTGCGGAACTTGCTCGTAACCGTGGCCGATAGCAAGCTGCTAGGCTTTGTGTCTTGTGCCTCGTCTTCCGGGAGCTGAAATTAAAAGTGCCGTGTAGAACGACCTTACCTTAATGCCGATATTCTGTCCAATACCGACACCTAGAAACGGTAAGCTTTGGTATTGTCTGATTGCAAGTCTAACATCCCTTGGTACCTAGGCGAGAACTTGGGAATCGGTATGCTCAAAGCTCTACCCTCGGAATTGGCCAGCTGCTGTAGCCTGTGTTGCTCTCTGGCTTCTTGTCATATCGTGTCGGATTCGAGCTATGCACTGGATACGGCTTCCCAGCCTTTTTCAGCCACGACCGACGCCTCAAGTGTCCTAGATAGTTGCTGCTGACATGATATCCAGAGAGCGCAATGAACTGTAAGGTCAGGTCAAATAGTTCAGTCCTGCTTGCCGTAACCCCTGTGAGGCATATGGCAAACGCCCGGGGCTGGACAACAACCGTCGCTGCATCGACAAACGATACGCCCGCAGAGAACCGTAGTCTTGCCTGAAGAGCTTTGGGAGTCGAATTGAGGGTCGTGATGTAGAAGTTCTCGTATGATGGAGAGCGACTGCAAAAGTCGAGAAAGGAGGCGTCGGTAAACCTTCCTTCCTTCACTCACCTGGGGCCCCGCCAAACCTTATCTATAGCCGTAGGGAGGAACGCGGGGTAGATCTGTCTGGCGCGTATCTCCCTCCCTCCTCCATCAACAACGACGACGACGAGGTCTGCATTTTTGCTTACCACCACAATGGCACCCCTACACCTCCATTCCACCCTCTCCCGCTCCTTCCACACCACCTCCCCCTCCCGCGCCAGCCCCAGCATCCTCTTCGCCCTCAACGCCCTCTCCAACTCCCGCGAAACCCAACACTTCAACAAACTCTCACGTCTAGACCGAGTAGAGCACAGTCCAACTCTCAAATTGATCCAAACGAGCGAGATCGAGAAACATCCATGTCCGACTCCAGAAGTCGTTCCCGTTCCCGCTCCCTGGCGATCAATCAATGTCCACGTAGACGCAGCGTCTCAAAACCGACGCTCTCATGTTTGGGATACCAAAGCCCTCGCAGCTGGTCGAGCGGTATTGGCAGATGTAGCGAGGGAACGAGCGAGGATGAGGAGAGTTCTTGAACGGATGAGGAGGAGGGAGGAGGGAAGAAGTAGGGTTTTGAGGACAGAGATGGATGCGATTGTGGAGGAGAGGAGGAGGATGAGGAATGAGATGAGAGTTGCGGGGGTTTGGATCTTGGGGAGTGTTGGTGTTGCGACTGGGTTGGGGATGTATGTTTTCTGGCCGGCAGGGGAGAAGGTCCTGGCCAAGGATAGTGCTGAGATGGGGAGGAAGATAGCAGAGATGGCGAAGACTGGTATATCGCTGCCGGCTGCTGTCAGTGAGCCTGTGGCTGCAGTTGGTGCTGTTCCCACTATGGCTGTGGTTACAGGTGAGCCGACGATAGCTGCTACGACGGTCATTAAGGAGGAGGTGAAGAAGCCGGCGAGAAGCTGGAGTTGGAAGAGCTTGTTTTGGAAGCAGGGATGAGATGAGTGATGAAGAGATGATGAGTTATGATGATGATGACAATAACGAAGAGGAATGTGGTCGAACAGTACAAGACATATGTCGGCGAAGCGTACCGCTTGAAGAGTCGTGCCAGTGCCATCGAGTAGGGGGTTGGATGAACAGAATACATCGAGCTGACATCTAGAGACAAGCATTGAAGGCGTTCAGAGGGATTCCGTAGGCATAGCAGCAGTTCGGCATTTTGAATCTCATCACTTGCGTACCTGCTTCGCTGTCATTCATTCTATTGGTGTCTAGAATAATATCCTGTTCGTTCTGCGATTGATTGGATTTTAGCATATGCTGAATCTTGGATGGTGCTGGGATATGGGAAATGCTGGATACTGGGGTTATCGCTAAAGTCGCAGCCAGATAGACATCTTAGTCGCTCGCACGGCATACCGGTACCGCATACTTTTGTCTCCGAGAGCCAACAGCTGGGCTTCCGTGTATATAATTCTCACCTGCTCGGCTTCTACTGCATCACATCTCAGGCTTGGCAGGAAATATAACGAGCCTGATTCCAAAAGAAGATTCTTCAATGCCTCCCGTTACGGCCAAGTCTCATTCCTCCCCCTCTTCCAAACCCCGAAATCCCGTCTCTATACTCTCATGCCCAGCAGCTTTCTGAATAAACCTTGCCGTCTCCACCGGCAGTTTCAAGAAAGGACTATGCCCACTCGGAGCGACTGCCGCGTACACCTTTACGCTATTCGCACGAAAGGCTTGGACAGTAGCCTTCTGCGCCTCAAATGGAACAGCATTATCGTTATCGCACAGCAAATAGTACAGCGGCGTATCCTTCATTCCCGCTAGCTGATCAGGCACGGGACTGGTATTGATGCCATAAGACTGCGGCTTCAGCTTCCAAACCGCTTTAAGAGCTTCGTTGTGTTCGAGGTCGTTGTAGAGAATGTGGATCGCTCCAGGTCCATTGAACGGCAGAGTCACGTCGTGTTCGTGGAAATATTGTGGCGGTAGCTGGCGACCCATTACTTCGAACATTGTTGTGCCGGCTGGGAGAAGAAAGCCGGATATAATGACCACCGCCTCGATGCCCGTTTTCTTGCGGGCGGCTTTGCGGGCTGATAGGTTGAGGTCCGCGAGGGCTGCTGTGCCTGGAATGGAGCTATATGAATACGTGACGACGACTACATTGGTTCCGGAATCTAGCTCCAGTAAGACGACCTTGCGGATGGCGGCGACGTCGTCCGCGATGCCGATCAGCTGGCCATCGTCCTTGCGTGGATTGTGCGTGTTTCCTGGCAATTCTACGCCAACACAGTTGTAGCCTTCCTTTTTCAATTCCTCGCGGACATGGTTGAAGTGGGCTGGCACATGCTTCAGAAGATTAGTGGTAGATAGAATGGTGCTTCCGAGGTGTCGTACCCAACAGCCCGGCACGAATACAATGGTAGGCTTCGGCATGCTTGGGCTGAGCGGCTTTGGATTGCCGAAGGAGACGAAGAATAGGTGGCGAGATACGAAAGTGTAGGGAGGATATATGCCATCTGCACGCTGGCGTTACCTTATACGTTAAGTGCTCGGCTAAGCCCAGCTGGAGCGAAGGATTCTCGAGAGGTTGTACAAGGGCTCGCTCGCATAGCATCAGGCTGCCACTTCTGGCAGTCGCCTCTGCTTATGGCACTGATAACTCGTCCAGGGTAGCGCTCCATGCTCTTTCTTTTGCGCATCATAGCCGGAATGAAGTGGGATGCAACTTCAGGAGCATCTCTTCTCTGCAGTCGCGCAGGCATACTTCTACTGCCATCCTCAGTCTGTTGTCCAAGAGAGCAGTTATAGGCAGAGGAGCACCCAGACGAGCTGACTGAGTGCTATGCCGGTGGTATGGGGCTGCGAGGCGAACTCGGGAGGCAGGATCTGGGCATCGTGGGAGGGCGAATCGTAGCGAAACCGAGACTAGTTTGAGCGCCGGGTCGGTGAAGCCATCGTGACACTGTGGGGATAGGCGGAAGCTGTTCGTGGGTGAGTGAGTGCTTGCGTTGGCTCGCAGGAGGTGTCTGTCAGTCTTCACTTCCATTGCCGGAATCTTGGCAGCTTAGTCATCCGTCGCAATGGTCCCACAATATACTTTCCGCCGTCCCCCTGCATCTTGACCTCACCTCCTCCCGACAGCTTTCCTCTACACTATGCCGCTATCCATCTGTACTCGGCACTCCACCGAACCCCTGATTGATCTCGCCTTGTACTCCCAGTACGCAGAGAACAACGACATGCGATGCCAAATCCGAAATATAGAGTCGATCGGACATACCATTGCCTTCTTCTAGCTAGCAGGACCTATGCTGAGCTAGTCAATCCTTCCCATTCGGGAGATTGACCGCACCCTTCCAAGCCTGTACAGCAGTTCAATTTGTAAGTAGTTCTTTTATTGATCTCTCCTTAACGTTCATATCGGAATACGACTGCATCTTCCCCATCTGCGGCGGAGGCACTTCCGGCCAGGCAGGCTTGCCAAAAGCCCAAACGTTCGCATCCTAGTCGTGAGTCTTGATAGATGTTCAGGTCCTTTCCTGCTCTTGACTCCTCTCGACTCGCATCCCTAACCATTGTCATCCGGCTATATCTCTTGTCGTCCAGCGAACCGTGGTGCCGCCGCTCGAAGCAAGAGAATGGAGAGGTAAATCCTCACAGCACAGGTAGACAGTCTGCTCGCTCCAGAGCTTTTCTGGCCGGTGACCTTGGTGTTCCACTGCATCTTTCGTTAGCTCTTGAGTCTGCGACCTTTGGAACACTAGCAATGACATACCTCGTCAAACGGCACATCTCGAGTCCGGCTTGGTATTGGGCGTTGCGGTATTCGCGCGCCTTAGCACATTCGAAGGCTGAGCGTAGGTGTCCTTAACAATGTTGGCAATCCGGAATTAAGTGACCGCGCTTCCACTCGAGCCATGGGCCGGCACTCTGGGTGAGGGTGACGGGCTCGGTGCGCCGTTTGGCGATGGTGGAAGGCTGACTGCCACCTCTCCGCCTCACGCCTTGGTACTGGGGCAATTCGGAATTGGAGATCATTGTGGCATTGCTCACAGTGCAATTGGTTCGGCCCAGGGTAGCCGACAGAGGCATTGATTTGATCTGGCAGAACTGCCGAGGCCGCGCCGCCGCAAGGCCAGGTGAAGCTTCTCCGCCGTAGAACGTGAAGTTCTGGCCTTGGTTGTACGTGCTTGGTGCGAAGCTGTTGGCGACACCTGGCATAGACGGGTAGTTTTGCGTGTCGTCGTATGGAAAACGGCAAGTCATTCGAGCGCCTTACGGGTCGCGATCCCCGCCATCGACCGGAGTGAAGTTGCTCTCCACGTGAACTCTTGGCGTTTTGGTCGTACGTGCTTGGTGCGAAGCTGCTGGCAAGACTTGAAATACACGGGTAGTTTCGCGTGACGGTGTCGTATAGAACGCGGTAATGCACTTGAGCGCCGTACGGGTCGCGATCCTCGCTGCGGACCGTAGTGAAGTTGCCTTGCCCTTCACCGCGTATGATTCGGACCTGAAGTTCTGGCCTTGGTTTTTCGTGCTTGGTGCGCAGCTGTTGGCCATTCCGTGAATGGAAGGGTAGTTTGGGGTGTACGTGTCGTATGGGATGCGATAAGGCATCTGAGCGCCGTACGGGTCGCGATCCTCACCGTAGACCTTGGTGAAGTTGCCCTTCGCCGCGCTTAGGCTGTACCTGAAGTTCTGACTCTGGTTGAGCGTGCTTGGTGCGCAGCTGTTGGCCATTCCTTGAATGGAAGGGTAGCTTGGGGTGTACGTGTCGTATGGGATGCGATAAGGCATCTGAGCGCCGTAAGGGTCGCGATCCTCACCGTAGACGTTGGTGAAGTTGCCCTTCGCCGCGCGTAGGCTGTCCCTGAAGTTCTGACTCTGGTTGAGCGTGCTTGGTGCGCAGCTGTTGGCCATTCCTTGAATGGAAGGGTAGCTTGGGGTGTACGTGTCGTATGGGATGCGATAAGGCATCTGAGCGCCGCAAGGGTCGCGATCCTCGCCGTAGGCTATGGTGAAGTTTCCTTGCGCTTCACCGCGCGTGTGTTGTCGGGCCAATGGCCCCTGAATCGATGCCGCTCGACTTCTGATCTGTTGATTGTTGAACAACCACCACCAATGCAAATCCGGTCAAGACCACCGCCTTCCTCCCACCTCTGAAGCAGTGCTTGACGACTGAGCTGCCGCTGGTGTTGTCAGCATGGAGTTGAGCGCGAGGGGATCTCTGATGAACTTGCTTCGGGTGAATGCAGTAGACGACACTGCGCTCGAAGGTTGTCAAGCACGACGTCGGTGAAGGTGGGTGGCAAGAATCAGCCGCCGGATGGAATGAAGCTGGAATCTCACCGTTGAGAGGCTGATGGCAAAAGTGAGGTCGTGGCTTCGAAACTGCGCATTCCCGCATCAGCCATCTCGTCACTGCCTCGAGCCGTTCGGAGAAAATGCCTGCGTACGGAAGACAATCTATTGCCGCGAAAGTAGTGCGTGAAAGGGTGAGTGTCATGTTCGATGTTGACAGAACGAAACTCCCGGATGCTGATGTTGAAGTTGAAGCTAACGCAAAAATTCAAACTCTAAATCCATCCAGTATTCAAGCCCACAGATCTGAATCCATGCATCTCTACAACTCTCAAGGATTCCACGGCCTCCTCTCATCCCCCCTTCCGCGACAAAACGCCAAAGTCCTAATATCCGGCGTCCTCTGCTTAACCTCCGCGCCATCGACCCTCTGTCCCGCCTCGGTACTATCATCGAACCAAATCTTCGCCACTCCAAGCTCATTCCAAAACAAATTTCTCAAATGCTGTTTCGTCCACTCCTGCACTTGCTTGCGGTCAGAAAACTTCACGCGCCAAGCCCGAACGCCGACAGTTTGTCCACACGTGCATTGCTGGTGGAAAGGAGCATGTGCCTGCATCCAATTGCAAGAAGCGCGGCGGAGGGCGTGGGCATTTACCAAGGTTGTGTTTGAGCGTAATTCTGAGAGGAGGAGGGTGCTCCGGTAGGGGAGGCTGTCGAGCACGCCGTGACGGGCGTTGTGAAAGGGGGAGGTTGAGATTCCGTGCTTGACGCTCGCGAGCGTTTCGACGAGGTCGTAGTTTTGGAGGACGTGCGCGATGTAGGTGATTTGTTGTTCCTTGGCGTGCAGAAGGCCGTCTAGGGAGGCGTAGACGAGGTCGAGCCAGGTTAGGTGCATGTATTGTCTCTGTGCAACTCGGTAGGTGCGGTAGATCGGGTTCTGTTCGGCGAAGTCTGTTGTGTTGAGCCAGGTCACGGTTGATTCGATTATTTGCTGGTCTGTATTTGCGACTTTGGCAGCGGAGTCTTGCTGGAGGCGTACGATCAAATCGCGAGCTTCTGCAACTGATGCTCGCAAGCTTCTGATGTTGTCAAGCTTCTGAATATTGGCGGCCACGATGTTCTCGGTGCTCGCGAGGACCAGCGCGAGGTTCTGCATCGTGCTCCATTGCCAAAAGATCCTCAGTTTGCAATCGAGCGACATCGATGACACTCTCGACACTCTTTGCTCCCTGTTCATCGTATCCACATCTCCTCCGATACAAGCTGCCATTGACGTCGTCTCCTCGCTCAATTTCTGCAATGCAGCCAGCAGTGGCGCGTTGTCCTCTTCTCCTATGAGCTTTGGGAGCTGCGTCTTGAGCTCGCGCTGAATCTTGTCCATCTGCCGGCTCTCCGCCAACGGCACATTCAGCCAGCCCTGCTTCTGGAAGATCGGTGTCGACATCCATGTCTTCCAGTGTCGTGGAATATGCCAGGCAGCCTTGCCAAAGCCGGTTTGAAATCGTGTTGGCAGTAGTCCTCCCTGCATCGGATCGCTTTGATGTATAGGACAAGTCACCTGCTTCGGCACCTGGACCATTGTCATAGCAGGCACGTAAACGTGTACGTACACTCTATGAACGAGAGCGGATATAATGAATCCACATATGATCCAATCCCAGACCCTGGTGAGAGACCTTGGCTGAGTTGCACTGGGCTTTGCGACTGCTGGCTGACGCTTAACTTTCTTGTCCTCTGCAACTGCTGGCTGAGGCGTAACCTGCTTGCCCTCTGCGATTGCTGGCTGAGGCGTAACCTGCTTGACCTCTGCGATTGCTGGCTGACGCCCAACCTCCTTGCCCTCTGCGACTGCTGGCTGACGCTCAACCTTCCCTTCCTCTGCGACGTCTGGCTTAGGCTTGACCTCCTCTTTAACCTCTCCGCCGTCCGCCATTTTGTGCAGTTTCAAAGACTTTCTCCTCGCAACTCAGCCCGATTGGAAGCCTTCACCTTCTTTGAGTCCACCGTGCTTCGCTTCTTAGATCGATTCTTGCCTTCGAAAGAGGGTAGGCGTGACTGTCGGTGCCCTTCCTGGCTGTGAGATCAAGGAGCTGATCAGAATAATGCGTAGTCTCGAATCTGTACCGATTCTTTTGCGTCTTCTGTGCCAGTTCAACCCTGTCGAAAAGCCTCTTCCAGCCCCTGATGTTGAGCGACCGCCAGTGATGCAGATAGAGTTGGGACCTGCGTCCGCTGTGCTCTGGTCGCTCGACGAAGACTTGATGAATTGTCGACTTCCGGCTTGATGTGAAATGTCTCTGCGAAGAGACAAGTGATGAGTTTTGCACGCTCTTCAACGTGTAGTGATGACTTTTGCTGAGTGATCGTGATCGTGTGGAGAAAGCACTCTCGCCCTCGTGATCTTCTTGAAAAGATGATTGTATAGCACACAGACACGTCTCTCGAGAGAGTCGTAGAGTGGTTGGTGAGTTATGGTCTGAGTGCCCAGATGCGCAATCTTCACCTGCCAAACAACTCATGTCAGCCCACAGCTTCAATGACTGATGGCATTTCAATTGAGAAGCATACCTGAACTGCAAATTCCGAAGGCTTACTATGCTTGTGTGAATGGCTGCGTTGCTTCGCTCAACATCTCACGATGGCGTCGTCTCACAAAGCCATAGAGTTCTTTGTTGACCTGTCCGGAAAAGGCGAAGCATTGAGTTATCGTCGTCCACGAGCGAAGCTCAGGGTTTTCTTTGTCTGAATGTGGTGAGGCTTTGATATAATTGCCAAACCGCCCTAGTTCAGGTTTTTTTGTTGGTTTTTTTTGTTTTCTTAATTTTTTTTGGTGTTTTCTGGCTTTTGGTCGTTTACTTGTCGGTCCAGCCGGACAAGCAGTGGTCTGGCTTCTGGATGACGGACAGAAGCCAGACCACGTAGGCGAAGAAGATCACGAGGGCGAGAGTGCTTTCTGGTTCTGGCATTTTGTTGGTTGCTAGTGGTGTTGGTGTGGATGTGGTGAGTGTGGTTGTTGTTGTGTCTGCGAAGTGAGGCGCGGGCGTGGTTGAGAAAAGCTCACATTCGACTACTGCACGACCGTTGCATTCAGTGCTGGCAATAGCATCTACATCCGCGACCTCACTACATGCTGAAGCCAACAATACGTGACCCTCCCCTGAATCTCACCTTGTGATCTTAATGAATACATATGTTCAGCGGCAATAGCAATGCCAAATCTGGTCCTCACTCATCCCGCGTGTAATATCAACCCCTACGCCGTTTCCTCTCAAGGTCTAGCAGCCCCCAACGATAGTAGCATGGTCTAATACAAGGAAGCAAGAACCGCAAATCGTCTCCCACATACTCCAAGCCGATGCTGTCCGCCCGGTCGACCATCTCTTCAAACCCAAGGACCGGCATTGTCTCAATCTGATTTCGCTCCTCATCTAACGTAGGAGCGATGACCCCATTGATTCGAAGCATCTCAAGCCACGTTGGAACCCGTCCACTTGGCCTCATAATGCTCTGCACGTCTCCGAATCGCAGAGTGGTAGTACCATTCGCCAAGCCAAGTCGCGAGTGAACCCACCCACCTCCGAACCGACCTTCGGTGCGGCGTCGAACGAGAGAGACTGAGTTGCTTGGTGGTGAAGTCAAGCACATGTCTTGAAAGTAAGCTGGAGCTTCGTCCTCTACAGACTTCCCAGGCCTCAATGAAATGAATCCCTGCTCTGCTTGCGTAGTCATGTCCCAGCAGGAATCAATGTCAGGGCGCAAGATCAGGGGATTGATCTCAATGAGCTCTCTTACCATAAGTCTGGCGGTATCAAAGCTCAGATTGATTTGCTCTTGCAATGAGAGGCGATCGTTAGCGAGCCCGATAAGGCTTTTCCCCAAAATTCCCAAGACGCCTTCCTCCTTATCGATGAGGACATACTGCGGTTCGCGAGTATCTGGGCGCAGAAACATGGTTTCTTGAAGCTCATGATCAATCGTGCTTTTGAACGGCGTGTTGACCCGACGCCGGGGAAGGAGTTCTCGCGGCGTCAGAAAATTCAGTGTTCGATGCCGGATTTGGGGATCGGACAGAATCTTCTCCAGACCAGAAGTTCTGTACGTGCCGTGCCTTATGAGTGTGTTTATGATGTCGACGTGCAGATCCAACGCGTTGCTGATACCGACGTGACTTGGCGCGAGAATGAAGTCGGAATCAACTGGAATTTGATAGATGGCAGCAACGGAGCTCATGGCGTCTTCGGCAGAAGCGATAATGTCGCTAACAGTAACTCCATCATCGTTGCTGACTCCTTCCATTACAGTTGAAAGCGAGCCAGGCAGCTTATCTTTAGTATTCCAATTGTTAGAAGTATCCTAACTGAGAACCACTTCCTTGACAGGCGGGAATGTAATGAACATCCGGGCGACACTCGAGTCCAGCTTAGCGTTCAACATGGCCTGGTCGATATTCAGAGCGGCATGATTGTACTGATGTGCCTTTTGGAAGACGTCCCGCTCGCGTCCCGGCTTGAAGAAAAGCGGATTGCCAACAACGCCCTTCCGCACCTCGATCGACCAGCTCTGCTCTTCGGGTGTATAGGCTTCGCACTCGCCGGCAGCCAGATCGATAGTGCGTTTGCTTCGTCTGCAATCGACCAGCAGATGGGGCGGCGAGTCCATAGCAGAGCGTAGAAAGAGCTTTTGGTGAATGCTTAGAGAATTGTCGATTGTGTTTCGCCATTCCTTCGAGACGCGTCGATTGATAAGTAATTCCTTCATTGGCAGGCGTAGGATGACATTTTCCGCCAGCTCAGCGATGCTGAAGAGACGCTGCGCTGTCTTGACGAGCGGACTCGAGATAATAGCGGTGCTATGGTGTGGATATTGGTTAACAGGCTTTCTGTCGGCGGCGAAGGTGTAGATTCTCTACGATTATGTCGTACGAGAGCGCTCCTGGTCTGGATAATCCGAAACGGGCGTCAGTCGAGGTACTGGAGATGGCAAATATGTCCGACTCCCTGGGATAGTTCACCTACCAGTAGCAGAGTGAATTGCACAACAGGAATCACCATTGATCGGGAAACGGTTGCCTTCTTTCGCCGTGGTGAAGTTGAGATAGGAAAGAGATGTCAGATCTTCGAGGACGTAGAGAAGCCGACATGCTGAGACGTGACAAGGGAGGAAAAGCTTAATTAGGCTCTTGCAGCTGAAGGCTTGGCACGGCGTTTGTCAGGGTCCACTCGCGGCTTCACTTTCACAAATATTCTTTGTTGAACTGCTTATAAGGAGTGTGAACTTAGTGGATAATCTACCCAAACTACGATTGTGAGAGGGCTTATATCTCTCCGAGTGTTTGCTACACGATTGCTACTGTAGTTTATGTAAGACACTCCCCCCCGCTCGAGTATACCTTTGGATCCCCACCTTGCTCGAGACTGGCTGAACCCCCCCAAGGTAACTCTGGGTCAGCCTTTATGCTGTCGAAGATTTTGCCAAATGTAATACGGCGAAGGGGTTTGGTGCCGACCTTGTTTGCAGGGTGTGTGCATGGGCTTGGCACGTGAAACCGCGATTCAGAATTTCCGTAACCGCCATTTGGGAAAAGCCCTGATTCGCTTCTCCAACTCGTATAGACGGGTCGAGTGATGTGCAACCAGTGAGCAGAGATGGCTGTGGCAACTCACTCGTCCTTTGTCTAACCTTGACAGAGTAACAAATGCATTGTCTTCCTATAGTCTAACAAAGACTCTCCACGATGAGATTCACTAGGCCTAGTCCTCAACAGAGATGGAAAATAGCATTGTCTTTCCATACTCTAATAGAGAATCTCCACAATGAGATGCAGGCCTGATCCTGATTCTGAGAGGGTAACAATTACATTATCTTTATACAAACTACCAAAGACTCTCAACACTTAAAAGGCTGGTATTCCCAACTGAGAGATAGACCAAAGCTACTCCAAGATCGCACCAAACAACGCTGAAGCAAAACACAACCAACACGAACTATCCAAAATACTTCCACATCGGAAAATGTCCGCACTCGCTCATCTTCCAGGCGAGATCCGCAACCGAATCTACGGATTCGCCCTCCCGGCAAAGGAGGTCTACACACTGCAGTATCCTCGGGTCAGCGGTGGTTCAGACCTACCTGACAACGCTATATTCGGCCTTGACCGACAGATTCGCCACGAAGCGCTCACATTCCACTATCCGGACTCGAAGATCATCGTCGAACCCCGTCCGGGATTCATTCTTCATCAAATTCCACGCTGCCTGAGCCAACTCCCTTTCGATGTGCTCAAGGTTGCAAAGGAGATTGAAGTTAAAATGGAGATCCTACCACCACTTGAATGGACGCGTTGGTGGCCAGGCATCCTACTTCAACTGAGCTTCACAGTCACCGCGGAAGGCCTCTACATCTCTCGTGCTTACTATCGTTCAACATCAGAGGCGCACCACAACAACGGACGCACCCTGAGCGCTGCTGGAAATGCCGAACTGCGAACATACATCGACGAACAGGTAAGGAATATGGAGGAACTGATGCTGACAAGACTCCAAGGCAGAGACATGGAGAAGGCTACGGATTCTCCGCGGATTTCCATCGATTTCCCTATAGTGGAACCACAAGGGCCGTGGGACCATAACGCTCTTAGGCCACAGCGCATGACTCCCTACATTCGCTCCTCTAGAATTGGGGCGCGCTGAGTCTCAACCTGAACTAAGCGACCGTCAATTACGTGTTGCACTCGATCTCTACAATTCAATTACAATGTTTGACTTTGCAAATAGAAGTTGTATCGAATGCGGCAGATCGCACCCTGAAAGTATAGCATCTAGTATTACGAGTTCACCGCGGCAAATGCCAACCAAAATATCCCATAACAAGCATAGTCCTCCACGTCCCGTTCTCTCAATATCAAACCTTTCCAAAACCATATCCCAACATAATAGATCAAGTAAGAGCTGAACACTGTGTAGAGATCAATACGCCAGCGAGCGAACGTTCCAAGGAGCATGCAAAAGGCACTTCTTGCGAGTTGAAGTTAGCAGAGAAGCCAGTCAGGAGAAATACCACCTTGATGCATCTTCTCCCCCGCCCTTTCAACTGTTGGGGTGCTCTGTTGAATGGTTTTGGACATGTGACTAGCGAAGAGACTTGAGTAGCAGACAGAATTTATCTTTCGGAGTCATTGCAAGTCTGAAAGCCCGCCGTGAGGAACGTCGTTCATTCGGAATCTTTCATGTTTTCTCGTGCTGTCGGAAAGCTCTGCTTGGTGTCCTACGACGCCTTGAAAGGAGAGAGAGCTACGCAGCCGAGCGAGAGCAAAGCCGCAGAAGCGCGGAACGAAGGGGCTTCCTATAGATTCATCCTCTTGTGTGTCGAGATGCTTCGCTGGAGAAGCTGAGGGACATTGAGACGATGTAGAGCTGGGTCGCAGGGACACTCTATCATGCTGGGAAAGTCAGCCAAGAGAACTTAGATTTGAGGTTTGCCTCTTTGCTCCTCGTCTCGACTCGCTAGTCAGTATCTGACATATGTAGTTGGAAAAGCTCCATAGCGCGCAGAGAGAGAGAGCAGTTCAGAGGAGTCAAGAGTGCTACAAAAGAGAGGTAGCATAAGATAGATGTCTTCCTCACTTCCTATTCAGTCTCTGGTAATCGAGCTTGGCCGTATCGGGCTGAGGAACAACTAAACACCAGAAGTGGAGTCTGCCGGGAACAGCAGCGTTATTCAAGTCAACGAAGAGATATTGCCCTAAGCCTCCGCCTCTTCGCTCCTCCTCCTAACTCTGCTGATCGAGGTTGGGCACATTGACCTCAAATGGAGTTGGGAAGTAGCGAGGGAGCATACTCCACGGAAGCCGGAGACGGGAACGACCTCGGTCAAAGAGAAGGGCCACAATTGGTGTGCTTTGCCACTTCTTGTCACTCTGCTGATGGTATTGGACATGTTCATCTGAGTAAGAGCTGAAGAACAGGGAGACAGGTCTTGATAGGAGTCGGCGGCGGCAAAGAATCCAGCCAAGAGAGGGACCACAGCTGACATTCTTTGTCATTTGTTGTCACCCCGCTGATGGTACTGGACATATCCAACCGAGTGAGAGCTGAAGAACAGAGAGACAGGTCTTGATGGGAGTCATCGGCGGCAACGTGGCCAGCCAAGAGAAGTATCATTATCAGCGTGCTCCCTCACGCAAAGTCGCTCATCTAAAAAACTTGTAATGCTCCTCCCAAACAAAGAAGGAGTCCGACCAGGACGCACCGAACTGCTCGCACGCTTGAGAGGCCACACCGGCCCAGTGATCTGCCATGCCGTTTCCCGCAGATGTGTAATGGTCACTATGACCCTGAACGTAGGTCAAGCTCACTTGCTTGCCCATCTCCTCCAGCCCCCGAATTCTCTCCAAAATCGTGCGCTTGAGAGGGTCGCTGCTTGGTGTCGCGCTCTGGCGCAGAGAGCGGACGGCAGCCAGCGCGTTCAGGCAGTCTGACCTGATGGTGAAGTGGTCGAAGTCGCTCTCACGGGCGAGGCAGGCGACCAGTGCTGCGTTGATGCCGTGCAGCTCGGTGGTGTTGGGGTTTTGTATGCTCCCCAGAGCAAAAGCCCAGCAGTGCCATTTGCCTTCATCGCGGGAGAAGAGAGCGATGGCGCATCCGGCGTAAGGACCCCAAGGTCTCACCGATCCGTCCGAGAAGATTTGGAGCTCGCGCTCTGGTTGTTGTAGTGGTGGTGGCGGTTGTGGTTGTGACTGTGGCGGCGGCGGTGCGAACAGTTCTTGGAGTGTGTTGTCTCGAGCAGCAGAGAGGATGGCCGCGAGTGTGAGTGGTTGTGCCATCTTTCAGACACTGTGGCCTCTGGTGCTGCTGAAAAGAGAGAAGACTGTGAAGTTCGAATTAGTGTTTTGATACAATCGCCCGCAGCTCTACGCTAGGGGTCTTAGCCCCTGTCGACCGTTGAATTTGCCATGGACAGAGCAAGAACGATGTCGTCCCCCTCCTTTGCACTGCGGATTCGACACGCCATTGATCACTCTTCTTCTATAGAATCATTAATCGAACATGGACCCCTTCAAAGGCAGCCATGTGCTTCTTCATCTACCAGGACCCTTCTACCGCTCGACGAAAATGCATCATTCCGCCCCGAAAGAACCATTGCGCTGTGTGCGTGCCGAATGACATCAATCCACTCGACGACAACATAAAGAACAGCACTTCCGACCTGTTCCGCAACGCCGGTTATGCTGAAATCTCAAGTCCGCTCGCAAGACCCCACCCTGGAACATTATGGGCCAGCAGCAGACAAAGGTAAATTTCCGATGTTTTTTGATCTGCGGAATGAAAGCAACACACTCGATCTCACAAATTTCTTAGTGCGCTGAACTATCTGCGCATCGCCTTGCGCTGCAAATCTGGCCATCCCTGGCACTTTACCCCTTTCGGAATGCCAAGGCGCATGTGAAACTTGGCAAGCGAGTCTTATGGTCCGGGCCATACGTTCCTTTTTACATCGATATAGATGACTTGAGCATCAAAGCGGTCATGACGCTGGGAAATTGCATGCATTTCTGGAGCTGCAGGTCCACCGCAATGCTCAAAACTCTATCCTAAGGCTGTCGACCTTGTACACAGTCGAGTAATCAACCCATGTCAGGAGATGAGCAGAGACTGTATGGACATGTTATGACACGGCTTGGGTGTGTGCATGTCTCAGAAGGACCTCAGTCTGAAACCCGAACAAAACAGGTTTGCTCTGCCGCTTTGCATTAAAGACAATCCTGGTCTAACTTCAGATACATGTTTCTAGTCAGCGACAGAGCAAGACTTAGTTCTCCTTTGCTCTCCACGAAGCGCTATAATACACCCATGAGGAAAAATCGAGATGCGCGCAATCCATACATACCAGTACCCAACACCAGCTATACACACGAACAGGACCAACACTATATAGAGTCTACACGGCCGCAACTATCCCAACCAGCTCATCCGCATCATGGATTGGACTGTTACGACTCCACTGATCAACGGAAGGCCTCACCCTTCCCGCTTAGCCAGGCGTACTTTTGCGCAGCTTCAGGCTGATCTCATTCACTCAATCGATTGTTTTGATCTTGACGGCATGTCCCGAATCACGAGCGGAAATGAGGCTGCAACGCGTGCACTTCACTCGCGCTCCTCGTAACATCTGGACTGCCTGGGTTCAAAACCCTCATCTTACCAGAAATACGTTTCTGCACCTTTGCTCGAAGTTGGCGTACAGCTGTTTCTTCGACTCTTGTGTCATTCAACCATCCTCTGACCCTTACAAGAACTTTTTCGACAGGCATATTCCAACAATCCACGATGCCGAGACGCAAGGCTACGGTGTCAACCCGACGAACTGAACACGCGCAGCGACGCTCGTCACGAATCGCTGGGCTGAAGCGTGAAGAACCAGACACGGAGAAAGTCACCAACGGGACCAGGGCGACTCCCAGCTCTATCAAAACCACCAGCCAGGAAACCCAAGCTGTCGGACCAGTGACGCCGAATGGGTCAGATGCTTCTCAGAAGGTCTTCGGCGTGCCGGAGCTCTTGTCGATGATACTGGGCTATCTCGATCTTGCAAGCCTCGCGAGGCTCCTACCAACGAACATCCTCTTCAACCATCAGGGGAGGAGCGCGCCACAGTTGAAGCCGATATGGTTTCTGTCGCCAACTCACGAGGAGCCAGTCCGGTACTGCGTGAGTCGCACGCAGGAGATTCGTCAGCTCGACGCTCTGTCGGGCGATGTAGCGCAAGCGAACGAAGAAGTCGTCGCTGTCTACCAGATCAATCCCATTCTGGAAGTACCCCCAGACGAGGACGCCATCGACTCGGCTTCCGAGCAGGAAAGGATCCTCTCGTTGGAAGGACACACAGACATCGAATTTCCATATCAGCTAGTCGACAGTTCGAGATGGATCAAGATTCGTGACATGCAACTCACCAAGCCAGCGATCCAGGACATACAGTTCAACTACGCGCCGGATGATGAAGATGCCGAGAAGGTGAACTTGGAAATCACTAACTCCAACGGCATCACCATTGGCAACATCATGAACAGCGTCGCGGCAAGAGGCGACGCTCCTAACACGCCGTTCCTCAAGGCTCGCTTGTGGCATCGTGATAGCTTGCTGCTGAGTTCGAAAGAGATGGAGACAATAGAGTCACTGGCACGGCATTAAGGAACATCCTTTCTGGATTCCGCCCAAACGAGTTGGGCAGGCCGATGCTGGTATGCATCACGCATGGGTTTCATTGGCGCAGCTCATGCAGACGATCACCATGGCCGAGATTCACCGGACATACATAAGACGCCTTTCGAATGCCATGCTGTCTGGCCGCGGACGTCATGGAAAGCGTTGTGAACATTTTGCTTTGTTGCGATGGGACCCCACGTTCGGACTAAGGGTGTCCAGGTTACACAATGCGAGCACTGGCACACAATGGGATTGTAAAAGATCGATGGAAAGTGAATCGGTGTTACCTTGCGATACCTTTACGAATTAAAAGCTCAGTTTTCCACACTTCTGGCCTCTCTCTCTCTTCACAGACTCTCTTAATGAGCACACTGGATTACGACTCTCCACTTGAGACTCCCAACGGTGTCACTCAACTCACGCATTTGGAAGCCAGCCTTGCATCATCACCCACTCACCGAAAAGAGACCTCCTCGACCATCAATATGAAGCAATCAGCTTCAGACTTCCTGGCGGGCTCCGCCATCAAGAGAACCCGCACAGAGCCGCCGCCACAAGACAAGCACATGACAGAGGATCATCTCCAAGCTACAACAGCTGCAAGCAGTGTCACCAATACCGCTGAGCTTGTGGAGGAGATCCTTCTAAATCTCAGTCTGCATGATCTCGCGACGGCACTCCGGACCAACCACTTCTTTAGGAACGTGGCGTTCGGATCAGTCAAGATCAAGCAAGCACTCTTCTTGCTCCCTGCAGCTGACGATGCCGTGCAGTATCTGGTTGACAGTTCCGAAGGTGAGATTGTCGCGATCGATTCGAAATCGCCTCCGCCAGCACTTAACGTGCATCAGACGATACTGACAGCGCACCTACTGAACCCTGTTCTCAAGATTGACCAGAGCAAGCCTACCAATACTCCTCATGCATGCAGCTACCTCAAACACGAAGACAAGATCACGTACGGCAGACACATCCTCCTACCGTACCACGCCTACGCCCAATCGAACCTTCGAGACATGCTCGTCCTCCAGCCGCCAGTCTCGCATCTCAGCTTCACAGCCAAGCCTGACCCAAGTGGCCCCGTCATCAATGTTAACGTTACTAACGTCAATGGCGTGAGAATTGGAGACTTAGTCCAAGCAGTCATGCACACAGGAATGGTTGGGAACCTGCAGTTCCTCGCCGGTCTTCTTCGGGCCAATGGTGTTTGCATGGCTACTTCAGAAGAACTCAGCCAGCTTGCAAGTATGGTGGGTAAGTGCTGTCCTATGGGAAAGAAGTTCATACGTGAAGCTCCTGGACGTAGCACTGCCTGATGTGGAAGAAGTCTGTCGTTTGACGATTCGCTGGCCAGGTTGGTAGCTGAGATGAGTGGTGAAAGAGCAATGCTAGACACTGGTATAAAGCAGTTCAAAACTGACGACTCGCTGAAATTAGATACATTGGCAGACTTTGGTTTTCTGGCGTCGCCGTTGGCGTTCAACGACTTCCATAGCATGATTTTGGCTTTTAAACAGCTGCAAAACGGTATTTAGCAGTGGGAAATTTCCCAAGAGACAAGACTCTATAGATTCAATAATCTCATCCTCTTTTTTGTTAAAATGAAAAGCCTTACGGCGACAAATGAAGTCTTTCTAGGCATAAAATGCTCTATAATAGGCGCTGTTCTAAAGTAGATAAGGATTGCCGAGCGAAGCGAGACCTAAGGGAAAGAACAGTTAAGGCAAGGTAGCAAGGCAAGAGTCACGTCCGGGGATATTTTAATTTCTACTATAAAGAAAGGCGAAATAATATCGTAGTAGCGGTTCCTTAGATTAAACCCCCGGCGAAAGCTCTGCTCGTAATATTAAGTATATAACAACTTCCGACTGTTCTTCTACTTAGCTCCTAAATAGACAACGCCTTCGTATCCTCGTCGGAAGCATATCGAATGCTTCGGCTTATATGTATTTACTTCGCTTCGCTCCGACAATAGTATACGACGTTATAAGCTCTCGTAAATTAGCTACTAGAGTACGTAAAACCGCACGGACTATATTTATAAGCGAAAGCATATTTTAGTTTTAAACTTCCGTACTAGTAAACTAAAAGATTCTTCGTCTCTCGCTTACTATAGCTCGAAACGCTAAAGCTAAACGATAAAGTAATAATCCCCTAGAATAGTATACTAACTACTAGCCGACGTCGGCGGTCTACTAGTAGAGAGTAATATTAATTAAGTATATTAATTATCCGACTCCTATAGTCTATAGGCGACTCGATATAAATACCTATAGCGACGCGTAAGAGAACTAAAGAGGTATAGACGCCTCGCCGCTTACTATGCTATATTTAATACTATTAAGCTACTGAAGGACGGAAACCAAAACCACTACCACCACCTGCAGTAATAGTATAGGCCACCGAGGGTAACATGACCCATAGCAATATGGGCAGCCATGTTTAGCATGATAGGATGACAAGACGGTTGCTCAGGCTGATGACCAGAGCCCTGCAACATAGGCATTGTGGAAGTGTGACATGAACAATGTGCTGTACGAGGTTGGTACTCTATCTACAATGCAGAAGGAGGCCTCTTATATAGGCTCAAAACTCAGCCCAGGTGTGTGGGGCCGGTTACCAGCCAATACTACTTTAGCGGATTTTATTATATCTAGAGCTTCCTACGAGAATCCTTCCTAATATACTCGTTAGTACCTATTTAAGAAATGTCGATTCTAAAGAGATATATTATAATAGAGTCGCTATATTCTCTTGTCTTCGAGTTAGTAAGTACTAGAATACCCTTATTACTACGTCGCCCGCACTTAAGCAACTTATATAGCTCGTATAGCCGCTACCGCCGCTTACGAGTAATTAGATTTCGTAGTAGGAGCTAGAGGAAGTCGTTCGAGTCTACGAACGCTAGACCTTAAGGGAGCTTAGCCTTTTAGCTATAGGCAATCTAGCTCCTACTATACTTAATCTACTCCTTTTTCCCTCCTATTTATCGCTAAGAGAATATCTAGGGCCCCCCTTAAAACCCTCTATATATCTAACTCAAAGCTACGGCGTAAGCTATAAGAAAAATTACTATAACGAGATCTATATTAAAACCTACGGCCGTTTCCGGTACTTAATCTATAAAACCGATTATACGGACGAGCGTTGTCGATCCTAACAAAACTCTAATATCCTCGATATTTAGCTCCTCCCGACGTTAATACTAGCCTGTCCTAGCATTCTCTTTAACTGTACGATAGGCTTTGCCGTCCGATGCTCTCGTGGAAGAGCGTCTACTAGACGGTCTAGATGGTGTCGGTCTCATGTGCCTCCGCTATTGGTATTGTCAACGAATCCCACCTCTCTACCTAGCCGCTCTAAAACCTGAGCTTTCTTAGAGTCCACAGCTTAGCCGCAACGTAACAAAGAAAGCTCACCATGACTAGGTGCGTTACACTTTCACCCACAGAGACACTCGGCCATCTTCACGATCTAATGGAGATGCATACACTACCAGCTCTGACTTCTGCTGCACAGAAGCCCATCGTATCTAGAAGTAGGCAGACCAAACTGTATTCCGAGGAGAGGAGCCGGGGTACAACACTTCATACCATTGTCACTCAACTCCACCGTCACTCCTAGCCCAGCTTATACCTGCTGTCGCTTTAGGCCCTCGAAGAGCCGTAAGGCCTCTGAAGCCCACAGGCCAGTTACCCCTCAGACAGAGAGATGAGCACGTAGTAAGAGCAGCGCTCGTCTCTGCGACCTGTTACAATCCATCTCAGACTGAATTTCGCTTTGGGCGCACGAAGTGCTGACCTTCTTTGAAGCAAGAGGCCAATGTTACGATTAGAGGAGGATAGGAAGTTCTATCGCGCGTAGCCACTTCATCGTTCATCTCCCATAACCGCTTTAGCATATCAGTCGCTAGCTTTCGCTCCCGCCGCTCGAAAAGCTGTGCATTCTATCGAAGACCAGAGATCCTTGAAAGTTCAAAGAAAAGGAAAAAGGGGAAATGTAGCACGTAGTCACGGTATCATTCATCTCTGCTCTCTGCTTCAGCGAAACTCCTACCATTTCTCGCTCCAATCGCGTCGTCAAGGGCTTCATCGTCGAGAGCCAACAAACCCAACTCACAGCCAAAACCGCCAATCCCCAAGCGCTGCCACTCTCATCCTGCACATCCTCCCCTTTATTTCTTGCTATAATCCTTCAACACCCCACTCGCAAAGAGACCGGCATTACCCGCCTTCTTGATATCAAACCCCCTCCTCTTCGTACCCGGCCGCTTCCGACCCTGCGGCGGAACGAAGAACTTATCCTCGAAAGCTCTCTTCACGACTTGCTGGCTGGTGGGAGTGATCTCCGCCTCCTGGAGCGTCTGCTTGATTTCCTTCTCATCAGGGAGTTGGAGAGCACGCCAGAAAAAGTACAAGTCGGCGCTAGCCTTTCCGTCGTCGGTCGTGTGGAGGTAGAGGTTGATGTCGTCGAGATGGATGGTTTTGATCAATCCCCGCTTCTCGTCGCGGCGGAGGAGGATTTTGTGGTCGATTTCGAGGATCTGGAGTGCGGAGTCGCAGCCTGGCCAGCCGTCTTGGAGGTCTTTGTAGTCGATGGAGAGGGGCGCTTCTGGTTGCGCGAGGAAGTTGAGGAGGGTGTCGGCGTTGTGGATTGGGAACTTGGTTTTGTAGCGGTAGAGGGTGACGTTGTTCTCCTCGGCGCCTTTTGGGATGACTTCGACGCGGCTGTTGATTTTCAGGGCGCCGGCGAGGTTGGCGATGGTTTTGTCGTAGCCGGTGGGCACGGAGATGTAGCCGACGATGTCGTCGAGTGTCTTGCTTGACTTCAAGCCTTCCTTGAAGTACTTGGTCTTCAGCCAGTCGAGCACAAGCGGCATGTTCTGGAAAAGCCAATCTCTCGAGTTCTCGTCGTCGAAGGCGCCGGTGACCGTGTCGAACTTGCGCTTCGGCATGATGTTGACGGATGTAATGTAATGGGATTTGACTGAGTGCGCAAAGTTGAGTCCGAAAGAGTGAGGCGAAAAAGTCGTTTGCGGTGTTGTCAAATGCGTGGTCGAGGTAGAAAGTGATGTGAGTGTTGTTGTCTAGCTTAGCGCGAAAGATTAAGCTTTTGAACGGCCCAGTCCTGAATCGAAGTGAAGTGCGTCTGTACAGCCTGCGGCATAGCCAACCCGAACAATCTCTTTGTGCACTCGAAACAATCTGATTGTCTCAGTGAATTTCGTCCTCTATGCGACATGGCTGTCTCGAGAACTCTGAGGATTGGGTTTCGGAGCTGTATGCGCAAGACGCTTTCGACTTTTCCTCGCGAGCAGGACAACAACATAGATGCGATTTATATTGACCAGCTCACAACTCTCGCCTCAGAGTAGCAGAGATTCAGCAACGAAAACAATGGCTATTGGATGGGAATGTGGCGTTGACCGCTTTTTCAATGTGCCCCGGAGAGCTGGAAATTCCTTTTGCACTCCAGGAGAAGGCCGAAAGGCTGCTATGGTATCGCGTTCGATCTCACCACATTTTGCGTCCCAAAGACCAAACCTTGGACCGAAAGCTTAGATATACCCTCTCCATCTGCTACCAGTCTGCCAGGCCTGTCGAGGAAACGAGGCTGTCTGCGCTTCAACCTAGGAAGTCGGAGCCGCAAGCAAAAAGTGGTTCCAGGGATTTCCGATGGTTGCAGTCTGGAGCTGTATTTCCGATGGATAGACCACAGTTAGAACTACCGCTGTCAAGCTTTATTCCGAGCATGGTGGCAGTGGAAGAACTGCTGTCGGTTAAATCTACCTCTGCGATGTTCTCGGCGCCTATATCAAGAAGTCCTGTGCCCGTTCCCATCACATTACACATTTTTATCCTGGGGTGCCTCCGTGCTGCAGTGGAATGCAAGAGCTGGCCCGGCTCGTCTCAGCATTCTCAAGTATTCGCGAGGAGACCTGAGCAAACTTGAGGGAGAACACAAGGGGTCTTCCATGGTCAGGCGCCGTTGGGGAATCGTATCGTGGCTTTTTCAATTCTCGGTCCTCAATTTCTGCCGGATAACCTGTTGTAGAGTATCCCAATCGCCTGCACCTCCGATCAGGCTCTCCTTTTCCCTCTTGCGACCTGTCTCTCAACCCAGCCAGACCCTCCAATTACTCCTGATGTATCCGCTTCCGCCTCTTGACCTCCTGGGAGTGCACCAGATTCGCATGGAGAATAGCGAGTGCTATCGCGACAAGAACAAGTGCGCTGATCATCGTCTACGACGTCGACGAGGATCTGTGTGTCGAAGAAACTCCTTCCGAACCTGAGAAGCAAGTCATCAAGGTCGACCAACCACGCTATATACAAAGCTTGGCTGGGCTGGGCTTAATATTGTGTCTGAAGAACAAAGACACCGCCTCGTCATGTCTCTGGGATACATGCGATATACGCTATGCTCCACCGGTCTCTCAACAGTCATTGGAGCCCCGCATTGGGCTAGGTTTGTCACGATACAGAGCTCTTCTGAAGCCCGCCGGCTCTTCTACAGTTTCGGACATCTCCTGACCGTCAGGTCACTGGTAGCCCTACCCAGAAGCGTGGTATGGGCGTATCGGCGTCGGTCTAGGCAAGACCATTGATCTGCAGAGACATGGCTATAGCAGTCGTGGCTAACGCGAGCACTCAACGCTTAGTAATAGTGTTTGAAGGTGTCGAGGCAAGGGAGGTCGTCGAGAACTTGCCGTTCTAAGTATTTTTGGGCCGGAGTCGGCTCCGTGAGAGTTTGAGACGTCTCACTGCATCTCGTCCGCTTCGTTTTGTTTTCTATCACTCACTGCGAGGCCCACGAGAGAGTTCATCATCGGACTTGGATCCTGATGCACTGCAGCTAGGAGACTGAGAGCCTTGCTAGTGATGAGTTGAGCAGTAGCTTGTGAAACGGAAACTCTGCGACACAATCTCCAACAGTTCGGAATCCGGTCTGTAACGGGTTTGTGTCCTAGTAACAAGGCTGGATCATGACCATAGAGTCGATTACACCAGCCGGGCCCCTGCACGATGTCTGCGGTCTCTTTCTGCATCGCTCGCTTCGTAAACAGTCCGTCCGCTCTGGCCGAACGGGACATTCCATGCCACAAGGTCTCCTGCTACGGGCTTCATTCATGAATCCATGAATGGACTGGAATTCTCTCACGTTCAAATCTCCTCCATTTAGGCATAGAGTCTAGACTGTACTGGAATGTAGTACATGCCCCCCAAGACACACTACTAAAATGGAATTAGCTAGGTTATTCGCAACAAGGATAAAGAAAATCATTCTATATACAAGCATTCTATATACTGGTTGCTTCCGAGGGAGTCGCTCAATATCTTTTACTAGCAAACTTGTCAACCGCTAGAAGTAGCGTCGCTTATACACTAGCCGTTAAGGCACATGCGGATCGGAACCTGGACTCTCATGCCGCTATCTCCGTGGGCGGTATGCGTAAACACTCGGGTTGTTTCCTCTAGGATCTAAGCATCCACATCGGTCATCAATGATGCTATGACAGGGAACCTGAAGTTGGGACCGAAGATTGACCGCTCCGTTGAGGCGATTGCTGTAAGTGGACTTCATGCCTCTTCCTTTACGCCAATGGGTGATATTTTTGGGGAGTGGGAAGTTATTTGATGATAAGCTTTCCAGAATCTTGCTCTTGGAGTACCGCCGTGTGGATTATGTACGAGGTTAAGGCTTCGCCCTGCTCTCGCCAAGCAGGGAGGCAAGGAATTGGTCGAGGAGGTGATCTGGGTGCCTTTCTTCTTGATCCAGGACTTGGTCGCCGACTATTTTGCTGCCCTTTTTCAATCGCGCTGTGCTGTTGTATTGGTCTTCAGCATTGAATGGTGCCTCGCTTGCTGTCGACCTGACCTCTGGTGTTACTGCTAATCATAATGCGGAAAGGGAACGGAGGTGGATTCTGTGCTGCTGCCGTCACACGATCTACGAATGCATTGGTGGAAGGCCATTCGCAAATTTCGTGAGTCGTAGGGTTTGCGCCTCTGCGGTGGCCTCCAGCCCCCGGCATTGTGAGCTGCGAGACTGATGGCCTAGGTCAGTGGTCAGCATCCGCGGGCTATAACGGCAGCCCGCACACCGACGAGCTGGGGAGGGCCATAGTCACATGCACCTGCCGCCGAGGTGTGATTGCCGCGCACTCGCTCAGGTTATCCCTTTGCACTGTATCCCAAACCAGTGTCCCGAAGGCTCGCCCGGTCTGGGCCTGAGTGGTCTGGTGTCCAGGACTCCTGCCAGGCGATTCCTCTCAGCAGGCCGAAACCCCTTCGAGGTCCTTCTGGCAGACGCCGAGCGATCAGGTGTCACTACGAGTGTGGATGCATGCCGAAGCACACGAAGAGCCCTCGCCTCGCTATAGCGACCCTTACTGCCCTTTGGGCTAAGTCCAACGCTGTTCGCGACTCATGCCAACGGGCAGCGGAGTGCTAGTAACCGTACCGTGCCGTTTCGAGCTGCCTCGCGCACCTGGGGAGGAAGCGCAAACGGTAGAGCCGAGTGGTGACCGTGGTGAATGAGTTGGTGGCGGCGGCTTTCGGGGTGCTGAGAGAGTGGTGGGGATGTCGAGGTGTGGAAGAAGTGGAAGAAGTGGAAGAAGTGGAAGAAGTGGAAGAAGTGGAAGAAGTGGAAGAAGTGGAAGAAGTGGAAGAAGTGGAAGAAGAAGAGTCAAAAGCGCGCGGCGAGAAATGTCGGGGGCGGGATTTTGAAACGCGCTAGCGCCGCGCACGGGCTTGCCTCAGGCAACTTTCACATGCACGACCGTTGGCTATGCCCGCATCACTGCATCACCACATCAGTCCTTCATTACGCTGTACTTCCTGAGCAGGCTGTGGTAATGGAGATATGACTTTGGAGAACAGATCCAAGTGCAGTCTTCGTGTATCACTGGCCGGACTTCATGCTCCAGGAATCAATGACAACTTCACCCTCAAAACACGCCAAGACTAGTTTTCGCGGCAGACCAGGGGTCCAACTGCCCCAGCTGAGGCGTAAGGAGAGGCAGCTTCTTGAGAGGAAAGACGTGTATCGGCGCAATGGAATACCCTCGAAGCACCTGGAAAGCTTGGGATCGATCATTGAAAAGCTTGAGACAGGACGAGAGGCTCTCGATGATGGACTCTTCGCTTTGCCGGTTGCAAAAGAGGAAGAGGGGAAATGTTGCCCGACACGGTTGTTCCAATGCTGCCGCCACCTCGCCTTGGCGATGGGAAAGCCGTGGCACTACTGCCACAGAACTGGCAAGAGGAGCTCGAAGAATTCCCTCCACGCCGCAAGTACGAGCCCAGCTACGTCGACCTCGCCGCGCCCGAGCGCGTCAAGATCGAGATCGCGATCCTCGAAGTCAAGATCAGAGATTTGCAGGGGCGAGAGGAGTACAAGAACAGCAAGTTCCATATGAGTCACTGGAAATGGTACCAGACTCTCTGTCATATTAGCGCCTTTTTCCCCAAGGGATACGGTGCTCCGCAGGAGAGCAAGATTCCTGGAGCCGAGGAGATGCGGCCCTCTCTCGATCATCCTGCAGACCACGTCTATGCAGACGCTGGAGCATTGGAAGCACGCAGCGCAACTTGAAGTCGAGAAGGCACGGGATCTGGAGGAGGATTTGAGTCGCAGGAATGCCGAAGAGAGCATGAGCCGGAAGAAGTTTGATGCAGAGTATCGCGAGATTGAGGGCATGAAGCAGATGTGGAAGGACATTGGGCGCTTGGTGGTTCGGAGATTGGGAGAGCTGGACATGTCGAAGAAGAAATAGCTCTGTTTGGCCCGAGATTTGGCAGGCTTTGGGATGTCCAGCTCGTAAGCCCCTAGAGGGCTCACCTAATGACATGGATACATCGAAGCCGGAAAGCGCACAGCAGTCCTCCGTCACCTCATCCCTCATTCCCAGCCTCCTCCCCCTCCCTAATCACATTCGCCACACTCCCCACCCCAAAATCCGAAGAAGGCGTAATAACAATATCCCCAAAAACCCACTCCGGCCGATCTTCCACCGGATTCGCAAACTCGGACAAAAATTTCAGCATCCAGCGATCAAGCTTGACGAAGTCTCCATCGAAGTCCGACAAGCTTTATGAAAGGCTTGCAGTCGCATCATGCAAAAGTCGAGAGAGGGCCAAAGGTCTCGGAGGCGGAGCAGGATGTTGAAATTGCGTTCGAGTCGCTGTCGCGCTGAGGAGATTTCGGCGGCATTGGTGGAGAAGAGCAAGGTGTGGATTTGGATGGTGGAGGCTATGACGAGGATGTGGCCGACCATGTTGTAGAGCACGTCGCAGCCGGGGGTGTCGAGGGCGGCGTAGACCATGTTGCAAAGTTTGGCTGCGTGGGATTTGCAGCGGTCGGCGAATGCGTTGATGATGCTGCCGTTGTGCTGGTCGTCTTTGGCGCCTTGGAGGAACTGGTAGTAGAGGAGCTGGCCGTAGTGGTAGACGCCAAGGTAGACGGCGACATAGATTCTGCCGAGACCTTGTGCGGCGTAATGGGCGAGGTTGGCGGGTTCATCTCGCATGTAAGACGGTAGCTGTGCTTCCCACTCGTCGATCCTGGCGGTGAGAGCCTCAACGGCTCGGATGTCTGGTGGTAATACTTGAGTATCTGCTGCTTGGCTATTCAAGGCATTGACGTCTCGAAAGATGCGATTCAGAGCAATCATCTGGCCTAAGAGCGATGGTGAGTCGTGATCGCGTGGTCCCGATCTGTCGTTGCTCTCGGTGCTTCGTAGCTGCAGAAAAGCCATTTCTTCCATAGGTAGCGGGACATCCAATGGTGGATCGGCAATCTGCCTTGGGACACGGACGCCTGAGGACGACCATTCGTCAATCATGCAGAGCGTATGCCACACTAGAGTTCATGTCAGGATCACCATCAATCCTACTTGACAAGAGTGTTCACCTCTAATATTAATCTCTCGCTCAAGACGAGTCTCGCAAGCGCGATGGGGCAAATCCAAAAGCTGCGCCATCCGACAAGCGATGCCATAATACACCGATTCGCCGGGAGCATCGCCCTCAATGATCCGGCAAGCCCCAAGCATGACACAAGCCTGGACGGAGGTCAAGCTGACATGACTGACGTCGAGAAGGCTGGCAGCCTTGCGGGCCCATTTCGTGCCTCTCGTTCTCGGACTCATGCCGGAAAAGTAGTCATTGGAGGAGAATCTGGCAGCCAAAGCCATCATGGCATATCTGAGGACCATCGGTGTCTTGTTCATGGCCAGATCGGACATGAATGCTGGCTTTTGGAACAGAGTGTGCAGCTGGTCGTGGACGTAGTCAAAATAGAGGCTCGCGAGGTGGAAGGACAGCGCGGGAGGTGGCAAAGGCACATGGCTGCCATCTTCGTTTTCATTGACCTGGGACGCTGTTCGAGCGATGGCGGGAGATGACGGAGTTGCTGGACTACATTCTGCTTGCGAGCGTCCAGACTTGGTCACTCGAGACTGCCCAGAGGAGCCTGGGGTTCTGGCGGCGGAGCTTCCATGTCGAACATGTCTTGGCCTGGACTCGGACACAGTCGTCTTCGAAGGCACGCACGGCGCATTGTGCTTTCTACACAGAGCACATGGCCCATCGAGATCGTTGTCTAGCTTGTCACAACGTCGTCGCCGCGCTCTACGGCCGCCGTCAGCCGATGTGTAGCTCCAACAACAGGACGTGTGGTCTCACGGACCGGCAGAACTCGCAGGCCGTGGGCGGCCGCATGCTTATATGAACCGCATGTGAGACGGGAAACCAAGCGAGAGGGGTGGGGAGATAGGATTGAGTTGGTGGAGGTGGCGGCGGCGGTGGAAGGGGAGAGAGAACTAGGAAGTGTTGTGGACCGCGGGCGCGTTCCAAGAGTGGCAGCGCAGAGGTCACCCACGTTCGAAAATTTTCGGCTTGGCGTTGCTTAAAAAAGCGAGCGTCCACCAGCTGAGCTATATCAGCTTCCCCGGATTTCTTGGCATAGATGGGCAGATATATACACGCAAAACCCGAGGACGTTCAGCCAATCAGATACACTACTGACGAGGGTAGTAGATGCGGGCGCCCCGAGGCCCAATCGTTAGACTACGCTTTATTGAGGGCCCCTCCGGGGGAGCAGGGGCTGGCCGGCTACTCACAGTGTTTACTATTCTGTATTCCCGAGTAGGACTGTAATCCCCCGACCGTGTAGCTGATTCTACGCTATAATATAGCACACGTTGAAGCTATACGGGTCGGGAATGGGTACTTCCGGAGGGTGTTTGGTTGGCTTTTTTTTTTTTTAAAAAAAAAAGACTAAGGTAGAGGAGATTAACTACGAACAATATTTTATTATTACAATCGTTAAAGCCTAAATTTTAACTACAATCGACGACTATCGGATTTAGAGTCTAGTATTCGGTTAGTATATGTGTTAGTATTAATACGATTCTAATAAAAATTATACTATAAGTCTATATATATATATATAATATATAAGATAGTATATATAGCAAGGGGAAATATAAACGTATATATAGAAATTAAATATACTAGTTAAGGGGATATATTTATAATGCTAGTATATAATATATTATAAGAGTATTAGGATAGATTAGGACAATATTAGTAGAAACTATACCGTTATTACCGGACAACTTAGTCCGTTATAAACCCTAGATATATTCGAAAATCAAAGAAATATATACGTTTACTTAAATTATAGAATTAGAGCCGCGCGAGTTAGTACAATAGTCTAGCAACTTGTTAAGTTACTTAGATAGGAACTCGATAATAGAATTTCCTCTTAGTAGTTACAGCCTATTATAAACGCCGTCTAAGTACAAAACTATATATAGTAGATTAATATACAAAGTACTCCTCCTCGAAAGTTGAAACCTAACTCCGATATAGCGCCGCCTAAGCACAAAACCATATATAGTAGATTAATATACAAAGTACTCCTCCTCCTCGAAACCTAACTCCGATATAGCGCCGCCTAAGTACAAAACCATATATAGTAGATTAATATACAAAGTACTCCTCCTCCTCGAAACCTAACTCCGGTATAGGACTACTACCTCCTATCCTACCAGCTATTAGGTACTCCTCCGGGGGCCCCTCCGGACGGGGTATAGTAGGCGCTCTTCGCCTCGGTAGTAACGTAGGGCTAGGATCCGCCGGGCTAGGTGATAAATCCGGCGATACCGAGCCACCCCATAATTCCTCCTGCGTAGTTCCATGCCGTAACGGACTCCTCTGCCTAGTATCCCTTAAAGACGGCCGGAGGATAGGTGGAATCCGAACCGGCGAAGGATCGATACTCTTACGGAGGGTAGAAGGTGTTTTCCTAGTCGAGACTGAAGGAATAGACCTTGGCGAACCAAAGGCTAGACTTTGTGTACGTATACTACGTAGCGTAGTAGTAGGGCTAGTAATTTCGACAGATAGGAGTTGCTTCGTCCGTTCTAGCTAATCTAGATCCCTATCTTTCGTAATATCGGAGATACCAAAAGTAATATCCGACTTTACAAAGTCTTGTTCGATAGCGAGGTCCTTATAGGCCCTAACCCTCGATAAGGCTACGTAGAATACCCCGGGAGATACTTGCTTCTCCCTAAGGTTTACGACAACCCGATCTAAAGTCATACCTTGCGACTTATGAATCGTAATCGCATAGCAGGTTACTATAGGGAATTGCTCGCGCCATTGTGTCTCCGTAGTACCGTAAGTACCGCGTGCCCTCCGTACGGGAAAGATAGGCACAACCGCACCCTTCCGGGCCCCCCCCCGAGCGTCGATCTGCTCGTTTAGTCCAACCCTACGAAACTCGGGAAAATAAACGAGTAGACAGCGAGGCATAGTATCCCGGGGACTCTCTACGTCCTCGTCCCAGAGAATACTATATAGTTGGCCGCGGCTACCATTAACTAAACCCATCTCCGTCCAGATATTCTGACATAGAAGTACCGGACATCTAATAACTAAGTATAGCTCGGAATAGAGTCCTTGAAACTCTTTCTCGTCAAGCCGACTACTCGAAATAGAGTCGTGCTTAGCGCTAATACGAAGTATCGGATATTCGCTAGCTAAGAGTTGCGTACGATTAAACTGCTCTACCGTAGTACGATAGGAGTAAAGCCGGATAGCAGACTTAAAGTCTCTCTGTATTGCCTCCCCGAAGGGCGTAAACGTACGCTGTCTAAGAAGATTATAGTGCCTATCTTCTACCTTATTAACCCGGACGGCTTGTAGGGCATCCTTAAATTGTAGGGCAGTCTTATCCTGCCCGGATTGCCGGACAACCTGTAACAAACGTAGCGTATACTTAAAGGCTCGGTAGCAATTACGACCGGAGATATCTATAGCGTTATATAAACGCTTAGTAGTAAAGAGAGCGGTAGCCGCGACGGGCGGAAGCTAACAGAAGTCCCCGGCTAGAAGAATACTAAACCCGGCAAAAAAGTCGGTAGAGGCCTTAGTTTCAGGAAAGATCTCGAATAGGCGCTGATTAATCCAACCTAGTAGACGAATACTAAGTATAGATTTCTCGTCAATTACTATAAAACGCACTCCTTCTAACCGTCGGCGGCAGACCTTTCTAGCCTCGTCTCCAAGTTCGTCTAAGATAGGATCGACTTGAATAGGTAGATTAAAGAAGGAATGAATAGTATAGCCATCGATATTAAACGCCGCTGCCCCAGTAGGGGCAAGTCTAACAATAGGACTTCGAGTACTACCTTCAGTACGCCGCGCAAGAGCCTGTAACCGAGCCGAGAGTAGCTCGATTACATAGGACTTTCCGGTACCCGCCTCGCCGTCGAGATTAATTAATAGCTGCGGGGCGCCTTCGGAGTTGGCGGGCGCCCCTAAGCGGGTACCGAATGGAAACTCTCGGACAAACTGTTCGTAGTTCTTAACAAAGACACTATATACTGCCGCTTGCCCCGGATTTAGTGATAGATAGGCGTTGGATGCCTGAGATTCGACATCTAAATTCGAGGTCGAACTTTCCTTTAACCGCCGCCAATAGTTATTCCGAGCTAGCGGTTCGTAAACCTCGGGTATAGTATCCTTAAAACGGCCACAGTAGGGACTCCAGTCAGCAGAAATATCAATACCCCGCTGTCCTAACTCGAGCTCCTCGCGAATCCGATTATTATCGCTAGGATGCTCGTTCCCGAGTTCGTTAAATATAGCCTCCTCATCCTCGGTAATAGGATATTCCTCCTCGAACTCGTCCTCAAAATCCTCGTTCTCCTCGGCTAGACGGCCGTAATAGTCCCTCCTAAGTGTAGGATACTGCGACTCCCGGCGCTCTAATTCCCGGTAGGCAGCCGGCCACGTAGTATAAGAAATAGGCGAGTTTGGGAATCGGAAGGGTAGTACTGGATATACTATCCAAGGGACGTGTAGTACAACCTTAAACCGACAGTACTGCGCGTACTTCGGATCGCTAGTATCGCTAGGATATAGCGGGATATAGCGAAGAATCCGGTCGGGATTTCTATCCGCTAACCTCGTAGGCGGATTCCGGCCTAGATTAAATCTAGTCGCGAACTCGAAGAGCGAAACAGTAGCGTATACTTCCTGTCGATCGCTATACTTCATATAGATCGTCCTACGCGCAGTCTGCTGGGGGTGCCCCTCGCCGAGGTCGTTTAGCCCAAATGGTACCTGTTGCTCTGCCTGCGGTCTACAGTCGAGGTTAACGAACTGCCGCGTACAATCTACTAAATTATAACCTAGTAGAATAAACGAAACCTCTTGTGCGGACCAATCTCTTTCAGAAACTAGCTTATTAAGTAGCTTAGCGGCAAGCGAGACTAAGGGCCTCCTATCAGATATACGGGGCAGGATATCCCGTATAAGTTCTGAATAGGGCTTTGTAGCAACCTCGGCTTTCGAACAGTACTTAACAATATATTGTAGTACTGCCTTAATATCGGTACACGGAGTAAGATCGGTATTCGCTCTCCAGGCCATCGTTAAAAGGGGATTAAAGTGATTAAGGTTCTGATCGTTACACTCGGCAATATATGTAACAAACTTGTCGTTATAGCGATTAGAAACCTCGGCCCTCTCTAGGATAGTACGCGGAAAGTGAAACCGGCAATATTTCGTAGTATCGGCCGCATCTTGTCCCTTCTTACGGCGTAGGCAATAATCGTTACACGAGTGCCGCTGAAGTCGGTTTACAAGATCCGAGAGAAACTCGAGATTGTTTTCTATTTCCGAGGTATCCGAATTTATAGCACTACGGCCAATAGGGGCACCCTGCCGACTAGTATCCGGATTTAAGGCAACGATATGTCTATCCCAACGTGTAGCAAGTGCCGAACGCCCCTCGTCAGTAGTAACACTAATCGATAGTAGCTCGTCTATCCAAAGAAAAAAGTGCGCGTGAATACTACCTCTCCCTTGAAACTCAAACCGAATCCATGAGTCAGATACCCTAAATTTAGGCTCTAGGACAGTCTTAAACAAGAGCTTTAACCGACGCTTAAATAGATCTACTACGATATGCGGATAGTCCTTAAGAAACTCCCGTGCTAGACGGATAGAATCGGCCGAACTACCTGTTTTCCATTCGTTATAGAACGGACTTAACCGAAGTAAATAGTCCCACTGTAGATCGGCGGGACTACAGGTTCCAAAAAGCGCCGGACATCCTAGAGACCGAACCATCGCTTCTAGTTCCATTCGGCGGGCGCCCATATACGGCCTCGTACCAATTAGGGACCGCCCGTGCCTTGTAATTGTGTCTAAAATAGACTTAGAATCCGGGGACTCCGGGTTTAGTAAGGCCTCCCGTAGTTGCTCCTTTGTAAGGCTATTAGCAACTTCGAGACTACGGGCAAGGTACGTAGACTAGCTACGAGTTAAGCTTCGGTAATAGATATTAAATACCGTATACCGCCAGCTAGTATGGGAACCAAATCGACCGTCGTAATAGTATAGTAGGGCTTGAATATAGTCCTTAAAACCAACTGTCCTTTCGCGAGGGCTATAAAAATCGCCCTGCCCTGTAGGATATAGGTACGGAAAGGCAAGTGATAGAAGGCTACTATTAGTATCCCACTCGTCGATAGGTCGCGCCTGTAAATGGGGCCACGTTAAGTGGGGTAGACTGCGAGGCTGGGCTAATCGATGTAGACTCGTCCCGGGGGGTCCCCGGCTAACTTCGGTCGGATTCTGGGGGCCTACCCGGCTAACCTCGGGATTATCCCCCCCTGCTATACTCTCTACAGACCGTAGGTCATCTAGTAGGGTTTGATTAGGATCCCGGGTTTGCCCTAATTGCGGGACAGCGGCGGTTTCAATAGGAAATTCCTCGTCCTCGCCGGTAGTATCTAAATATTGTGGCCGATCGCTAGTAGTAGTTTCATCGGACTCTACTAACTCGGTTTGAATTTGACCTAATACGCTATTATCTTGCGGAAGCTGAGACAATAGCGTAGGGTCTATTTCGATATCAGAATATCCGGGATGATTATCCTTTAAATACTCTAACCACAACTTAATAGCCTGCCTACGAACGCGGAATTCGCGATTAAAGGACGCAATCTCATTAGTATTTAGGTTCCGAGGCCTAAGTAATAGTATATCTACCTCATTAGGTAGTCGCGGCAGTTTGTTATAAACAGAGACTATATCGCGAAGGAAATGAGCGACATGTCCGCGGTACTTATACTGCTGGCCCCGGACCGTAAGTACGTTAACGGCAGTATGGACCCTAGCGATTAGGAGCTGTTCTATATCGCTAAGCTTAGGCAAATCTACCGGTAGCTCGCCCGGGTCCATATTATTTGCCCTAGAGAATAGGGGAATTCGAGGGGGGTTCGACTTAATAGCCTTTAAACAAGAGCTACAAGCGCCGGTAGTAGGATCTAGCTTAAGATCTAACCAGCGGCGGGGGCATATTTGACACCGTATCCAAGATATAGTATCTCCCTGTCGGCTAAATCGTATACACCGGTCGAAGTCGGTATTAGATAGAGCCGGTCGAGTACGACGTTGTTCTAGTGTTTCGGCGTTTTTAAGGCTAAGATTACCCTCATCTAGTTCGCGAGTAGCCTAGGCTGCCTCGCGAATTCGATTAAGAGAACGCCTATTCATTCGAGACCTCGACGACTCGGAAGCCCTACTAGAGCTAGGAATCGTAGAGGGAAAGATACCGTATTGCCGGCAGTAACCATATTCGAGACTACCGGCCTGAAATTCCGATCGGGTAGTAAAGTGGCTACCCGTTTCGCACCACTTTAGCTCAGTAGTAATATCCGAAATACCGGGATTCGAACAATACGAGCAGAGGGTAGAATTAACTACCCGACATTCTCTATAGGGCCGAGGTATATTACAGCCGCTACAGGTAAATGAATTTATATCGCGGGCAAGTAAGGGAGCCCTAGTAGATCGTAACGCCCGATTTGCGCGGTCCTCTCTCGCGACAGCCCGTCTTTACTCCCTTTCAATAGAGGTTTCGTCCCGACCTCTCCGATAAATATTAGGGGCTTCTACGTTAATAGTAGGGCTACGCGAACGCCTTTGTAGCCGCCTTTTGCGTGCCTGTTTCTCGCGACATGTAAGACAGGTCTTATAGGACTGCCTACCCTCTCGATTAAAATCGCTTAGAGGTCGTTGTGTTTTACACCTCGAACATTGTTTTTGTACTCGATCCCGAGTAGTATCCGAATTAGAATCCATATTATATAGATCCTAGGTAAATTTCGATCTAGGACCGTAGTAAATGTACCTAGTTTCCCTCGGCGAAAGGGGTTTTTAAAGGTATACTCCTTGACGTATATAAGACAGTAAAATAGTTCCTTTAAAGAATCTAAAATACTACTCCTATATACATATCCTCCGAACGTGCTAGGATACGATTTCTATATAAGGCGGTTCCGCTCCCAAAGTAGGTCCGCTAGCCGGCCACTTTTATATAGGAAACCCTTACTTCGGGGGCGACCCTGCCTCGCGAGCGCTCTTAAAACGCGCGCAACTCGTAGACTTAGCGAAAATTGTACGTCTAGTATAAAAAAAAGTCGATATACCTACTAGACGCCCTAGAGCCTTACTATAGCCCCTCCGATTAGGCTAATATTTAGTACCCTATAGGCTAGTATATTAGGGCGCCTCTAGACTAGATAGCTATAGAATACGGAGTATCCTATATATATCTCGATAAATACTAATCCGATTTCAATAAAAATTACACCGTTAGAACCGCGCGGGTCGGTTCTATTAAACGTGAAATTTTTATAGAAATCGACCACCTTCGAATTTAGTGTTGGCAGGTGTTGGCTAGTGTTGGCTCCAACTTCGGCGGTTAATATCTCAATGAATATTGATTCGATTTCAATGAAAATTACACCGTTAGAACCGCGCGGGTCGGTTCTATCAAACGTGAAATTTTCATGGAAATCGACCACCTTCGAATTTGGTGTTGGCAGGTGTTGGCTAGTGTTGGCTCCAACTTCGGCGGTTAATATCTCAATGAATATTGATTCGATTTCAATGAAAATTACACCGTTAGAACCGCGCGGGTCGGTTCTATCAAACGTGAAATTTTCATGGAAATCGAGCTATTAGCTCCTACTTTATAAGTATATAGAGAGTATTAGCTCCAACTTCGGCGGTTAATATCTCAATGAATATTGATTCGATTTCAATGAAAATTACACCGTTAGAACCGCGCGGGTCGGTTCTATCAAACGTGAAATTTTCATGGAAATCGAGCTATTAGCTCCTACTTTATAAGTATATAGAGAGTATTAGTTTCCATTCTATATATATCGGCTAGTTGGTCTAGTAGTATGATTCTTAACCATTAATGATTCTATTTCTCCCGGCTATACTACTTAATATAGTCCCCGCTATATGAAGGTATATGTCTTAAAGGAGTTATAAGATCGATGGGGGTTAAGAGGTCGTAGGTTCGAGTCCTACACTAGCTATTTTTTTTTATTTATACGTAATTAATAGGAAATATACTTGTCGTAGGTTCGAGTCCTACACTAGTCCTACACTAGCTATTTTTTTTATTTATACGCAATTAATAGGAAATGTACTTAAATCTTGAATTAAATATTACTACTATCAAGCTAATACCCTAGCTAATAAGCTAAGAAATCCGGGGTAAGTTAAATTCCCCTTTAATCTTTGTTTCGATTGACGTTCTACGCTGAAATCCGGGGTAAGTCAAATTTCCCTTCAATCTTTGATTGCATATTACTTCTGCGAAATTTCTCAGCCAATCATTTCGGTCTTGGCGGACAACTTGGATTTTCGCGGGCGGTGGCCGCGGTGTCTAGATTGGCAGCTGCGCTGCCAATGAGAAGTTCTCCGCCGGCGGAAAAGATGGAGAATCCTTCTGCATTTGGTTACTGCCGGAATGAGCCGAGAGCCAGAATCTCCTCCACCTTTCCGATGCCTTATGAGTCCTCTTTCTTCTGCTTCATCACCACTACATCTTCCTTCGAATCTTAGCACTGGATGAAAGCCATATGGATGCGGAAGTGCCAAGACATGTATGATCTAGCTGCCTTCGACCGCCGGTGTATGTTCTCATGTTGCGAGGGACGTCGAGGGTGATCTTAGAGGACTTCTAAACAGGATTGAATCATCTCCCTGGGCCATACCCCCAAAAGACATAGGCATAGACCCGGCCCGTTGAGCTCCGATGTCTGTACAATGGTGTACTTGCTGCTTGGGCGTATCGTAGTCGTAGTGGTGAGTGATGAAGATGGAGGAGAAGAAGTTGGAGGCTGGCGTTGCCCGGCAAAGTGGAGGAGCATTGGGTCTTGGCGTTTGGCGGACTTCTCCGTCGCAACCGAGCCTCCTACTCCTCCTCCTCCTTCTCAAGTACTTCCACTTTGACTGCAACCACAATGGCAAGCTCATCGGCCCGGAGAAGCCCAAGGAAACGTCCGATATCTGACAGCAATACCGGCGGAGCTGACCAGCCGAGCAAGAAGTCCAGGCTCGACGATCTGCGTGAATCTGGATCCGCGTAGTATCACTCTCTGCATCTTCCAATACTGACCCTTCTGATGGACCTGCAGTGCCCGATATCTCGATGCAGTAACCATCTACGTAGGCGCCGAACGAACTCCATTCGTCCTCCATATTGGCATTCTCCGCGAGCGATGTCCGAAACTCCTGGAAGCGCTGAGCCAAGGTGCCAGGATACACGGCGACGATGCATTCGAGCTTGTTGCAGAAGACGAACGAATCTTTCGAATGTTCCAAGTCTGGCTGTATACAGGTGAACTCATTGAGCCTACGGCAGACGTGTTGGGCAAGAGCGAGGACGATTGGAGCGCGCAGAAACGGGACGTCGACAGGTTGGTCGAAGGTGATAGCAAAGAGCCGGAGAAGAGCATCAAGTGGCTGGACGAAGACTTAGTAGATCTGTATCTGCTGGGCGGACGATTGAAGCTCGACACGCTTTGTAACAGCATCGTCAACGAGCTATGGGCTGAAAACAACCTGCTCCAATGCACGACTTCCCTTCCCGCGATCAAGAAGGCGTTTGAAAAATCCCTGCGCCTAAGCCAATTCTTGAGCCAGGAAGCCCATTTCCGACTCCTCGCCGATGCATTGAATATTCCAGAAAATGCGGCGGAATATCCTCCGGAATACCTTTCTGGCATTCTGCGTCGAATTCTGGAAAGACAGCAGGACTTGAGACGTCGCGCTTGTGCAATGCATGCGCCTGATAACTACTGGGAGCGGGTGTGCGGGTATCACATCAATTGCGTACACAGTTCAGCACTCCGGTGTGAACATCGTTGGATCGAGTCGTGCAAGCAACGGACGTTGAACAGAACTCGCAAGCAAGCACTGTACACCCGACTCTCTGACATCGGCACAGTTCTTGTAGGGCCAGAGCAGGTTCCATTCACGGTGCATATCACACTTATTAGCGTCTTCTCGGATTTCTTCCGAGGTGCGTTCGAAGGTCGTTTTGAGGAAGGCAGGACTAGGAGGGTGGTGCTCGAAGATGACAGTCCGGCGGACTTCGCAATGATGCTTTACTGGTTGTATACTGGAGACATATACATCCCGACCAAAGATGATTACGACTTTCTGGATGCACTGAAGGGCCACGATGGAGCTTCCGAGGCAGAAGATGGGAGCGGTTGGGTAACCCTACCATCATCGCTCGCCCTTAAACTCAGATTTCAAGATTCGCTCGTCGGACTCTACATCCTCGCTGACAAACGAGGAGTACAGCGCCTCAAGAATGATATTTTAACGCAAATCCGCGACCAGAAGAGTGGGAGCTGGCCTCTGCTGATATCCTCCATTGACCGTATCTCCTTGGCCTGCTACAATCTGCCGGATCAAGATCCTTTGCGAGCGTGGCTGGAGCAAGAGGCATCACAGAGCTGGACCGGATCGATGCATCTGAGCCGCAGCGAGATCAAAAAGCTGCCTCCAGACTTCCTGGTCAATGTCATGCATAACATTCTTCAACGACGTTAGCACGGCACACTGCAAGACGAGCTTCTCAGGCTACGGGCACGCTGATAAAACATCGAACATTGCGAGAATTCATGAGCTGGAGCTACAACTGGCAACTGCCGAGGCGACCATTGAAAAAGTAAGGAGGTCATATCCTTACGTGCTGGGTCTTCTGGGCATCTAGCTATGCAGCATCAAGACACTGCGATATTTTCACTGATGATAAAAATGCAGCACCTCTGCCAAGGTGACCGAGTTATCCGCCTAGACAATATGAACCTCGAACTCGTATGCGGGCAATGTGGAGGAGGAGCATCATTGCTTGGCATGAGCATATCACAGCATATGCTTGCAGGCGCAGTAAGCAGTTGCAATTAGTCCTGCTCATCGAGAGAGTCTTCCAATTTCAACATGCGTTCTGACTTGCAAATGATGCAACTGAATATAGAACGAGTGGTGCCTGAGGCGTCGATCGTACAGCAGATCGCAACGGATCTGCCATCATCGTCGTTCCCGACAACTTTATTCGAACCTCATCCCAGTGCTGCCACGCGGCTGTCAGCTGTGGTCGGGGGTAGTGTCGGGGTATGCTGATCGAGAATGTTGGAGAGCTTTCTGCGATGCGGGACTTGGCGAGAACACTTCGGAGATCGAGGAAGGGATCACGCCACGCTCACGTGAGAGCCTCTCGTCATCGAACACAATAGATCTATATCTCCCGGTTGATCGCGTGGCCAGCGCAGCGAGTTCCAACAACGTCAACATCAAAGCAAGACAAGACATTGGAAGACTACAAGCAACCCTGGCGACTCTACATCGACCACAACTTCGACACTTTACGCATTACGACCCATTGATCAACGAAACCATGGCAACGACAACCGCTTCAAAAGTCCCCGATACAGCAATCATCCCCCCAACTCCTGCCACCGAAGAGCCTAGTCAAGGCCAGCTCACTCCCAACACCAACCCAACCTCTGAAGCCACCAAACCCGCCACAGAAAATCCAGCATCACTCGACTCCTCAACCCAATCCCCGGCGAGATCCCCCTCAGCCACAGAAGTCATCAACGCCGTCCTCGCCGAAGAAGAAGCAAAAGCCCGGCAACACCGAAGCACTGAAGCCTCGAAGTCAAGAGCCTCTTCGCGCAGCAGAAGTCGAAGCAGACCTGCCAGTGCGGCGGGTTCAAGAAGGGGTTCGACGAGCGTTTGGGATAATGATCCCGAGAAGAAGCAGAGGAAGTTGGTCGAGAAGATTTTTGGGCATCATTGGACGCCGGATTTTTTGAAGTGAGGTAGTGAATGTCGGCTGTGCGAGGAAGGGTGGTTTTTTTAGGTGGGGATTCTTGAGGGGTAGGTGGGATGGGTTTATGAAATGAAATACTGGCTCAGTCTGGCTGACTGATTGATTGATTCATGATGGAGAATAGTGTTTTGGAATGAAATCATCTTCTGCTCGATGCTCTTTGAAGTTGGGATATCCAGGGTTCCGTCAGCCACTCCTCCCCGAGACATGTGGCATGCTTCTTCCAATCCTTTTTTCACGTGGATTTCCTACTACATCATCTCTCTTTCTCGTAAAATGGCATGGCCGGTAAACAAGCATCCCCGGATCGGAAAGAAAGCGAAATGCGTCCTCCGTAATGGCAAATGCAAGATCTTCGCATTAATGATCAACCGGAAGTTAAAAAAATATGTTACTGGGTTGGGTTGGGTTGGGGTAGGGTTGAAACGCAGGAACGAAAGAAATTAGGTCTATGTATACTGACCAAGAATGCGAGGGTGGTAAACCGCCACGGCGGCTAGGTTTGCAGCGGCGGCTTGTCCACTTCCATGGTTGTTTACAGGCTATATATGGACCGCCAAGAGGTCTAATTTCGAGCCAATTTGAAGCCTTGTAATCGCATGGTATAGGCCTGCAAATGAGGAGTCACTTTGAAGCCAAACTAGACCTTATCTAGCGGCCATTTCTACCTCTTGTTTATCGACCTGTTCTACCTCTTCCTCGCGGTCACGTGTCGCCCTTGTTTTGACCTTACTGTCGCCAGTATAGGTGATTATTCTAGGCATTTGGCGCCTAAAGATGTAAACGCGTTGCTTAGTAAGCTAGAGTGTGAACAGTCGGTACGTAGTCGGTCGTTCTCGTAATCTCGTAGATAATCGCTAAGGTGTTGCTGTCGCAGTTTCAGAGCCCTTTTCCACTAAATATATATTAGCAAAGGCACCAATTCTTCTACCCTCGTAACCGCGAATACCGTTTAGAAGTAGACGATATTCGCCTCGCTTTAGGTCGTGTTATACGTAATTAGCAAGGCGTACGAATAAGCGGCTTCGAATACGACGAATATCGATCGTTTACTACTAATATTTAGTTCCTTAAGAATCGACCGGACAGGCTGTCTATAGACCTAGCAAAGCGGCTGTTTCGTAGGGTGAAATTCGAGTGTCGCCTTCATAAGCGGTTTATAGACCATTAGCGAGCGGAAAGCGGCGGTAGTAGTGCTTAGAAGGCGTCGAGGTGTCTACGGCGGAAGCGTATTGCGTAGAAGGCGCACGACTGCCCTGCGAAATTGACTATCCTCGAGTTCTACGAGAAGGATTAAAACAGCGATTTAGGGGTATTTCTCGACAATATAGCGCTAGCGCACTCACCTACGGATATAACGGTACTGAGGCCCTCGCATGTTATCCTCCTACCGCTAAAGGATAGCTATTCGTATACTCTCGAGTTTGTTAATAGAATATAGGTCAATAACGGTATAAAGGCTGTTTAGAAGGAAATACTCGAATTTCGAGCAGGTAAGTGCGGTCTTGGCGGCTCATATACTAGTATTGACCTGTTTCTAGGCTCTTCGACCGTTTCTAAGCTAGTTAATAAAATGAGAAGGCCTAAGCAAGCGACAGTATAGCGAGACGCAGGTGCAATAAGAATTATACGTAATCGAGTCCGCAATACTAACAAGGCCGCCATCACTCGAATAAGCGATAAACGCAGGTCTAGCGCTAGCGAGTCTATCTATCGACAGTTACAACAGGCTTAGGCCTACTTAAATACCAAATTCAGCCTATACAGCGACAATCTAACTAGTTAGGCGGAGGCAATCTATTCAGTAGGCGACAAGAAGGGCACGTATCAATCAGGCCTTATTTAGGCCTCTAACTAGCAACTACAGCTTCTTCGCAACTATAGTGGCTTATTCTTGCTAGATTCTACATTTAGTACAAACAAACCTCTTTGGCTACTGTTTACGGTATACGTCCGCAATTAGCATCTCGAGTGGCTTCCGGCTAGTTATATGCTTCTATCTTGTAAGCAGGCGCACCTTATTGAGAAGGCTATAAGAACGCTCCGTTCTATAGCTAAAACTGACTTCTAAGTCAAATTGAGCTCTTACAATAGCAATAGCTTAACCTACTACTTTGGATAGCCTATATACGCAAGCAAGGCTTCCGATAACCTCTATAAGGAACAGTCTAACTGGATACCGCTTTAGTCTATTACAGACGACTTAGCGAGTAAGCAACGTGCTATCTAGCAGGCGCTAACCGATTGCTATATTAAATAGCGGCTTTGCTAGCGGCACGTTGTAAAGACCTTCGAACGGCGGTTTAAGAAGCATCTATAGGCGCTTAAGGCTATGTCTAATGCTATGTTTATCGCGAGAGACTAGGACGAGTGTGCTCACTTTATTAAGCGAGCGGCTATTGAACTGGAGGCTCAGAAGGCAAAGAAGAAGCTAGAATACCTCCGTAACAACTAGCCGGCTTTACAGAGCGATCGATAGGCGACTTAGGCACGGCTCGGAGACCCCCTTTTAATAGCGATTCGAACAACGTTACTACTTAAGGGCTATTACGCACACTTGAAGCGCCGAGACAAGCGTTGGATACGCTAATAGAGCTTGCGAGGTGCGTATTCGTCCTATTCTTATAGTGCTATCGAAATCTTATACAAAAGAAGTCTACGCCTATATTCTTCAGAACGGCCGTAGCCCCTAGACCGGCTTTCGGGTACTCCCGCTAAGCTATCTAGATTTCTCGACCATGTTCATTCTATATTGTTTCTACTAACAACAAGGCCTATACTAACTGTTATTAGGCTTAGTGATGCACCTTATACAACTAGACAATTACATCTGCGAGCGCGCGCTTCAAAACGGCTAGATCGACGGTTAGGGCTAGCTTCCACTATAGAAAAACGAATCCTGTTTATCCTTTAAGAATCTACCGCTTTCTATACAGAAGAAGATGGCAGATAAGCTTATATAGGCATACAAGGACCGTGACAATGGCAAGCCTATCTGGCGGATGTGTCTACCTACTATAGACGACGATGCTTGTACTAAATGCTTCTGCTATTTCTAGCATAGCTACCACCTTCCTTACAAGCATATTTAGCGCTTCTATATCGACAAAACGAGCCTTCTTACTACTTAGCGCTATAGGCTCTATATCAGTCGGTTTCAAGGACCTAATAGCAACCTCGTTCATCTAGACTAGCATAATAGCAAGCTAATTCTTAACGATAACAACAACCATCGACCTACTAGACAGCTTGTCGACCTAAATAAAGCCCCTAGTATCTATAGGCTCCGTACAGTGAAGGAATACTTCTATTCTATGCAAGAAGGTCTTATATAGACCTTCTTCCGCTTCTATAACAGCTAGACTTCTAAGCCTCACTTGAACGACGAGCAGCAATACGAAGCCTTGCTATAGTAGGTAACATACTACTCGGAAATAGCTCAATTAGTGATAGATATTCAGATGCAATAATAGCTTAACAGAGGCGCTCCGCAGGCCTATTTAACACCTCGTCGTAAGGCTAAGTAGCGCTTAGTCGACGATAGGCCGCTATAACAACCTGTCTTTAAACTACTGCTAGCACTACCAAGTCTAGCACTACTAAGTCTAGCACTACTAAGTCTAGCACTACTAAGTCTAGCACTACCAAGTCTAGCACTACTAAGTCTAGCACCTTTAGCACCTTTAGTACCTTTAGCACCTTCCGTCGAGGCTCCGTAGCGGCTATTTATCGTCGTTAATAGCAGTATACTGCCTGTCTATAGTCTAGTTAACAAAGACAATATTATCGATAACGTTAACTTCGCTCTAGTCGTTGTTACAGTTAACAATGACGCTGATATAAACCTCTTAGACCTTACTGACAACGACGCTCCGTACGAGGCTAACGATAAGGACCTATTCGATAGCCTATCGGATACAGACCTTCTATAATCTATACTACTTAAAGCTAGTCGACTCGAGAGCAGTCGATTGCCGCTATCTTTACTAAAAGACGCTAGCAAAAGTGATCAATACGATAACGACGAGGCATTAAGGCATCAATCCTTACTAGACGATTTGCTATTACTAAGTGAGCTGTTTCCACTACGCCAACCTCTACCTTCTATAGAGCTACTACCTTCTTCGGCACTATCTACAGCTTAGCATTCATTACCTATATAGTCACCTAGTGAAGATACTTCAATTAATCCACTGCAGCTATTAGGTGGCCCTTATAAACCTCGTCGTTAGAAGCCTTCAATTAGTGAGCCTGTAACACCTTCGAAACGCGCTCGTGGAAGTGGACCACTAAAACGACGGATCTAAGGAGAGGTTGTCGCTTCTAAGCGGTGGAAGTGGTGGTACTGAGGTGCAGGCGTGGACTTAGTCGTTTTCGAGCGATTACGGCTGTTCGGAACGGTGGAAATCCGAGGTAATTGGGTTGCACAAGGGGTGTTTGCAGTACCCCGATTTGTACACTAATTTGCGTGGTTTCAGGGCACTTTGCAGGGGCTTATGGAACCCTCGAGGTGTGCTGAAGCTACTTTGAATTTAACTTCTTGGTCAGTATACGTGGACCTAAGAAATTACCGATATACCGGGTTTCGAGTTTCGCTCCTCTCTTGCGACCTAGGAGTGTAGTTGATGAGAACTCGGGATGTTTGAGTATACATATAGCGGCTCAAGAGGTTGAAATGGATTACGTCCTGAGTCCGGGTTGCAATACCTATCGAAGAGTCACTAGTCTACGTTACGTAGAGGTTGACTCTGGAACTGTATCTTCATCAAGATCTTGAAGATTCCCAAATCGCTGTCTTTGTCCAGCCAGGGAAACCTTGAAGTTCGTCGTACCGATAGTTGTTTACTCCGGAGCACAGACCTGTAGCTAGAATATAGCCTGAGTCACCCTATCAACCAACCTGGAGGGCTTACTCTGTCGGCTTAAATATATTGTTCAGGTCGAAGAGTCAGTGTTTGAATTCCAGGCTCTCAGGATTCAAGAACTATGCTGAATGGGACATTTGTACGAGGAGTGTGAAATGAGAGTTTCTGAAAGCGTGTACCCGTATCACTTGGACTCTCACTTTGAAAGAGCGCCTCGCCGTGCCTGCCTGCCTGCCTACTGGAAGTTGCGAGCCTGTGACTTGCTGGCATCGAGACACAACAGAATCCCTACTTCCACCGATTATACCGGACCAGCAAAGCGGCATCATGCATCCGAACACACTGCTCACCTCAATCCTCAGCCTCAGCGCCGCATGCACCGCATCTCCCCAAAATCACGGCTACGGCTACGGCCACGGCTACAGCAGCCCAACCACCGGCCTCGCGAAGGCAATGCGTGAGAACGGACGGTCCTTTATCGGAACAGCAATGAAGCTACGCCTAGACGACACTTCCGAACTCGCCATCATCAGCAACAACGCCGACTTCAACAGCATCACTCCAGAAGAAGATTTCAAGTGGGCGTTGACAGAACCCGGGCTAGGAAACTATACATTCGAAAAGGCAGATGCGATTGCCGAATGGGTGGTCGAACATGGATATCAGCTGCACTGCCATACGTTGCTTTGGCATAATCAATTGTCGGATTATGTAAGCTGGTCTTCAAGCTCTGGATGGGATGTGAGGGACTCGCGATTGCTAATTGATTGATGTGTTGTAGGTGGCGAAGGGGAATTTCAGCAATGCCACGCTCATCGAGTATATGAAAGGGCATATCCAAGCTGTGGCGGGACGATACAAGGGGATTTGCACTGCGTGGGATGTCGTCAACGAGGGTCTCGAAGAGAATGGCACGTACCGAGAATCTGTCTTTTACAAGACCATCGGAGAAGCGTATATTCCTTTTGCGTTCAAGTTCGCTCATCACGCGGATCCTCACGCCAAACTTTTCTACAACGATTACAACCTCGAGTCTGCGGGCGACAAGTGGCTCGGTGCTCAGCGGATCGTGAAGCTGGTGAGGGAGTATGGTGGGAAGATTCATGGTGTTGGGCTGCAGGCGCATTTGACCTGTGAGGAGAGCAGTGAGGACTCATTTGATACCATGTGATGCCGTGCAATCGAGCTGATTTCGTGTGATGCAGATCCGGCTCCGAATCAAACGACTCTGGTGAAGGCCCTGGAAGGCTTGACGGCGCTGGATGTCGACGTAACCTACAGCGAGGTCGACGTGCGGATGAAGACTCCCAGTACTCCTGAGAAGCTCCAGACCCAAGCAGAGGTATATGAGCGTGTCGCAGCGAGTTGTATGGAGGTGAAGAGGTGTATTGGAATGACGACTTGGGTGAGCCCTCCTTTTCCCGGCTGCTGCGCAGTGATGCTGATGTGACACTAGGGCGTCTCTGACAAGTACTCCTGGATTCCATCCACCTTCCCGGGCGAAGGCACTGGCGATATGTGGGACGAGAACTACCAGAAGAAGCCCGCGTACGATGGGTTCTTGAAAGGCATCCAGTCGGCCCAAGGCTACTACTGAGCCGTTGTTGAAGGTTATGATCTCGAGGTATAGGAAGTCTCCCGAGAGTAAGGCAGAGGGTGTAGCGAAGTAGAACATGCCATGCCCACTCCCCCTTCATATCCACCTTCTGTGTGTACACTCTATCGCCCGCCCTTTCTCCTCGATCACCTCACTCTTTCGCGTCGAGCATCGCCATTAGAATTCCTCCTCTTGCATCGTGGTCGTAGTGGCCGTTCGCGCTCCGACATTCGCAATGCATATGGTCTGAATGGTCCTTTTCGGTGACGGTATTGACACAGCCTGATGCTATATATATAATGTAGCCTGATCGCTTGCCGAAGTGCGCCCTCACTGCGTCAATTGGTGGTTCGATTGAGATCCTCTGTTATCTCTGTTATAATCCCGAAGTTGTTGCATCAGATTGCGACGAGAAGACAAGGGGCATTCATCGGCTGGACTTGCCTGTCTCACTCAGCAGCCGCTTCTTGGCATGGCTCTACAACACCAACTTCGACTTGGCTTCTTCCTCCTCTCACCACTTCACCTCATCGTAACGTTACTAGAAGATCGTGTTCGGAAGACATCACTGGCGTTCAAGACTCCTTGGCATGATCCCAATGGCTTCTACTACAATGTATACCTTGCAGCGCGGCAAGGAGTATACACAGATGGGGTCCTCTTCTTTCCCACTCTCGACAGCTCATCGCCACCTATACATCCCCTTCTGCTTAGAATGATGCCTTTCTAGCTCTTCCTATCTCACCAGAACTCCCAGTCTGGACCCAAAGAGTCGGTATGCCGACCTACACCAACATCTTCGATCGATTCCCGTCTACATGATGGCCAGATAACGTCAAAATCTTTGGCTGCACATCGCCGAACTCGCGAGGATACTACCCAATGTTCCAATCCCTTTCGAATCTCGATTTCCCGCCAAACGCCAACATCATGTTCTCGATCCACGGACGAAGGTGCTAGCGGCCTGAATTGGCTGATCAAGGCATGCCCACAAACGACTTTCTGCTGCTCCGAACCCTGGGAGGGTCTTTGACGCGGGGCTTGCTTCACATGGAGGTGGGCAGAGGTTTGTGACGGTAACGAATTCTCCCTGCCGCCTCGACAGCGCCCTGACGCACTGCATCCACGAGTATAGCCGACGAGCAGCGAACTTGGCACCGGGCATAGCAGTAGGAGCTGTAATCGGATTCGGAACTTTGGCCCTCATTATAAGAAATTCTTGAGGAAGTGCCAGCGTTCTTCGACTGCCGAGGAAGCCAAGGAGATGCCACAGACTGGAAATTGGCAGTACGAGGCAGGAGCCAAGCTTAAGAAGAAGTGGAAGCCGACGACCTAGACATCATGCCATCCGAACGAGTCCCGATGGAGTCGGATCTCACTTGGACGACTCCGCACTTGCCTGGCCTTAGAAGCATAAAAGAACAAACTGCTTATTTTGTGACAGGCTTGATCTTTGGAAGTCGTCTGATATTGCGGACGTCTAATACGATTTGGTCTATTCAGCTTTGCATTCGATGCAAGGAGTTCTATGAGCACTCTACAAAAAACGTCTTGACTATTTTGAGATTGGAACATCTGGATAGCGAAGACCCGTTTGGGAATGTATCGACTATATAGGTAATATGGACGAGATCTGTACGACGATTTGTGCGACGAGTGTTACGGAACAAGGAAGTAACGGTCTAGGGGTTGGCTAACTAATGGGGCGACGGCCTACCTTTGTAATTAGCCTTCCTCCTCTATATAATCATCTTCAATCTCAACTTCATAACAATTAGTAGCTTCGCTCGCACCAAACCCTCGTACTACTAGGAGTCATTCGAGACGCTACTAGGACGAGGCAACCAGATCGGGCTAATCCGACTAAGAGCCTAACTACTTCCCCTTACCACTTCTATACGACCGTATATACGGAGCAACATATGTCTGTATAAACCCTATAGACGACGACCGCGCTTTCGCTATATACGCGCGAACCAACCGGATTACTAACGCGGAGGTTAGGTCTTATCTAGTACGCTTTCTATAGGACTTTCAGGCGACAGAGACCTATCCCCCTAAGTGGCTCGACTTACTAGTATACCGACAACCTATATAGAACTCGTTCCTACAGTTCTATAGAAGAAGGTACGGGCCAAATTTACTATCGGCGACTGCTATAGTAAGCAGGTCCGGAAGGCACTTACCCGTAAAGGGGAAGTTACCTTCTAAGCTAAGGGCAGCTGCCTCTAGATCGCTATAGCAGTTACAGCCTCTACGGCAATCGCCTAACACAACTATAACAATAGCGACCTCTGCTATAAGTATACGACCTTCGACTACGTCGACGGCTCGACCTATAACAGCAACTATATAGGCAACGAGCGTCTAGCCTCCTGCTATAGCGGAATAAGGGGACGCTATCTCGGCGGAAATAATAGCCGCTATTTAGGCGGCAGTTGCCTAGGCACTAGTAGGCTAGGCCTAGGCTCCGGCGGCAGGTAACGGAAACGGGAATAGAACGCCTGTCTTTAACGAGGCTAGCAACCTAGACCGAATGCGGGACTAGGAAATTAGTTTCTTCTAACTAGACCTACTAAAGGGAGAGGACGACCCGACGGTCGTAGGATCCGATACCTTCTTCCGAGATGTTAACATCTTTATTAAACGACTTAAGGATGTTATAGCGTATCGTAGCAACGATCGAGTTAAGTTTAGAATCCCCGCACTACTACGAGGAACGGCCTTAACCTAGTACACTAATACGCTTAACAACCTAGCGAAACAGGGCCTTCGCTACGTACTAGGTCTAGACTATTAGTTTACGACGCTACGAGAGAACTTCTAGACGCTACTATCTAAGTCGCTAAACGAGCTAACGCGGCTTAAATACACGTTGTCCGACGTAGGCAACCGACGTAGTACAGATGCCTACCTTAGCGAGGTAATACGCTGCATATATAACGCCGGCCTAGTTAACAAGAGCCAGCAGCTAACGTATATATAGAATAGTATCGATATAGAGCTACAGCGTAGCATTCGGCTACCGAGGGAAGAGGACACTATTATATTATTTAGACAGAGGCTTAAGAAGGAGCAACCGGCGTAGGCTAAACTAGTACGACGACTAAACCGACGTAATATAGTAACTGCTATTGCTAGTTCTTTATCGAGACCTTTCCCTACCCGCTTAGTAGGTAAGTAACTATAGCGTAATCGAGACCGGGACTTCCGATCGAGCCGTTAGTAGACGGACCGATAAGAAGGCTCTAGGAAGCCTTAGACTAACAACGTACGTGCCTTATAGCCGCCGCCGCCTCGCCGCGACTAAGGTCGAAGCGACTAACGCTTTCGCAAGCCTTAAGACCGTTAAGAATTAGTAAGCGACAAGTTACAATCAAGGGGCGCTAAGAAGACCTTCGATAAGGCTAAGCCTCCGCCTATAAAGCCTTTCGCTTAGCGTAAGAAGCAGGACTCTTATTAGGTCGACGAGGAGCCGGAATTAGAGGGCGAGGAACAGTAGGATACTAACTACGTCGACTCTAACGAGTATTTATCCGATAAAGGAGGCGACGACGATGCTAATGCTAACGCTAACGCAGTAGATGTTCTTAATATAGGACATCTAAGCCTAGTATATAACAAGTACACCTATATAGTGTGCCGCTAGGAGTTTGAGACTTCTAACCGCCTATATTCGCATCTTAGAACGGAGCACCGTAAAGGACGAGGACAAAAATCCTAGCGGCTACTAGATCCGATAAGCAAACGGGCATAACTGCTAGACACGCAACTGTATCAGCTCAGATAAACAATATAGCAATAGAAATATGCCTAGATAGCGGTAACCTAATCACTCTTATAGATCGAACATTAGCCTAGCAGCGATACCCTAATAGAGTTCCTTTAAAGGCAATGCGCCCCCGGCGGATACGCGGAGTAGGTAATAAGATTACGAGCCTATCTAACAAGATGCCTATTAATATAGTTTTTAATAACAGGGTTACGATATCGACAAGAGCATACTTAATTAACAGCCTACCGGCTAGCGTACTATTAGGAACGCGCTTAATAGAAAAGGAGAAGTTAGTCTTATCTTTTACTAATAAGGAAATGCAATTCCCAAATAGCACCGTAGTAACGATAAATATCGCTTAGAAAGGACGAGCTCGAGTGTTACTATACTTTATAGTAACTACCGAGCGAGAGGAAGACGACGAGTCGCTACCGCTAGCGCAACCGGGAGCGAAGGAAAAGCTAGGCCTAATAGGCGCTATGCTATATAGCGACGACGAGACGAGGGCTAAATACAACGTCTTACTAGAAAAACATAAGCAGCTGTTTATCGATAACGGCCGTTTTGCGAAGGTTCCTAAAGAGGACTAGATAACTATTCCTTTAGTTAGCGACTAGAAGGCTGCTAGCGCTAAATTGGCGCACAAGGTATATCCTATAGGCCCGAAGGAACGAGAGATTATCGACGGCGTCTACGATAAGCTATACGACTAAGGACGGATGTCCTAGACGAAGGAACTAACACCTTTTAGGTTCCCTACGTTCGTAGTCTAGAAGGAATTAAAGAACGGCCGCAAAGGTAGAGCGGTTGTCGATATCCGTAGACTCAACCGTATTACGATAACGGACGCCTACCCGATGCCGCTATAGGGCGACGTTTTAGCCGCTGTCTAAGGCGCTAAATTTATCTCGACGATCGATATAAAGTCGTTCTTCTACTAATAGTTAGTAAAAGCGGAAGACCGATACAAGCTCTTAGTAGTCTCCTATAGAGGCTAGGAAATGTATAACGTCGCCGTAATAGGTTACAAGAACGCGCCGCCCTACGTATAGCGACAGATCGATAGAATCCTACGAACGGAAGGACTTAACGGGTTCGCTAAGGCTTTTATTAACGATATCGTTATCTATAGCAAGACGCTAGAGGAACATCTATACTATCTCGATAAGGTATTCGATGCCTTGAACCGATACTAGCTAACTATAGTACCTAAAAAGGCTTTTATCGGGTACCTATCGATCTAGCTACTAGGACAACGAGTCGACGCCTTAGGTACCGCGACGCCGGCCGACAAACTAGCGGCTATTGCTAAGCTTAAGTTCCTACGAA